AACAAAATATCTTTGGTATGGTCGACTAATCAGAGGTCATAGCTTATGTTATTTGGGAAGGTCTCCCACCACGGATCAGACCCTCCTGAGAGGGTGACTCAACTAGTGCATACGGATCAACTTGAGTAGAAGCGAACTTGCGAGCGGGGGTTCTCTTAGTAAAGAGGATATCTAGCTCGGCGTACGTACGTCCCTTGGGCTCAGGAAGACGGAAGAATGCCCAGATGAAGACGAGCAGGGCCGTGCCACCCCAGAAAAAGCCGGTCTTACCAGACGCGTTCCAGGCAGTAGGGTTCATGAAATACGGCTCCAGCACCTGCGAGACAACATTGCAAACCTGATAAGCCGTCCGCGCGAGGCAAACTGTCAAGGGTCGCAACCGCACGGAAGAAGTCTCTGATACAATGGCATACGTGATAGGCCCAATGGTCAGAGCGAAGACAAACAGCCAGAGGAAGCAGAAGGATGCTTGGGCCCATTGGGCGTCGGTTGTATGCGATGTCGAGTTAATGATTGCAATGATGAAGAGAAACGTGGAAAGGATGCCTTGACCCCAGACATACAGCGTCCGCCGGCCAAGGTAGGTGATGAGCCACCAAGACAGAGCAGTCCCGACCAAAGCCACTGCCGTGCAGCCCACGCCTAGCTGGAATGCCCGGTTGTTATTCATGCCTGCCTGCTCGAAGAAATAGACAGGAGAGTAGGCGAACGTGCTGCCGGACAGAATCTGGCCGCAGAAGGCGACACAACAAATCTCTGTGCGGCGCAAATCGACCCCCTTAAAGCAGTCCCAGTATGTGGTACCGGATTCAATCTCGGACTCGATCTTGGCCGTGTGCACCATCATAGCCAACTGCCCATTGATCTGCTCCTCAGTCTTGGCCCCTCCCAGGCGACGGATACTGTTCCTGGCCTCCTCGAGACGATCACTGCGGACCAGGTACCATGGGCTTTCCGGTGCCAGCCAGCAGATAACCATCAAGGGTACAGGCCATATCCATTGCAGAGCAAACGGGATGCGATAGGACCATTGATCTGACCGGTGTAACAGGCCATAGAGGACACCAGATGCGATCATCTGGCCAATGGCCCAGCACATGTTCACGTAGATAGTGAGGTACCCACGCAAGTTGGTCGGGCAGACCTCTGAGGCGTATGCAGGGCCAACTGTTGCGAACACGCCCCAGGATAGGCCACAGAGGATCTGGCCGACGAGAAGAACGGCGGCGGAGTTGGCGAAAAAGACAATGAAGATAAACGCAGTCAAGAATCCCAGCGCGACCATCATGACTTTACGATACCCAAATTTGCTGGCAAAGTAGCCATTCAGGAGGCCACCTGAAAGATCGTCAGCGCGCAAGAACACCTTCACAACCACGGCTTTTCCAATGCTCCCACAACCTACCAAAGACGCAACCGACAGTGCTGGCCATACTCAGCCCAGTCTGCCAGGGAGCTGACACCTGCCAACCAATTCTTTCGCCATAATACTGGCCGTATTTCTGCTGAAAGGTGGGATAGGCAAAGAAGTTACCCATCAGGATGGTGTCATATCCCTCCATGACAATTGATAACGAAATCAAGACGGACCATGCGACAGCCTTGCGGTTGGCACGCAGTGCCTGCCAGAGGGTTTGTGCATGTTCTTCTTCAGTTGCCTGCTTGGCCTCAATGACCGCACCAACGCCCAGCGTATCCTGCACATGATGGGCAGCCAGCTTCTCCAGTGTGGTCTCGCTCTGGCTCATGTCTGCCGCCATGTCGAAAGGCTGTTGCTAAGTCGACAAAGTATTGCAAAACCCACGGTGCAAATGTAATATTGTAGTGCTCTGGTCTCGCAAGGTTTGGTTGTAGCAGTGGTCTCGATGGGCCCCGGCATGGAATGGCTTGATTGACCTGAGCAATCTCCTCCTCTTATACGTGGTGTTTTCCGTTTGCCAGGCAGCCATAGATTTATCAGAACCGTTTCTGGCGCCAGGCTGGAGGATCCGGGGAATTGTGGAGAAAGCCGGAGAACCAACCGGGGAGTACAGCTTCAAGTTTGAATCAGGCTAAAGAGTACACCAGGAGGTAGGGCAAGCAACCCGCCATGTGGCAAAAGTCATAGAGCAAGGTTGAATGCGTGGTAGGAGATGGTCGTCGGCGTAAGACACAAAATACCTAGGTAGTATATAGCGGGAAACGACAAGGTTTAACCAATAGAGATTGCTGAAAGCCGGGGCTAATGACTGAAAGGTGCGCGGAGGCGGATTACGCCGGGCGGAATATACTATATGAATGATAATACGCGGAAATTCGGACACACATAAAGGGATGTCCACAAAAGCCCTATTTTGTAATGGCTCTGCATGTGCTTCTTCACATTACAAGATCCATGGAAAAGCACAGGAGATACAGGCCGCAGATGAGACCCGCGTTCAAATGGCGAAGCCGATAATATAAACAAGCATCCCTCCAACAGCCAGCAGCTCTTTCCCCTATTCCCGTTATTCCCGGGGTTTTTATGACGATGGTAGTCATGGGACTCAGCATTGCAGTGATCCCATACTTGTAGGCGGTACCTGCGTGAACCGCGCAATTCTTAAGCAGTACCGGAAACCGGGACGATACAATGGCCTCCTACATCGTGACCCTGATCTAATACCGGGATGTCTCATGTACCTAATCTGATCAACTGAATTTACCTCAAGGTGGTTGGGCCCTCGATGGCTGTAGTTCTTCCAACTACTCAGCGCTCGAGATACAACTGTCAATGCGTGTACCGTATGGCCTATCGAGAGGCCCTTGCCATTCTCTTGCACCCTGAGCCAGGGAGGAATAGCCCTTTTCTGGGAGAAGGCAGCTTGGTTCACAATCTATGTACTAAGCACACGACCGCAAGTCTACAGAAATCAGTTTCACACATTTGAATGCGTGCTTGGCAGATGATAGGAGGAAGTGGTGCCCGTTGGCCAAGAGCTCCTTGCTACAGCATTAAGTAATCAGCGAAAGAAAGGGCCCAATGTTAACCACAGGAGTCCTTTATTCATCGATGGAGTGGCGTTGAACCAATTTACAAAACAGGGTTGGATGTCGTGAATTAGAGAAGTAACCTAGCTGGGTATGGTGTAGACAGGTGGTGGAATGGCGGGTTTGAATATCCCTCATTTGGTGTGGCCCATGAATGAAGCGGATGTGTACTGCCCAGATACGGGTTGCATTGAGTGATCGAGAACGTGCCTAATTGTGTGGGACACGAGAAGTGGTGTCCTTAACCTCAGAGCGATGTAACACGGCGTGTCCAGACATCTACGCCAGCACAATTCCTTTTCTCTTCATTCGATTATTCCGTCTGACGTTATTGTCAATCACGTTAGCCTGGTGGCATTACCAGCCCGTACTACCCTGCATTGCATGATACTAACTTTGTGCTAACTTCTGACAATTATCCGAAAGCACCAGATTAACCGGATTCCCTGATCCCCCGAAGTCTATGTATAGCGCGCTACTTTTGAGACCTCTAAGTCGAAGATGATTGGAGGCTAGACGCGTCTTTTGAGAGCATCCTAGTTTCTAATTTTGGCGCCATCGCGATTATACTCCTTTCGGTCTAGATGGTGCCGGTTAAGAGGGGTACACTAGGATTATAAAGCTAAACTCAAGGTCTCGTAGGAAGTTACAACGCAGATTATAACCGGCCCACCTGTTTATTATGTGATTTGTACAGCCTGTATATTATCATTTAGTCGTGGGAATCAGACACCACGATTTGCAATTGTTCAACAGCTGCGCGTAGACGCGTTCTTCGTACAGCTATTCCACTTCTGTAACCAGCTTGAAATCCATGGCTGGGGGACAATATAAAAAGAGCAAACATTAAACAAATCTCCAATTCATGGAATTTATCGTCGATATTGTCAAAGGACAACCGAGCAAGCTTTACGCAAATGGGCTTTGGCGGAAGCTCGCGCATCGCTTCTTCAACAAGCATAGCATCGCTGTTTAGTGTCGGGGAAGGACCCTGTGCACTCGCGTTGGTCTGGGATGCTGCCCAAAGGCAAGCTCTTGCGAGAGCACTCCGCTCCCCTTGCCGTGCAGGATGTGCAACACTCACTGTTGACCGCGATATGGCATTTTCGCCTGTACAGACTAGGAACTGTCAACTCAAACTCCGGAAATGAGCTTCATGAAAGGGGAAGGGGAGTCAACCAGCAGGCGTGGCCCGCTTCGGCCGGTCTCATGGTGGTTTAGTCAGTCATCAATATTTCGTGCTCTCTCCGGTTAATAAACCCACACTTGCACTTAGTCTCTGGTTATGACACCAACTGGAAGCGCAGGAATGCGAAAACGTCGAATGCTGAGATACCCCAACAACCAACTCGAAATATTGTCCCTCATTTCGTTAGTATGTAGAGTAGTGACATACTACGTATCACCTACCTGGTAGAAAGGGATTATGCTATGTAGCCCACTTTTCTTCGTATTTTCCCGTAGTAAATCCACTAGTAGTATTCACCGAAGGGAGATATTATTGTGGTGGGGTAATAATACCATGTACCGGAGAGGTACCGCAGACTTCCAGCGGGGTTTCTGATATTTGGCCTGACTGTCTAATGGACCAGCCCATTATCCAGAAATAGCCTCAATTCGACCCTGGCTCAGTGCGCGTAGATGCAGTCTAGCTAGACAAACCTTTTGTGCAATTCCAGAAGAAGTCCTGCTGGTGTGAGCACTGATAAGCCTCCTGCGCTCTCTTCATGAACCCTATCGCCAAAACAGTCGTGAAATATATTTCCTCTCAAACCAGGAAGCTAAGAGTTAACACAGCGGGATGTCCTAAGAACCCCCCAGGCTATGTTCGACCCTTTCAGTGACGCCGAAATTACTCCAGAGTATACCCAGGCAATGTCCTCAAATAAAAAATAGGCTAGACACTTTCTAAACCTTCAATTGAACACAATGATCGGTGGGATATTCGGTAGCCATCCATGCTGTCTCGCGTACTGAACTGTATAATAGGGACTTCACAACCCCGCACAAGCTGCTAAGACAAGTACATACCGGGTGAGGCAGGCGTTTGACTTCCTGGCTCTACGTCTAGCCCCGTATTCTTCTTGTTGCCCATGCAGACTCCCGTGGCAGTATAAAAAAGGTGAGCGATCCGTTCTACAAACCTACAACATAGCCTAACTCACCATCTTCGCTGTATCCCCAAGATAGTCTTCACTATATTGCTCCTCCGTCATGCTTTCAATTCCAGCTTCATTGCTGCTCATTGTGCCAGGCGTTGCATGTTGGCCTTCGCGAGCAGAGAACTTTGTCACAAACATTGTCAGGTTAGCTGACCAAGAGGACAGCATTGCAAAGCCGATTCGGAAAGACATCGCCGCATTGTCTATTGAATTCTGCTACATCACAGACTATCTGGGTGACGTCGACCAGCCCAACACCCTCTCACGCGTCCTCCTTCAAAACATTGAAGACATAGCTGGTGCTCCCCCTGTCATCCGCATTGGCGGACACACGCAAGATGTCGCCTCGTTCTGTGCCGATTGCCCGCAGACATTGAACAGCACCTTTGCAAGCGGTAACGACGAAGCTATCGATGTCAGCTTTAACAAAGACCTCTTTACTGTCTTAAACGAAAACGTCCCAGCGCGGCAGGAGTTCATCCTCGGTCTTAACTTCGGCCGCAACGACGTGTCCATTCCCCTTGCTGAAGTCGAAGCCGCGGAGAAGTATATGTATCCGTCGCGTCTGCGGGCATACGAGCTCGGAAATGAGCCCGACTTCTATGGCCCGTCGCAGCGCATGAGGCCATGGACTGTGGACAACTACGTTGCAGAGCAAGAGGATTGGCTCAGCCAGCTGGGGAAGAGGACGAGAAAAGGATTCTCGATCGGAGCGTTAGCACAGCTACCTGTCTATCAGGGAAACTTTTCTTTGGCGGAGATCACCGCCCTCGGCCTGCCGGAAAAGATAGATTATGCAGTGTCGCTTTCGGACCACACGTATCCATATTCTCGCTGCGATCGTGAGTGGCATTAGACCCCCTGATGAGGACTCTTTTCTGACGAGGGCCAGCCGCACGAGAAGCCCGGGTGTCACTTCCTGAGCTCATGAACCACACTTCCATGGTGGAGTACTTCTCGCAATGGGCCCCTGAGATCCAAGCTGCAAATCATGTTGGTCTCCATTTCCTAATGGGGGAGACGGGAAGTGTGTCTTGCCACGGCATGCAAGGTGTAAGCAATACACTTGGTGCCGCGCTTTGGGAGTTGGACTATATGCTCCATGGGGCAACCATAGGGATGAGCGGCGTGTACTTCCATATGGGGACACCGTTCTACTACAGTATGTGGCAACCTGTCCCCCACAATGGAACGGCTGCCACAGTCTACCCTACGTAAGTTATATTTCAAGGCACATGAGCCCTTCCATATAAACCAACCGAGTCTGGATGAGTATTGACAGTGTGAATGAAGGTACTACAGCTTGCTGTTTATGGCGGCAGCTCTCACGCTCAGTAACCCGCACATTGTCTCCATCCCGGTGGCAGATCCTACCCTAGCAGTCTATGCGCTCTATGATGGCTCACCATCAGCCCCAACGAGACCCGAACGTCTTGTAATTCTCAATATGGATTTCTTGGAATCAAGTGTTGAGGACCGAATCGCTCCGAGGGCCTTGATCGACGTTTCGCATCTACTTGGAGAGCGAACGAAAATAAAGCGGCTGTCCGGACCAGGAAGTGACGCGACCTCTGGCGCAACTTTCGCGGGACAGAGCTATGATCTGGGCAGGCCAACAGGTAGGAAGGTGGTGGAGAAGTCTGGGGGAATCGTTGTGGTGAGGAGTAGCGAGGCGATCCTTGTTGAGAGGTATTAGGCATCTCTCAGTAGCGAACGTCCGAGACTATTTACGCCTCTCAGGATCTGAGTCAATTGCTTTGATCGAAGGGCGATATATTTGTGGGAGTGAGTGACCTAAATATACAAGACTGTCTCAACAGCCTAGGTAGCGTAGATGGCAAGGAAGTTTGGTCTGTCTGCAATTTGGATTGCGTGAATTTACCATCAACAAGACTTACTAGCCTAGAGGGCCAGAATTGAATAATATGAACATGCTTTAATGTTCTTCATAGCTATCACCGTCCATACAACAGTATAGATATACCACATTCGAGGCTGGTGCCAACCCGCACTCTCATCCCATCACAAGGCTCATAGGTCCATAGTCCGTCTAAGGTGCTTCCACATTGTGCAATTTCTGTTCTGCCATTCGGGAACCTCTTCCATTGCCGTGTTGTTAGTCTGCAGCCGGATTTGTGATCCCGAAAGTCTCCGCCAAGGTTTCCATTCCGGTGACTCAGGGCGTTTGTTAGTGTTGGGATTCAAATGCTGCACAAAGCTCGACCAGTAAGCCATGACGACAGGAACAATGGGGGCATTGGTTGTGTAGTAAGAGTTCGCAGCCCAGCCCGCTTGTCCGGGACCAAAGACAGCGCTTGTCTCAAAAGTATGGGGGACCCCGTACCCACCGGCTACAGTCCCTGGGTCGAGTACATTGTACCTGTAGCTCCACACCCTGTTGGCGCCCGTAAAGTGCGCTACGGCGCTGGCCATCTCGTTGGCAGGGCAGGTGAAGGTAGCATCACCATAGGCAGCCGAAGCACTGGGGAAGAATGCTGCGTGGTCTGGGAGGGGGCCCATATTCGCGTATTCTTCATTGATTTCTTCCAACTGGGCCTCCAGCAGACGGGGATAGTTCGCTCGAAGGAAGGAAGAGACCTCCGTGGCGGTAGACGCGTTGTTGGCAAAATATGACCCCTCGTTCGTTGTGTGACCCACAAGTATCGGAACGCGGGCAAACTGTCCTTCTGTAAAAAGGGTGTATAGTTGATCAGGAACCAATGTGCCGTCAATGACGGGTAGCCAGTAGAATAGTGGTGTGGGATCGCCGGGTGCGGCGCCGGGAAAGGCAGAGCCGCCGCTCGCTGCTTGGAGCGCAGAAATGTTCATCCCGCGTAAACAGGCCAGGGACGAGCAGCCAGTCAATTGTAACACCCGCTGGTACTGAAAGTCCATTTCCGAGACCGATCGAAGTGTCGGCCAGAATGGACTCTCAAGAATCGCGCCGATAAAAAGCCGCTCCTGGCCATGGCCTCGGTAGGCTGTGAGATGATGAGACACAGAGCCACCACCAGCCGACGTGCCTTGTATGACGACATGGTTTGAATCGCCGCCAAACTTATTGAGAAATGATGATTAGCTACGTATATGATGGCCTTTGCGGGAGCGCTGCCAACACACCTTCCTGATATGCTTTTGAACCCAGAGAAGGAGTTGGCGTTGGTCAAGAAGACCGACATTCAAGTCAGCATCATCTCCAAAGTTGTCACTGGCAATGAACCCAAGAACGCCAACACGGTAGTTAAACATCACTACTACCATGTTCCCACCCGAGGAATGAATGATCTCTGTGCCATTATAGTTTGCGTTCCCCATAGCTGCGTATCCGCCACCTTGAATGTATACCAGGACGGGCAAGTTTGACTCTGTCGTGGCGTTTGAGGGCCTGAACACATTGACAAAGAGGCAGTCCTCGTCTAGACCATTACCGGGCTGCTGCCCCGTACCGAGACAGAGAGCTCCGAACTATAAGTTGGGTTGGCGACTCAGCTGAGTCTGTAAAATTGGTAGGAACAGTCCTTTCGGGACGAAACTAACCTGTGATGCGTCTTGTTCTTCGTAGTGGTCCTCGGGTTCCTGGGGTGCTCTGAATCGGAGGTCATCAACCGGAGCCTGCGCATATCGCATACCCAAGAACTGGTCCACACCTCCAGGAAGCCTGACGCCACGGTATTTTGAGTAGCCAAGGTCGACTTTCGGATGGTCCGGGGCAATACTCTCACTGGCATTTGACAAAACCGAACCACTACATACGGCAACGAGATAGATGCCCCAGGTGATAAGTTTGTGTGGCGTCATAATTTGGACAAGTGAAATGGAAGGGCTCGTTGTACGCTTCGCTGGGTGAAATTGTCTGCACGTCGTCGCCAAGCTTCTGGGTTTTTATGGCATTCTCCAGAGGAGAAATGGATAAGGAATCTCATGGCCACAGCCTAAATATCCAACACATCACTTTGGTGGTGGGTGGGGGTAGTTTGGTTTCCATTTTCCCGGTTGGAATAGGCGCTACTATGGGAGCGATCTTCACTCATTCTAAACTAAGGTGTCTACAGGTCCGAATGGAATGGATAAAGGGTACGTCCTGTCATTGATCCATTTTTCCGGCCACGGCAGATTGCAGAAGGCTGTTCTTAGGCCAGGTAGAATACGCCAACAGCAAGGAAATGCCATGCTCGCGGGGACGAGAACCGAGGCTATTAAGCTTCCGGTACGTACCCGGCGTCGCGTTTGAGAAGTGCTGGTTGGCCCAACTTTATTGTTTTCCGCACTGTAACGCTGTACCCCATGGGGTCGTCAATTCTTAATACGAGGTACTATCCCCAGTCAGGGTCCCGGAGCAATACCCCGCCACGTTTGCAGACCGAGATCTTCGTCAACATGTGTACACCGGTGTTGATCATATCCAGAACTATCAGTCTGGCCTGCACCGGAAAGTGGTTTTTGAACCAAATCCATTGGCGTTGAACATTATCCAGAAGCAAGTAGCCAGTGGAATACTGTCTACGGAGTATGAGATGCCTACAGGCCCAACTCATCTGCAGCACCTGGCGCTCCATTCAACTGTAGTTTAGAAGACATAAATATCGATTCTCCCCGCTGTCTGACCTATGTCTGGATCAGATCCGAATACCTTCCAATCTTTCCAAACAGCAAAACATCGAAATTTCCGACAGCCACCATGAAGCCAGCCTGTCATGCCATTTTGACCTTCTGCACTCTCCTGAGCGGACTGAGTCGGTTTGCCAATGGGGCTGACTCGGGCACTTACTACTTCAAGCACTTCAGTACTTCTGGTACCATCTCCCCATGGTATAAAGACGACAGCTCATGGGGAGTAAACGCACCGGATGGTACTGGGTTCACCGTCATGGTCACTGGGGAGGACTGGGGGACTTGGTCGCCAGTTCATACCCTGCCTAAGAAGCTTAAAGATCTCAATCCCGATCATAAGACATGGTTCAGTCAAAACGCCTATCCTGCGCAGGGCGCCGGGTATGATGCCTGGTAAGCTTTCTTTGCCATGTGACATTGCTCCACGTTGTATGCATAACTGAGATGAGATCTATCAATTAGCTATGATATCTTCATTGATTCAAGCTACGCCCCTACCGATCGTAACTCGCAGCACGAGGTGATGATCTGGGTTGCGTACCAGGCTCCCAATAGTCCCCTCTCAGACTATTATGACTCGAACGGCGCGGTACCATGGGCACGGAATGTGAACATTGGTGGCAAGCAGTGGGACATCTACCTATACCAGTAAGGCTCAGCAGAAGACTTGTTGCTGAAGTCAAGGGTGCTAATTCCGCTTCACTTTGGCAGTTGGCCCAGTGGCGGTGCTCTAACTATGACATACGTTGATACGACCAACGCAGGTTGGTTCTCAGGTAGCTTGATGCCATTCTTCCAGCATGGTATTAGCAATGGCTGGTACAGTGAGGATCACTACTTGACAAGTGTCATGGCGGGCTGGGAATTTAACCACGGGAACTACGAGGCAACGTCGTGGGGAGCAGTAGGGTTCTGAGGGTATTTTATGAGGGTATTTTATCAAGTGCCTCCAAGCATATTTGCTTTCTCCAAGACTCAGAATTCTAAAAACAATACTCCGGCGTGAGAACGACATATTCCCACTTTCCTCCAGATATCCGATATCCTAACGTAGCAAGAGTGGCCAAATTCGCCCTTAATGAACAACCTTACTGGGATATGTGGTAAACGACATGGCAGTGGCCAAACAAGCCGATAATACCGCACTTGATGCAGCAGTTAGGAACGCGTCTTATCACTTAAGTGAATGGCATGTATCTCTACCCAACTATATGCGCGATACGCCGGCGAATCTGGCCCGGTATGCATCTGAAGGTCAGTCCTGTGAAATCCTCCATACGGCTAGCGCCGATCCGGACTGTAAGGCGTTGCATAACATAATAGGCCATATCCTAGTCATCTTGTCCACTATTTAGTTATACATTTTACTCTTAGCATCGATAATAAGGAGATTAAAATTGCGTGAACCCGAATAGAACGTAATTTTAAGATTCTATGGTGTCTTCGGACCTTCTAGCTTATATCAGATTATCCTTCTGTTAATTTCGAGCCATTTACGAGCCTGTTAGATCTCTATAAGTCCAGAAGCCTCTTTTCTTTCTCTTCTGTGCGTCTCCTTGCCCTTGCACTGCAGGGAAAGGCCAAGTAGGTGGATACTGTTCCGACGACGGGGACCATATCATACTAGCAGCATAAATATGATATCCCCTGAAAGGATACGCGCTTCTACAATTACTCCGTCGCCACCCAGGTTCCCACCATATAGGTAGATATTTCGTTAATCCTAGGCCGCGTGAGCGAACAGCAAGGGTGGATTGAAGAGGTACATAGGTAGCTTTAACCGACTCGACGCTCCTTGGCTCGCTCGTGTATCTTTACAATCTCAGGCGCCCGCAGAGTTTAGGGACTCTCTTACCGGTTTGCTACATGCCTAATGCTAAAAAAGGCAACCAGGTACAAAGGGGAAAGGACAAATCTTTCTTAGAACGGGCGAGTGCAGATAGAGAAAAAGCTAATGGGCTTGTTATCTACGCAGGTAGAAAGTTTTACACAGACTTCATTCCCTCCGAAACGGATTGCGCACTAATAATTCACGGTTTACGAAGTATAAGTGTCTATAACATATTTATAAAGCATACCTGTCTAGCTACCTCGTTAAATCAGAGATCTGTTCCTCCATTGTTTTGCGCACTCAACCATAATGGCCAATATTACAACCAAGGAAATGTGGGAAAAGGTCAAGCGGTACTTCGGGGATGGTCACGTTCCAGGGTCCGCTCCACTGGGATTCGATATGCATATTTGCAAAATAGATGGACTATCCACACCCTCCAAAGCCACTAGCACTGGCATAAATGGGAGCGTATATGGTGTGGAAATTAGTGAGCCTTCAATGTCCTTATTTTCCGTCTGTACGTGGACCGTGGCAATCTACTGATTGAAGGAAAGAGAGACTAACTCAAAATAGTAGGGGACACAGCTTCTCCACATTGCAGCTGCTTCGATGTGGCTACTGTTATTAAGCACATCGAAGAGTATCTTACGACGGCGCCTGACAACCATCCAAACGACTTCACAATTACCAGCTGGAAAAATGACATCGACGTGGAGGACGCCAACCTGTATGCCATGCGCGACGCCGTCTGTTGGTGGACTCACTGGACCGGTACGCTACGACCAGAGAACTACTGGAAACAGATGTACGCCGCCTTTTCTACCATTCTAGATGATGTTCAGATCCCTCCCACCTCCATAGCGGATGGTTCGTACAGATGTTTGGGCCACACATGGGCCGACTGCAAGCAAGGACTGATTGACGAGGGAGTCCCTCCGACATGGGTTGAACTTGCGGAAATGTGCCTCTGGCGTGAGGCGCTACTACAGTACTTTGAGAAGATCGACCAGGTGTACTGCTTGCTAAAGGCCAAAACCACCCTTATGACGCAGTATCGCACCCTCACCGGTTATGGTATTAGCGAGTGAGAGCAAAGACTCCAGAGAGGCAGGGAAATTCGCACTCGAGGCAGCCGCTATAGCTGACTGCTTGAGCATGGACATAGCGAAGGAATCGCTGGGGATATTACAGGGGGAGAAAACAGAGACAGTAGCCGGAGATAGAGCGCAGCTGAAAAGAGAGCTGCATGAAGTATCTAAAAGCTCGGCCCAATGCGCATATACTGAGGCGTTTTGGTTCTGGGGGTCTCCATTTCGTTCCTATGATGGACCGATATCTTGAGCGTGTGCGAGGCAACATTCGGGTTCCTATCACAGACGCCCAGGCACGCAAACTCGAACCGTTCATTAACCGGTCATATGTTCGGGAAGGGCTGAATCCGAACGGGCTGGTTCAACACGCACAAAAGGAGAGGGTTATAGTGAATCAATAGTGTGCAGCGTTCTCTCAAACACCAGATCTTAAAGCACCCAGGATTCCTATGTTATAGTACTGATGGAATTTATGTTAGACTGTCCGCCTCTATAAATTGCAAGGCAGGCAATTCCTGCTTTGTTTTGACAAAAAATCCACTCGTATAGTATGAGTGGTCTAACGCACAGACCAGAAAGTAGCAAAAAGACCTGATAGTGAAAAGAGTGAGCAGGCAAATAAAAGAGTCTCTGGGTCCTGAAACGAAGGGAACGAGAACGTGCTGCTTTGGAGGCACCTGGGTATTTTGTATTTTATTAGCTTCGCCTTTTGAATGCTAATATCTTTTGCGATCTCCATTCCCAGAGGTTCTCTGTCCAGTTTCAAAGCGTCAAGGCCAGTTTTGATTACAGCAATACGAATACGACAATGTGGCTGGGCTAAACCACTCGCTAGGGGATTAAGTATCCTAGAATCCCAGGAAACACGAGATTTTGTTACGAATACGAGGATATATCAAGGTCCGTTAGGATAGGTCCTAGGTATTTGCGAGATCCATAATCATCTCCGCATAACGTTATCTTCCAACCACAACCGAAAACATAACAATGCCCTTCCATCGGGTGTCCATAATATAAATACAAACATCCCTTAGATTCTTTGATTCTAACTACAAACTGAACAACAAGACGTCATTACCCAATTCACTGGATAACAACCATGTCTTCTGGGTTCTCCAGCAACAGCCTTTATTGGCAGACACAGGCACCCTTGCAAAAGGGCAATGCTACCATTCTTTTCATCCATGCTTCGTGGATGTCATCAACCATGTGGGAAGAGACTGTCCAGCTTCTTGCGCCGCACTTGTCAGATGTCAACCTCCTCCGCATCGATTTGAACGGCCATGGAAAGACCACCGCCGGCCGCAAGGAATATACTCTCTGGGATCAAGCTGAGGATGTCCTCGCTCTCTTGGTATGGTAAATCTCATACAGCCACAGCCAAAGCTAATACCTTGCAGGGAGAGCTTGAACTCTCTCAAGTCATCATCGCAGCCATCTCCATGGGCTCGATGATCGCCCTCCGCCTGGCTCTGCTGAACCCCGCCAGAGTTGTGGGCCTTGTTCTACTCGGCTCCAACGCATCTGCTGTGACGGACGTCCAGCGTAGCGCCTTCTACCAACTTCGCGATATCTGGGTTGCAACACCTGCTCCCAGTGAACAGATTATGAACGCCGCTATCCTGGGCTGGGGCGGGAATCCTGATGTCGACAGCCCGCGTGCGATTCAGATCAAGAAGGACTGGGTTCATCGCCATTCCGGCGCTGAGAATGTGGTGCCTACCCTGAATTCGATGATGGAGAGGGATACCCTGCTTGATCGACTGGGTGAAATTCGTGTTCCGGTTCTTCTGATTCATGGTGAGGATGATAAGACATATCCGCTAGAGGATGCTGTGGACATCAAGGAACAACTGGTTAACACAGATGTGCGTTTGGAGGTTATTAAGGACGAGGGTCATCTGTTGATTCACTTGAGAGAAGCCAAGGACGTGGCTGAGTGGATTCAAGCTTTTAAACAGAGAGTTCTCGCATAATGTTGATGGTTTATGTTCCAGTTGTGGTTCATTGACTTCACTGCTCGTCAGGGCGTTGCAATAGTTCCTACGTTTCCCAAGGTTAGCATATCTCAAACTTTGTCAACAAGTAAGCTTGACGGCAGGTTGTAGGCGCTTGATATTCTATTCTGCTGCCTGACTGTGGTGGTGCGGTCTCATGAGTGAGTCGGCTGCTTCTTTGTACCAATACTGACCAATGGTCGTATCAGACTGCAATGTCTTTCTGACCAATTCCTTTGTCCTCCAAGCCTTGGCCAAATCCAAGAGGCATAAGCGGAGGTAGAGGAGGTTGAGACTATATTGAAACTCTGTCAATCCGGGCAATAGCGGCGACAAGAATGTGAGGACCGCCACATTGGTTGCATATTGGCTGTTGGAGCACGCTGATATCACCAAAGCCATCGATTGTTGTGGCGCTATCTCACTGCATAGGGGGATCTTAGTTTCTCTCTATAGAAGTTGCACTGGCAATAACATACCCGCTGCCAGTCCTGTGGGACGATAAGATTCTATTTTCTTCGAGACACCTCGCAGCTCTAGTGTACGCTCCCCATGCCGCGACAACCCCAGTCTTCCCGAATCGTCTAGACAAAGTGAGGAGCTCAAATAATGGTTTATAGGGTAGCAGAAATCCATTTCTACAACGTCAGTTCCTACAAAGAACGCTAACGCGCCTCAAACTTTCGTGGTCAGCGATATAGCGAAGTCCCTGTACCGATGTATATTTGGCTTTTTTTTTTTTTTTTTTTTTTTTTTTTTTTGATATTTCCTTCCCCGTGGACGCTGTATGAAGCAGCGCATTGTTCCACTTGGATACTTGGAATCTATTTACAACTTGCGGTGTTAGCTGCTCTCTTAAGGACATCTTCTAGCTGGCTCTGCGTATTTGACCATGACTATTTTCGGGCAGTTGGTTCGCCATATTCCAACCTCCTAGTCGAACCTCGCATACACCCTCCACACCAAATCTATCAAACCCAGCTGCTCACAATCTAGCAGCTGAGTTGTCCATTTAGTAAATAGAGTTGGATACGCATGGACCTCATCTCCGAATGATCGGTCGATGTGGATTTCTCCGATCTCGCCGGTGGTAGTGATGTCGTACGATACCCGCGCGCTCTGCGGCCCACGGGTGAAATAGAAGACCTTCCCATCTTGGATATCCGCATATAGCCCCAACGTCGAGATTCAGGTTGACGCGGTACACCCCGTTGTTGAGATTCTTCGGCCGGCGACGGGCGCCACGGAGATACGCTTGTAGGCCAGCCGCGCGGAAATGCGACCCGTCTGTGAAGATGCTGGCAAAGCTATGATCGCTGGCTGGGTCTGTGCTTGGGATGAGGATTAAGCTAGCGCGGTGGGTTCGGCTTTGGAGGCTGGAGATTATTGATGGGCTAAAGTCTCCTGGGAGCTGTATAGATTTAATAGTACGGCTTTTTGATGTGTTGGAGATTTATGTTCTACTCCAGCCTCAGGACAGCATGGAACAAACCAAAATCTGGAAAAGTAATGTCTGGTATACTGAAACACAGTGAGTTCACGAGTGATGCTTTGCAGGACTAAGCCGAAGAATACAGACCAGTCTAGTCAACCTACCTAACTGAGCTCCGGTGAGGTGATGGTCGGGAGACAATGGGGGTAAGACAGACATTCCTTATCGATGTAACAAAAAAAAAAAAAAAATAAAAAATAAGCTGATGCAAGCAATGCTCGATCATGCCTACATGGCGTGATGGAGACCGGCGGCACTATCATACACTTGCCATTCAGAATCACTCTCCGCTTGTAAATAGCTCGCTACTGGTTCTGGTCTCCCTGGCTGTGCCACTGAGTACACGAACAATCGTCTAATTCAAGACTTGCTTGACTTAACACTCCGATACCGTGTAGTGCTCAAGCTCACCTATTCGATCTCCTGGGGTTAACTGGGTATTTCCCATTGTCTGGCGATTCATTATGTGATGGATGGATCGACAAGACTCATTCCGGGAAGAGACATATTGAACAATGCACCGGAAATCCACCTGGAATATCCAAACAAATAGTGCTCAAAGAGATGTAATTGGACAGGATTGGTGCGAACAGTGCGGTCGTGTTCATCTGCTTCCTGGAAAACCCGCCAACTGGGGCGGTTTCCCACTCGCCTAGCACGGGAGCTTCTATAGCCATATTCGTAGCCAGTTAGGCCACAATCTAAATCAGTGTTAAAGGCGGTAGCTAACGTGCTAGGGCCCTAGTGGAGTAGGATCGAAAAAGTGTTTTAAGCGATAATTATGCGGTTTTCTAATTCTCCAGGCCTAGAAAAAGAAAATTAGCAGTGAATTCTTCTATATTAATTTATATATACTAGCTATTTTGGTCGACGGATTTGGCGTTATAGTGGTGGAAAAATGATGAAAATAATGAGTTGTATGGCTTTAAGGGAGGTGGAATGTGGAAGAGGAATTCTATCGGACCCGGTTCCGGGGGCGCTCCGGGTTGTGGTTCATGACTGCTGGCTCAGGGCAGCCGCCTGCGCATTTAGCGCCGGGTAAAGCGCGGGACGGGCCGTCGCAGTGGCCCTGTCCGCACACAGCGATATAGTGATGGAAGGCTTCTGCCAGAACAGAGCTTGTGCGTTTCGTAACTGGGTCGCCAGAGTGGCTTCGAACATCTTATCCTGCTTGTCGAAGTCCTGCTGATAGTACTCAATGCTGATGCTGTCTGTCTGGACGGTGATCGCCGCCCGGGCGTGATTCGTCTCTGGGCCTAGCTTCAAGCAGACACTCTGCGACACATTGTGGCTCTGCACCGTCACTGGTTGGTTCAGGATGGATGTACAAGGCAGGGTGGACCTTCAGGGTCACGGGGGCCTCGGCAGTCAGGACCCGCGCAGCCAGGACAAGCATGCTGTCTGCCGTGGGGGCGAGGATCGTTTCTGGAGAGTCGAAAGTCAGAACGTCGGTGTATATACACATCATGTTGTGGGCCAATAAATCGGAGCCGAGGTGAGTAGATGTCAAATACACATCTCGCCGGTAGCCAGTTTTTTATTTTCCATCCAGAATCTCACTCATCAACTCGGTGGACGACAATTACGAGCATATGTCGAGACTTCCTGTGTCTTTAGTCCCAGAATCCTCTTTGACTGGCACTGCACCAACTACTATTGACAACATACTGACCCCGCCAATTGGCCGGGCAAGCGGGCTGGGGCTCATAAGGGATAGCCATGGTTACCTCTCGCCCAAGGAGATGGAGATTGGAAACCGCCTGTCTAAAGCGGGAAAAAGTACCATGATTTATACTACGTAGCTGCCTGACAATCATCGGGAATGTATATGTCAGTATGGTCACAAAGCTTGCATTATGACATGGACATGTATTCCCTGCACACTGGTCAGGCTTTTCTTGTCTCCCAGGAGTAACAGGAAATGCCTCGTCCTGCAAGTATCCCTGCAGTGCTCTAAGCCGGCATGCTGGTGGTACAATTCACGTCGCAACACGTCGATTGCATGCTCACCGATTTATAATATAACTTCCAACATGTATCGTGGAAGTTCGACACTCATCACCTCGAATCAGTTTGGCCCTCTTATAACCATGGGTAAAACCGAATTCAGCAAGCGTCAGCAGTCCTCACTAGACACTCCAAAAGGGATATTTAACGAGGTATTTTTTGACATCGAGACTCCCTGACAATACTGAAGAGACGCTTACAGCTTCGCGTCAGATCATCGCCGTGTCATAAAAGGCCATCAACAATGCCATGTCCAATCTATTGACGAAATATCCAGAACTAACTCAGGTAAATGCTTCGGTAGAAGGAATTGGCACTCCGGATGTAACACTGAAGAGCAGCCAACTTTCCCTGAATGTAGCCGGCCAGGAGAATCTCGGCTCCATGCACTTTTGTACCATGTCGTTCGGCACGCTCCATCTCGAAATCGGGTCACATCGCACGGCTAACTCCATATGGCTGGCTAGCAATCGCAAAAGGGACATCGAAATCAACGACTGGACAATTGCTTGGACTTGCACTGTCGACAAAGAGGAGATTCCACCAAGCTCTGACGAATTCAAGGAATTTCAAAATCAGATCAAGCAGCCTGGTGACTTCTCGATCAGCTCTCTGTTCTTCCCCTTTACTAGTAAATATGATTGTACTGCATGAGAGGACATTTATTGGCTGACGAGCGTGCGTTTGCGACAAGATGACCATATCATCAACTTTGAGTCAGTGGCCATCCCCCTTGTTGTCTTTGTGACCTTGATCAGCTTTTGTTACTGACAATGGCCTCCCAGCCGCCAACAGAACACCTTTAACGGGCCTGACCTGACCGACGAGGAAAAGACCTAGCTGAGTGTGATCTTAAGTCATTGGTACGTCGTCCAGGACAGTAAATGGCAGGGTCGCCAGAAGTGCACCCTAGGCTATGCGCTACATACGGCCAAGACAGACAGTGTGAACGAGCAGGTGCCATCCTTCCTCCCAGCATCTCTGAGGATGCAGACCTACCCTTACGTTTCCATCAACGAGACAAAGCCGGGAGAAGGCCTTGTGCCGGCCGGCGATAACGATATGTTACTCTACCTGCAAATGACCAAGAACCGACCATTCGCAGATATTCGGCTTCTGGAATATTCTGGGACTCTCCGGGCATCAACGGGACGGTTATCATCGACCATAACATCATCTGGGATAGCTACCTCCTGCGGACTGCCCCTCAACTGCTGTCTCTCTTCAATGCTTATACATAGTCGTGGGTCGGCAGCACGAGTATCGAAGATATCCTGGCATAGCAATGGAAGATTGCGGTGTGGACCACTAGCCATTCGGCTGATCCCAGTTATTATGCGTGAAACCAGAGCGCATCGGACCCCGTGATGTGGACGTGGTCTCCATCACATGAGGAACAGAGCATAACACACTCAAGAAAGAGGGCGGTTGGAATAGGGCTCGACATTGATTGTAAGTATATTTATTGTTGTCTCGGACTAGATGAATCCAATTGATGACGTTGGCATTTAAGGTACCACATCTAACAAGCTGAACGCGGTGCCGAGAGCTTGCAGCATCAATGCGAGCGGCATTACGGACGTTACCATCAAGTGCCCGTCGGTCGGAACCACCGCCCCTATGATTTGGGCATACGCCTACACTTGAGTACCGTTCTTCGTCTCTTACTTTTTACTGGATCCAACTAACGGAGAACATTCAGCATACATGTCCGAATCACCTGGCAAGCCGTGATCACCGTCATGACCACCGACGGTGGCCTAAAAGTTTCTCTCACACTGCCCACTGATTTGACCAAAGTCTTTCAGGTGAAGGCGGATGAGTTGCAGTTTCTTGGTGAAACTGTGGGCACCAACCATCTGGACCGCTTCAAGACCGATATCAGGACTTACAGGACCAGCTTGTGGAGCAATATCAACAGATCTCGTTTGGAGACGCTGAGACAAGCCTGGAGAAGGACCTCAACACCTCGGCCCGCTTCGTGATTCCTGGGAATGCTTGGTTGTCGTATGAGAACCCGATTCTCAACACGAGTGGGGACTTTATGATTGAGGCGAATTATATAGTATAGTGTGCGGAGTATGTTGTTTTATCAGATAGATGCGGAGCAATGGCGATCGATGTTTCCATTATGTTCATCAGTCAGAGTTGACAATGTGACGCCTTAATGCTCTTTTTCTGTCAGTGGACTGGCGTAATTCCGTTGCCGCCGCGGATCTTCATGCTGACGATTGATTCTATCCGAGGCATTTCTAGATACCTAATCTACCCAGGTAGGGTACCCAGTAGCTCAACGATATTAGGCACACCCTCAAGCCAAGTGACGCAATAAGAGACCAGGACGGCCCCCAGAATGCGGGGTCTGATCTGTGAAAGACCGATCGGACAGGATCAGGCCACATTAGTGCTGCCACATCTTGTTTGGACATTCGAGCCTTTAGTGCCTGGGTATAGCGACTCACCGGTTAAGTGTCTCCGCCAAAAGCAACGGGCAGGGCGTCGCAGGCTGACCTCAATTTATCTTCATCATGATGCACCGGCCCGTGGGGCCACAAGGTCCACTGTACGAGGAGGGTCCGATAGGCTAGGTCTCATGCATGTCTCGGTCAGCGAATCTAACCGAAGTGCACAAGCCGCCACTGTCTTGGTTGTTGCTTACATATACCTCAGGTGCGGAGTAGTTAGCTGACTAGTTGACTAACTAAGTAGTTAACTAGAGCTGGTGAGAAAACAGGCCCCCGATGATATTCCGGAGTAAGGAAGGCAGTGTGTCACTACTCTGCCTATTGCTGGCCTTTAGGCCCACAACCCCCAGATCATGCAAGATGGAATCGGGCATTTGCTTGCCACGATGTCTCATTACAGCCTGCGGGCAAGACAATCATCTAAGACAGGGCCAATAGGTGGATCAGTCTAAGATTAGCACTGGCTTCGGTTTCTCCGCTGCACAGCTAAGGAATGCATCATGTCACTCCCTTGGTATGAATACTACCCCGCTTGAGACAAACTTGAGGTCATCAGGTCACCGACTCTGTACATAAGCCGCATCAAGCAAGGCTGCTACTAAGCGATGGATAGGAAAAAACGTATAAATAAGACGACTCTCTCCCCTTCTCTTGTCATCACTTTCAGTCCACTTCAATTGAGCCATCCTCCATTACTCTCAGGCAACATCATCCAAACAGCCTCCTCCCACACCTGAAAAACAGTTACTTGCTTGTTATAAACCGCAACCATGCAGTTCTCCCTCAGCCAGCTCTTCCTCGCGGCCCTCTCCTGTTCAACGGCTCTGGCCGCCCCCGCCCCGGCCTCATCCAAGTCGATGATGGTTGCCAACACCCAATGGACCATCGAGAGCATGAAGCGTGTCTGCAATTCCGCTGACACCAAATGTACCTGGACCTTCGGCATCGAGACCCCATCTGGCACCACCGCCTGCACCTACGTTGTAACGGGCAGCCCCGCCTCCCATGCCAACGGCGGGCCTTCGCAATGCGGCGCCTACACCATCACCTCCGGCTGGAGCGATCAATTCGGTGCGAACAATGGGTTCACGACCTTGTCTGTGGTCAACCAAAGCAGCCGACAAATTATTTGGCCTGCTTACACGGATGCTCAGCTTGCCGGCGGGAAGGTTGTCCAGCCTGACCAGAGCTACACGCCTTCTGTTCTTCCATGATGGAAAAGCCATTGAATCTGCCATTGAGCGGGGGAATTGACCTTATAATCTTCACAACTCGTATATTCCCCGTTATGATCGTTCGGACGCCTCATTGTGTACTTAATGTTTTACAATTGTTTACACATATAGCTCGATTTTAAAATCTTACAATTCAACTGTCTCCAGTCTTAAACAGCAGAAATTTGCCAGCTCTAGCCTTTAAGTCCCAGCTATTGCCACTGGCCTAAGCGTTCTCATAGAAGAACACAGAGTAACGATGGTCTTGGATATATCTTCTACGATAAGATATTGAAGGTCGGAAGGCCATCTTAGTCGTCAAAGTCATGCTATAAACAGATGGTCAATGTCCGGGCTTTCCGTCCACCTTTCAGACACCAGCACATAAAGCCTCCAGCAAAGGAGCACAACAAGAGTCAGCGCCAAAGACACCGCAATAAACACCTGCCAGTTCTTATTACCTTCGAGGCGGAACAGGCCTGCAGTCCATAATGTCTGTCTCTGGTTAGTGGGACCCCTTTTGCCATTTACTAGGCAATACGAAAGATGGCTTACCGCGACCAGTGTGGATGGGAGGCAGATCAATGTCAAGACAGCGATGGCCTTCACCGTTCGACTGTCATTGGCTTGCTTCTGCGCAACTGCAAGATTGACAAGGCTGTTCTTCTGGGCGATTAGATTATAAGACTGGCCACCAAAATATCAGTCCCTAGTTATTTGTTTGACCTTGGAAGGGGAGGTGATACGAACCACCTCGATCTGCCCACTGAGTCTGTTTTTCAATTCCAAGAGCTTATCGGAGAGAGATTCGCACTGGGTGAGGGTGTATTTTAACCGTGCTTCCAAGGCAGATTTGTACCATACAGGCAGGGTATCAAACCCAAGGTCCTGTCGCTTATTCTCTGCCTCGGCAACGAGATCTAAGCAATATCGTCCCATTTTTAATCCGAATCTCAAAACCGTATCGCTGTGACTAAGCTCCACATGGGTGGCATGGACCTCGTTGAGCAGAGTGCCAGATGTAGAAAGGGAGCGGAGGCGATCGACTTCAACCTCTCGTTTCCATGTTGGAGAGGTCATGTTCGTCGCGGTCTCTATCTCGGCGACCTGGTTCCAGAGAGAGGCCGCCCAGTCCGCCCATCTGTAATAACGCTGCTCGTAAACAAATGCGAGAAGATATAGCGGATGCACCTTCAGAAGGTCGGTATTCGACTGGCAGCGTGTCCACACTCCATATATGTCCTCGGCGAGCACGCTACTCATGAAAGCCAGACAGTTCCGAGAAGCAATCTGGAAGCGAACGCAACCCATAAGGTGCCTGCTGTTCCTTGGGCAACGGAAAAGAATAACTGCAGTGGCGAAGACAAGTCAGCGCAGTCAGTAAAAGCACTAGTACAGGAGCTTGTAGTGCAGCTAACTCATGGACTCTGGTTTGTGGGTCTTGTCACAGTACTGCAGGTAGGAGGAGATGCTGGGGTTTCTGCTGGTGAAGAAACTCATTGTCATTTCTTCGTCGAATCCGCCAACTTTTATAAGACATTGCAAGGATTTCGTGTCTATTTGAAGAGGCCTATATGTGGCTGAAGGGTCTCCGAGGACCGTGCTATCAGGCGTAAGCAAACGAAGCATCTGTCGTCCGGGGGGGGGGGGGGGGGGGGGGGGTGATAATTTTTATACATGAGAGCAAACTTCCCTCCCCTGTCATTTGTCCAGAATGAGTCCTGTAGTCCGCAGGATCATTAGCGGACATGAACACAGCATCGGCGTTTAGTGTCAACCAACAAGTTTTTCAAGCTTAGCCCGCAGCCCGGTATCATCGAGAAATTCTTCCTGGGCGCCGAGATCCCCCATGTTCCAGAACTGAGCTCTCGTCTTGGTTGTGCGTAATGCATGATGAATATGAATGCTCTTGTTGGGTCTCGGTAAATTGACCATGGCCGATTGCAGAGAGAACTTCAGACCCGGGAAAACAGTTGGATCCAGGAGGACAGATGCAGGTGTCACCAAACTGTTGCTGCTGTCGGATTGTGCGGGATGGCTGTCTTCTTAAATCGACTAGTATGCTACAGCCTCATTCGCGAAGCCACCGCCACGTTGTCTGGAGCGTGTTGCCTTCTGCCACCCAGCTCGTATCGTCAGCCGCCACTCCATTAGGCTCTAGATGATGAGGCCCCATGACGCATCGCAGCTGGTGTTGATTCTGGAGGTAGGCCGGTTGCTTCAGTGTCTGACCAGCCTCAAATATTTACGCCCACTTTCAGGACCTTTCTGTGCGCATTACAGTTGAAGTATATCACCCAGCTAATACAATGTTCGGTGAATGACAGGTGTTGCATGCGATTGGATTGTTATATATCGGCACTACTAGCTTCAACCCCCATAGATAGCACAGCTACTGATTTACTCCTATGTACTAAGGTTACGAAGTAATCATCAGCCGTGTTATGTACGTAGGTATTCGGGTTCCCACAGCTAAGAACTGAATACAAACCTTACCATTTACTAGCGAGACGCTGTGGTTCAGAATCACGGATAAATCACATCGTTGACATTTTCACTTCCTTTCCACTACCGTGTCGTCGAACACTCGTCGGCCAATGAAGTCCCTCGGGACGATGGCGTGGCCCAAAGGCAGCTGAGCAGTACGCTGACCAGATGGCGTGTCGTACACATATTTGGTGAACGGATGAACAGCACACAATCTACCCCTGCTTCAACTGCGCCATGATCCGCGCCGCCTCTGCCGAGTACTTGGATCTCGCCCGAATGGCAGGCCCAAACCGATAAAACAGAAACGGCAGGGGCACGCATGCCAACGCCAGGAAGGCAGGCACGCTCGATGCCCAATGAACACCAAGATCGCGGTACATGTACGTGGTGAAGAGCGGAAACACAGCGCCAAAGATGGACCGCAGCACGGCGTTGGCGGATAGTACGGAGGCGGCGAAGACGGTGTAAGTGTCGATCAGGTAGTTGGAGACGCTGAGAAAGAGCATCACATTCCCGAAGCCTAGAGCTGCGGTGAAGATCATTGAGACAATCCAGTGGATATGATTATAGGTCGTCCAAGCGAAGATAAACAGCCCGACAGGGAGGACGGTGGCCCCCAGCATTGTAGGTGGGAGTCGCTCCTCCGGTGGCGCTGCGCCGCCGCATTCTGCTGCTGCACGGTTGTACCTCTTGTTGTCGATGATGGTAAGCAGGATCCCAAGGACCATGCCGACGGCCACGCCAATGAAGGCCAGTCCCCCGACACCCTGGGACCAGCCCCGGCCCTCCTGGTAAACGATTGGGAAGGCTGCAAAGGTGAGATATAGCGTGCCATACACGATGGCCGTGTAGATGCTTAGGAACAGCACGATGGGCTCGCGGATCAGCAAGACCCACGGGCGCGATAGTGCTACCTTATAGACCTGCGAGAGCGACTGCTTGCCCCGGTCGTGCTCGAGCTTGCTGACGTAGACCAGGCCTGTCCTTTTAGATAGCTTTTCCGCTCGGCGCTTGAGCAACACGGGTGCATAGGTCTCCGGTACGACCAGCGTCCCAACGATCCAGAGCACCCCGGAGAAGATGGTGACAATGCCTGCTACCCATCTCCACCCAATCGCGACGCCAGCGAACCCTCCAACAATAGGGCCGAGCGTTGGGCCGAGGAAGGGGGTGGACGCAAAGGCACACATGGCCAGGGATCGATGCGAGGCTGGGAATGTGTCAGCGATCACACCGCCTGAGTTGGTCAGCGGCGATGATCCAAATGCACCGGCCAGGAATCGAAGAATGAGCAACGTCTCGATGTTCTGTGCCCCGCAAACACCCGCGTTGAAGGCCGTGAAGACCGCGTACGTGACGAAGAACAAGGTCTGCCGGCCATAGGTCTCTGACAGGGGCGCCCATAGCAGTGGTCCGATGGCGAATCCCAGCACAAACAGAGAGAGCCCAAGCTCAGCCACCTCGGAGGAGCAGTCAAAGTCCTTCATCACCTGTGGGATGGCGCCGCTGTACGCGGTGGAAGCAAAGGCGATGGCCAGCGCGGCCAACGAAACCACTACCGTGATGACCGATTTGCGCGTGTTAGAAAACTGCATAGGATTCCGCGGGTCTGCGGGCATCCACTCCACGATGAACGGATCCTCACTCGTACCGGATCCAGTATATGAATACTCAAGGACGTCGTCAGTGACATAGGCTTGGGAGGTGACAAGCCTCCAGTGAGGTGCTTTGGGCGGACTCATGGGGCAACGGTTGGGAAGATCGACAGTGGCTGCAGAATATCGAAGCTGCACATAGGGGGAGAGGGTCAATAGTGAGTAGTTGGTGGACTCTTTAAGTCTCCATTATTGGCTTTCAACAGAATGTGTTGAGAGATTTGAGAAGAACTGAGCATTCAGGGCATCGGCATTACCCGTTTAGGACTGGGCTACCTGTTTCCGCACAACATGCATCAGATTTGCATAATCAGGGCCCTCTCTTCGCTGTCACATCGATTCAGGGCTCTGGAGGAATTACTGTGGCCAAAATGGAATGTACGTAGAATGATCTATTCATATTCCTCCTGGTCTACCGTTTGGGGAAATGCCGTTGGGCAGTATGTCAACGAAACGTACGACGCATACAGAAAATCAATTCACTAGTAAACATCCATGATCACATAATGTGCACCGAAAGCTATTCTTCTCAAACAAGTTCCTTGGAATTCTCTAGGGTGTTATCTTCACTGCTTCATTTATCCCGTTCCTCACCGCAGCAGGGTCACCAGCCGGGTTTTCCTAACCGTTTCGTTGTCTTTGCCAAAGTATCGCTGCGACTTGAAACTATGGCCCCTTCATGTCAGCAACAAAAGTTCACCAGCATGGGGAATAATCGAAAGGAACCCTACCTCCAGCTCAGGTCCCCCGAGGTCACGTCCTGACATCCCTTCCGTTACAACTGCACCTGAGTGAGAGAGAAGACCTGGTTCCAGCCCTTTGTGCCTGTTCTGCAACCATAAAGCCCATCCAATCAATCAATCAGGGGGACTATCCAGGAAAGATAAGAATGGCTTGCTCAATGGGCGGTTGGTCGGCCGTCCATTAGTCTATGGCTCCCCGAGCCCGTTATTTCTGGCTATTCATGGTCCGTGTATTTGCAATAGTTGATTTTGTCAAGTCGCGCCCCATGGCGTGCAGAGTACTCCGACTGATGTAACATTGGGTCCATTGGCGGCGACTCCTGCGAGCGGCTCCGCTAAAGTTCAGACCCCTGAACTCACAGGGACAGACAGAGGTGCAGGATGACTATCAGCGGCGACATATTCTGCAACATTAAGGTAGGACGTTAAAGAAAAACAGAGGTCCGTGAATATGCAAGTCATGGTGGAAGATAATAACGGTGGATGTCGGCACTTCCCAAAAGGGACACGGCTTCGGGACATTCCGACCCGAGCTACGGTCCTGATTGGCTAGCAACAGATCGGCACTATTGTACATACATACAAGTAGATTGGAGCATTCGGAGACCGATGCTTCGGGAATTGGGGAGAGCCCTCACTTGCATATCCTCCAAGTCCAGCTTCGCTTCGACTAAGAGGGCACAGATGAGGGAGGAAATGGTCCGATGAACCTTGACTAAACATATCATCAACCTAAAAAAAAAAGCCGCAAAGCCACCAACGTGTGATCACGCCCATGGGGCACTGTATGGCCCATTTCTGTTTCACAAGTTCTATAACTACTAGGTACTTAACAAGCAGGGCCATCTTACGTCAGAAATAATCTTATTGGACTTTCGGAATACCCGCACCTGTACCTGTAGTCTTAAAAGTGTACATCACTTCATTTATTAATCAACTACGATCAATGCAACCCGGAGCATTTTCTCCCTTATCCGTTCCGAGATATATTCGGGACGGGCTGGCCTGCCTGTACTGAAACTCCAGACCTCTCGCGCTATTCCCGAGTCCTCTCCATTCTATCAATTCGCATACTCGTATGAGTTATCCTTCTTCACCCATTTAACCACCAAATTAGACCGCAGCCGGCATATTTGCTGGATACAGGTTCCGCTAATACCCTGCTTTGTGTAGTCTATCACCCACCCGCCTATCCACCGCTTTATGAAGACCGGACGCGACAGCCCCGTGCCTCCTTCTCCCAACGTCAGCAAAACAAGACGGTTTCTGGGAGTGGCGGTGATCACGGGGGTTACCATTGTGGCCACCCGCTTTGTTGAAGCCATCTTCTGTCCCCAGATGGACGATCGTTCTGTTCTTCATCTCGCCATCTACCGGTCATTTTATATGCTACTTTATTTTCTTTATGAGAAGTATTTTTGTGCTTAGATTGGTGTCGCTCTCGGAAACTGAGGACCACTAGAGCACCTGCCAGGTCCTCAAGCAGAAAAGCCGGGGATCCATTTTGCTCATCTCGTCCGTTGCGTCCACCAAGCCAATGCATCCCGCCCGGTGAGCGCGTATGGAGCGACCAAATATGCCGTTCGCGGGCTCGCTCAACAGGTCGCGGTCGAATATGCGTCTTATGGAATTCGGGCCAATTCCATCTCTTCTGAGTAACCTGCTTCCCTGTCCTGCCAGCCGCATCACCTCCACTCTGAGAAATGGTACTGACGCGAGGACCGACCTAGGCCTATGCTTACCGATATGTCAAGGCGATTTGCAGCGGGAATCCAGGCATCTTCAAGAATTTGTGCAGCCACATCATGCTAAAGAAGATGGGGGCGCCCGGTGAGCTGAATGGTGCGGCGGTCTGCCTGCTGAGCGACGCGAGCTCGTTCGTGGCTGCTGAAGATATCCTGGTGGACGGCGGTCAAGGACATCTGTAGATAGCTGCATGACCAGTAGCATGGAATAAATTGAGTATTTTATCTGGCATAAACTTGATTTGTCGGATTACAATCGCATCCATTAGAAGCGCCCTATGAGCGTAGACGCTGCCTCTTCGGTTCTCGATAAGAAAGATTCCAGGACAGCCTTCCGGTCCGTCCAGGCCTGCAGCACGGCCACATCGCTCATCCGGCCGATGAGGAGGTTCAGTCTCCGTAGCTGCACCATGGCTAGAGCTCGGAGTATCGAGCACTGTTCATCCCCCATGCTGATTTCGTAGGCCCCGAAGAAAATGTGCAGCAATGGCTGACTACCCTGTACGTCAGGATTTTTCCCGACTTTCATGGCGCTTCTTCCTTGGTATTTTTGTGCCCAGGCCTCGAAGGATATCACCAGCCTCTCACAGATAGCTGTGAGTAATGTCATGACCGATGCCGACCTAACACAGTCCAGACAATCCATTAGGCTGAAACTCCGATCCAAGGAGCGCTTCATGAAGTTGAGATGGTTGTCAAATCCCGTCGGCGAGAACTTGCTCTCAATGACTTGCAGGTCGCCGAGGGCCTGGAATGCGTGGCTGACACAAGATCTGGAACAAACGGAGGCCGGAATCGACCTTGGGGCCGGTGGAGACAGGAGCTGTTGGCTCTGGAGTTCTTGACTGTTGCTAGAGGTATCGATGGAATTGACTGTCATAACACTGGGGACTCTTTGGATATCTGTCGGGCATATGTGGTGGTCATTCTGGCCGGGGAGCAAATCTGAGACAGACAGCATTGTGGTCACATCGTAGTCGTGAAGGTGGTGCATGTGCTGTGGGTCAGTTGACTGGATGTGGTCCCGACTCCCAGCCATCTCAGCCAATTCCCCCCTGGATTCTCCAAACGGACTCCAGGTGAAGGGGCTCCAGCCCATCGCAGTATTCCGATTCTTGTCGAGAGGAGCGAGCGCTACGGTTTCCCCAGAGCCAGCCTGAATGCTGCCAGTTCTCACGGGGACTCTGCGCTCCCGGAGGCTTCCCTCTGGTGGAGGCCGTTCGTCTGCCGTCTGCATTTTGTCGGGGGTGAGTCCTAATCTCGCATTGGCCTCGGTCCACGCATCCAATAACCACGACATGTTTTGCCATTCATCGTCGAGGCGATTCTCGGCCAGAGTGGGGAGATTCGGTGGAGGTGGAGTCGCGCCATGAGAGCCTGAGGGGTGCGATAATCCGATGGATGGAGTCGTGGTTCGGACGGGTGTTTCCGAGTTGCGCGTGGCCCGCTTGGACTTGGGGTAGGTGCACGGGATGGATCGTGCTTTGCAGCGACTACAACCATCTCTCTGACCGGAACATTTGACCTGAGGAGAGGCAAATCGGACGAAAAATTAGATGGATGGGTGTGAATGAAGTGGTGAAGATCGAGAGATGTATTCATACCTTCATGGAATGGCATGTGTGGCACGCCAAATGAGGACCTCGAGTGCGAGGCTTGTTGGAGTGACGAATGTCCACCAGCTCGTATTTGGCGTTTTTCTGACGATATTCCAGAATGCTGTACATGTTGCACGGCAGAGGTTTAGGTGGGGGTGTGTGAAGGGGGCATGGAGTCTATGAGGGGGGTTTGAGAGAGCGAAAGAGAAAGAAAGAGGACGAGGTGGTGCAGGGGTTCGGGCGGAGGCGCCCTCTTGGTCATGGTTATTGGGCCACGCCACGGCATCATTATCGTGACAAATGGAACAATCCCACCTAATCTAGATCCCTATACAGAGTAGTGCGCTACGACATGGCTGGCTGGCGTGGTCTAAGGGACACGGCTATTCTTGGCGGCCTATACTGAAGCAAATCAGTCTTGCGCCATTTTTGCAGAACAATAATACGATAAATAACTGAACATATACATGAATACAGACCATGTGGTAAGGATTTATAAAAAAGAAAATATCAAGGAAAAAGAGGGAGAAAACGAAATGAACTGTTTGGCTAAAGTCATCTGGAAAAGACAGTTGGATATATATATTTGCCCCTGACTAGAACGAAGTCCACATACCGTTAACACATTACAGTAGGTGACACTCCACAATAGAAGCAGATAGAGGCGACAACCTGAGACATTACAGCCATTATCGCGGAGAGCCAGATGTAGCTAAATTTATGCATATTGTTTTACGCATAGGCTCGTTCTTCAATAATCTATGTTCCGTAATGATAGATCCGGACGCTACGGCGTTTCTGTTACTGCCCTCGATTCCTACGATAGAGAACTATGTAGAGCTATAGGTGTCGAGATGAGGGATAGTAAGTCGTGTACACCTGATATACTGGCACTTTGCACTTTAATCCCAACGCCTTCTAGAGATATTCGATCCCATTGAGTACTTATCAAAGGCTGTTCTATTTTGCCATAATATGCGATACAGAACCACGGAGGTCATCATTCCGGACTTGTTCCTTTCTGTTGGGATATTTTCCGTGCCAGCCATCAGACAATCATGAAAGTGTCCGTCTGCACCTTCGACGCTGGACTTCTGTCCTACTGATCCAACACGCCGCATCAGTTTGCCCAGACGACGGGCCGGCCCGTCTGACCACAACCTTTTCCGCAGCAGACTGCCAAGAGGGAGCGAATCCCACCCCCGAGGGGAAAGGAACACGGAAGTCGGATACCCGCAATCCCTTGTGGCTGTTCCGGTCTCCTGGGGCGCCACCAGAACGTTAGTGGGAAACCCGTTCGCGGTGGAAACGCGGGGCTAACCACCTGGGTAGGTAGTAACGAACCCACCCGCATCTTAATTGCTGCCGAGCAATCAATTGGCGAGCTCTTGTGAATGTAATCGAATAACCATAGGTAGCTCTCTATGGACATCAGCCATGGAGCCAAAGGCCTCCAGCCTGAACCCTATTCTCAACGCGTACCTGCACATCAGTTTTGAGAATGGCTGCACGGTCCCTAGAAGCAACTCTATAATACGGCCTGACAGTTAGGTAGTATATCTACCTGCTTATTTCTTCCGGTTCTTGCCATCAGCACGGTCTCTGTCTATGACCTGTTCATGCGTTCTTTACCGAGGCCGCTTTCGGACCAAGTCCACGTTCCAATTAGAGCCGCCTCACCAACAGCATGTTGCGTCAATTGCAACCAATGTGAGTTTCTCTCACATAATACAACGGACGTAGTCGGGACTAATGCGCCGCCAACGACGATCGTTGTCCACACGCTATAGTGCGGCTACTCCGGAGTAGAAATAACAAGATGGGGAAAGAGTTGGCGATGGTACGGGGTATGAGACACTCCGGATCCACATCCCCATATCACTATGGAGAACATCCCCACCGACGAGGGGGCGCACACATCACCACCGGGGATATTAATACAAGTAAAAACTGTTTCTTTCCCCAGGTCCAGAGGTGTGCAGTTGATCCAACTCCCACACCCCTGTCACTCTATCAACAGACGAGACTCTTCATCATGGAGACCAGCAACATCACCGCCGGACGACCGTCCAGCCCCCTTCCACCCAAGGACCCTAGTGGCCTTGACCCGGACGAGATCACAAGGGTCAGGGCGTCATACGACAACGCAATCGGCACGGTCACGGACTTTGAGAAACGAAAAATGGTCGAGGGAGAGGCGAAATTCCGCCGCCTTGGCTGGAAACGAATGACTGTGATCCTGATTGTCGAAGCCATTGGTCTGGGGACTTTCAGTCTTCCCAGCGCCTTTGCAACACTTGGTATGGTTGCTGGCGTGATCTGTTGTGTTGCCCTTGGACTGGTAGTCATCTATACCGGGTGGATTGTCGGCAAAGTGAAGATTGTCTACCCAGAGATTACCAATTACGGAGATATCGGGGGCCTTGTCATGGGCCGATTTGGAACCGAGCTGGTGGGCGCTTTATATGTGCTCCAGTTGATCCTCATGACCGCATCATTCTGTCTGACCGGCACGGTTGCATTCAACACCCTAAGTGATAACGGAGCTTGCGGTCTGGTTTTTGGTGTCGCCTCGGCTGCTCTGTTGTTTATTCTCTCAATTATGCCATCGTTCACAGAAGCCGCCATTTTGGGCTACATTGACCTCGCCTCCGTGACGACGACTATTTTCATTGCCCTTATCGCTTCCGGGGTGCGGGCTTCACACTCAGCAGTTGGTATCGCTGGGCAAGAGTGGTCAGCATGGCCCGCCCCAGACGCCGGGTTCAAGGACGCCATGGTGGCTATCTCCAACATAATGTTTTCTTACAGCTTCTGCATGTTCATCACGCCTTTCCAGTCCGAGATGCACACCCCGACCGACTTCATGAAGTCCATTTGGGCGTTGGGGATAGTCGAGATTGTGGTGTATACCCTTATCGGCTCACTCATGTACGTCTTCATCGGCGTAGATGTTCAGAGTCCGTCTTTACTCTCGCTCAGTGGCGTGCTCCCAAAGATAGCCTTTGGATTCGCCCTCCCGCTCATCTTCATCTCCGGGGCCATCGGCAATACCGTGACGGCGCGATATGTTCACCTCCGGCTTTATAAAAATTCTATTGCTCGCTTTATTAATACCCCAAAGGGCTGGATTACTTGGCTTGCTGTCCTCATTGTTGTCACTGTCGTGGCATGGGTTCTAGCAGAATCTATCCCTTTCTTTGATGATCTTCTTTCACTCAGCTCAGCTCTTCTTATATCTGGTTTCGTGCTTTACTTTCCTGCTGTGATGTGGGTCGTGCTTCTGTGCGAGGGCAGATGGTATGCGGGCACGAATTTGCTCCATGCTCTTGCTTGCATTTTTATCTTTCTTCTTGGGCTTTTGGTGCTGGCCGGAGGGACCTATGCCAGCATTAAGGACATTGTAAGTCTTGTTTTCATTCGGGGAAGCGCACTGAAGCTGACACTCAACAGTTACAACATTATGCTACTGGATCTGTTGGGAAACCTTTTTCTTGCTGAATCTGACACAGCCGTGGTGTGCCTGGGGCACCCGTGTGATGGAGGATTTACATCTGGTTCCTTTGCTGTCTTGTTCTGTCTTCCCTAGTATGCTGGTTCTCTCTCTGTAAATAGTAGGTAAAATACTAGGTAGCAATTCACCGTCGATTTGAGCTCCCTACAAACCTTTGTATCATGAGATCTATTCAAGCGCATTGGTGGAGAGTACATACATAGCAGGAATATGACTTGCTTAAGATCTATAATAGTACTGAGTCTGTATAGTACGTGTTGTACAGGACCTGAGCTTACTATTACTAGCATGTAGATAGAGTTTGAGATGGTGGGCCGAGTGGATCCCAAGAGTTGCCTATTTCGAGTCACCGGGCCGGTCACCGGGTAGCCGATGATTTGTAATCGGGGTTTTTGATTGCCGTCGTTGCGTAAGAGCAGCCACCAATCAACGGGTAGAGCTCACGTGATGGCAATCATCAGCCAAGTTCCTGTTTATGGTATATTCTCTACGGGGTACTCCGTACTCTGATCGACTCAGATGAATTCAATCAGTATGGAGGACTTACTTCCACTTTGACCACCAAATAATTGAAATTTGTTCCACTCCACCATTGTCTACAGCTAACGTATATGTGGTTGTGTGATTGCGGATTGTGTAGCCTTGTCTGGCAGAATTAGTGGCGGTGAACCTGGCGTGTTCAATAACAGTGGGCAATATCTGACCACAGTGTATATCAAAAGAAACCACTCCAACCCATCTCAATCGGAGAATTATGCCCCTAGCAATGCTTTCTACGCTCTCAACCGAGGTTTTGCATGAAATATTCGGCTATTTCTGCCTGCACTGCTCTGGACAGCACCAGTCAACCCCACCGCATGCACATCGGCTGGACACTCCGCAGGACCCTGACGCGTTGTCCTGGCACTCTTTGGACTGCCATACACTGTTCTGTCTCTGTCTAGTCTCCAGGCGCTTCTGTACTATTGCACAGCCTATTTTATACCATGAATTTGTGCCCGGATATGGAGACTCCTGGCGATCAACTCGGTACACATGGAATGGCCGACTTGCTTCTTTCGTACGGACGGTGGCACGACGACGCGATCTAGCCGCCAAAGTGCGGAGAGTTTATATCCACCCGGATCTCCTGCAATCCGGCGACACGAAGGAGCGAAAGGATGCCCTGCGCGAAGCAGCGAATGCCTTGCAGATCGAAGACCAGGAGGGGTTGGTTTCTGACGACCTGTTAGCCCTTTTGATTGCGTTGCTACCGAATCTCAACCATTGCAGCCTTCAAAGCCGCAAAACCCGAGTCCAGGCCGTTTGCCCCTCGGCCCTACGTAGAGCCAGGGTTTTGTCTCTGCCTCTGAAAACCCTCGATGTCGTTTTACACGCACGCTGTTATGAACGTGAATTACTGAACCTTGGGTGGCGCGCGGGTGCTCTCCTTGAAGTTGCTACCCATCTACAGACACTCAACCTCCATATGTGTGAAGGCATCTGGACCGAGTCTCCGTTCCCTTCACTCCCCAACCTCAAAGTCATTCGCATCACGCGCAGCAAGCTCACTAAAAAAGGCCTAGAAGGACTGCTTCGCTCATGTAATGGCCTGCGGAGCTTTACATACGAGACGTGTCCTCCATACATATCACTCGACATTATTGCCCCAGGGGCCGATCCCATAGATCAATTTACACCATGGGATGCAGTGCGGTGTCTCCGATGGCACCGCGAAACCCTCGAGTCACTGCACTTGGACTTGCGAAAGCGGGGGGTGTTCCCTCAACCCTCCGGGCTCATCCATTTGGAGCGTTCAGAGCCAATCGTGGACTTTCGAGACTTCAACGCGCTACGACACTTATTCCTCAACGCCAGCGCGATCTACGATTTGAGATATACCGAGCCCCCGCCTCTGACCCAGGTCCTCCCGCGTAGCATCACATCACTGCAGTTTGTTGGCGACATAAGTTGCTCTGTCGAATGGCTATCAAATGGGATATCCGGCCTCGCGGGTGCTATCTCCGAAGGACACTTCCCGGATTTGAAGAAGGTTACCTGCGACACATACTATACACTGGATAATGACTTGGTGGTGAGTGCCATGTTTGCAGGTGCCGGAGTGGAATTTAGCTATGACCGCTGGCCGTTGAGTAAGGCGACACTCCATCTACCGGGTGATCTGACACCGGTACCATGGGAGGAAGGTTGTTATTTCCGGGTGGATACAGAGCTGATGCCACTGCCAGATGAAGAAGACTCAGATTTGTAGTAGCGACCCCTACACAATGGAAAGGAAGGTAGCGAAGGGGTCCTGTTTACCATATTCACGTGGGTTGAACACAGCTCGCTCATGAGAAGGTTATCAGAATGATTGTGCCGACTGGCGTTGTTCCTTTCCTATAAACCCGCCTCCCTTCCAGAAGTACATACGACCACAGGGTCCTCTTATCCTTGATATCTTCGGAAACGGAAACTCTGTTCTGATTTTCTCCATTGTATAGACGCATCAAATATAGGGTTGCCTTGCTGGCTGTAGTGGTTGGTTTGATTTCTGGCCCTGGCTGACCCATACCTATCTTCCCACTCCGATGCCCTAGTTATCTTATCTGCGGCTAACACCGCATGCGATGAAAAGTGTTATCATTATAGATAGGTTGATTGGTGTAATCAGCGCGGTGAAGTGAGGCGTTTCACTTTGCTTAAATGATCGCGCCCAAGCACATACCATATCATGCTGTTCAGGGATCCCAAGGTCCGCCAGCCCGTGTTCCTGTCAACAACTCTGGATCACCATCCTCTGTTACAAGGAAGATGTCCTCGTGGCGGACACCAAACTGATCAACGAGATATATGCCTGGCTCGCTTGTGAAAGTCATTCCTGCTCTGAGGGGAGTTTCATGATTCCCCTTATTCAAATATGGGCTTTCATGTGCTGCATTGAGATGTTAGAGAGGTAGGGTAGGAAGAAACAAGGACCTGACCTTTGATACCAATACCATGACCGACTCTATGCGTAAATGCATCTCCGTAGCCGGCATCCGTAATGACCTTCCGCGCGGCTATGTCCACACTAGCAGCCGTCTCATTGACTTTGAATTGTTGCATGGATTTAGTCTGTGCTTCGAAGACAATATCCCATACCTGATCAACGTATCAGTATATTCTGAGGCTTGCTCGCAGGGCGTAAGACCGAACCCTTAATTTGTCTTGCAGCTCGGCAGAAGTGTTGGCGTGGCTTCGTGGGAGAAACGGGGGGAAGAATGTGCGGCAGATGTCGGACGAGTACCCCATCAGATGAGCCCTGCGTAGGTAGTTATTTATCAACAGTCGGCCATATATGGAGCAAGAAGCCTTACCCCACGTCAATCAACACGAAAGTAGTTGGTTCAAGCACCTTCAACCCGTCTGTACCGCCGTGAGGATTGGCAGCATTTTCATCTACTGATATCAGCAGCCTCCTCCGAGCTGACAATGTGAGACGTACCAAAGAGAACAATGTCGAAAAATGGCTCCAATCCAGCAGAACGAAGAGTGTTATCCAGTACTGTCGCAATCTCGCTCTCAGTCAAACCAGGATATAAACCTGTACTAGGTCAGTATAATTCCAGTGAGAACATTCACATGTTAGTGCACATTTTCTCATCTGTCGTACAGCCTCCACAGTGCCAGTGTTAACCGCTCGAAGAATTCCGATCTCTCTGTCGGTCTTGATCTGTCGGACTCTTTCCACGTCTCCTGCCAATCCAACGACCTCAAACCCAGCACTCCCCAGTCCTCGTTGGATAAAATCACGCATCTCCTCGTCCACCATGAGGCGTGGCGTGCGATTGAGAGAGCTGAATATACCCGATTCCTTCAATGTGCTGTACGGATTCCAGTGCTCTTCCCAGGGGATGATGTCTATCTCTTCGACAAAGGGCATGTTGAGTAGACGAGCCCGCTCTGCCTCAAACGAGGGAGAGAGAAACGACGTCTTTGCCGTAATCTGTCCAGATGGGTGGTGATGGGGCTGGACCACCATGAGGAATGGGCGTTCTTCCGGCTGTACGGGTGTCAGAGGCATGGGCGTTACGCTGTGGTTGAATATTGAAATCGCCTACCTCCCATACTTCCCACTCAGGCTGGCTCACGTTCGCATAGTATTTGAACGTGTATCCTGGTTCAACAACGAATGCATCCGCATCCTCTACTACAAGGGCATGGGCGAGACGGTCGCGCCGCTCTTCGAAATCCGCCACTGAGATCGGGATAGCTGTTTCCAGGAAATAATGTCCGGTATCTTGGAAATTTTGGATCGAGCATTGTTGAAACTCCTGGAGCCTGGATGACTTGGATGAAAGATCAACCTGGTTGACGCTGTGACGACCAGGGAAGAACTTGGATGAGGGTCAGTACAAGCTCAGCCTACCAAACAAGATGTATTTATAGTTAACGTACCTTCAAAAGCAAACTATAGACTATCAGTAACAAGAGGGAGCTGAACAAGACCTGCTTCGCCCTCTTCGCTTGCCACGGCCTCCTGTCGCCAGGACGTTCCTCTCCGTGAACCACGGGCAAATACGGTTGTTTTCCGGACATTGTCGCCTACGATAATGATTGGAGAACACAGACACCGATATACCTATTTATCTTTTCCACGCTATCGCGGAGAATATCCGAGCATATCAGCAGCAGGCGGGAATTGGTGGTGGTTTAGTTTCGTTTCCCCCTCACGAAAACCGAGCGAAGCGGACGTGAATGCCAATTATTGCCGAAACGAGTCACGCTTGGAGCCGAAAGCTTCCAACCTCCCCACCCCCGCCATCCTTCTACTTGGCCGCACTCGGCATTCTTGACGAGGAAGGATGATGATGGCCCTGATAAGGACCAAATGTAGTTCGGCGTAAAACTGGTGACAGATGTGTTCTTACTGCATTCTTAGCAACAGAGCAATGACTTTCTGGTTTCTATGACAGGGTTGCGGAACAGCCGATGGGAGAAATATACCTACTCCGTGGGTACCTGGGTATATCTCTTCTGTTGATCATATGAATCGGACAGCACCGTTCCGCTATCAATCAATATCCCTGTGGACGGCACGCCAGATATTAGCGCACCGATAGTATGGATTCGTCTCTCTACGGAGTATGGTCGGGTTAATTGATGCATGGATTAGGGCATCCTGGCGTTAACCGCGGGGAGGTGTAGCCTGAAAGATAAATACTCTCATTCATCCGCCATCCATGTCACCTACTGGCCAAAAAGCTCTAAGAGACACCATGGCTGGCCGTCATCAGTCTGCACAAGATGGACCAACCCATGACGACGAGAAAAGTAGCAATGTTCAACAAATGTCCACGCCCAATGCCGATGAGAGCAATTGTTCTCCGCGCAAGAATTACTCCAAACTGTCGGTACTTCTGATGATCATTTTCTCAGGCCTAGCAATCGGATCGGATGGATTCAACGCATCAATTATCGGGAATATCGAGCTTATCATGGGGGTCATTTATCCCGATTCCCTCACAACAGCGGTAGCGTCTCGACTTTCGAACGCCTTTATGGTGGGCATGATCATTGGCATGCTCTCCTTCGGCTACATATCCGACAGACTGGGCCGAAAGACAGGAGCCGTCTTGACCACCATGATTCTTGTCCTGGGAATCGCTTTGAGTGCAGGAGCCAGCGGCGTCACGGAGAACGGAATGTTCTGGATGCTCATCATCGCCAGAGGTATTGCGGGTGTTGGTGCTGGAGGGTAGGTACTTACCTGCTATTTGTCCCGAAAAGCGACGAGCTGACTGTGCTCGTTTTGATCCCAGGGAATATCCTGTCGCCGGAGCTGGTGCTGCAGAGGCAACGGACGAGGAGTCTGCCATTCGCCATAAGCGAGGTTTTATTTTCGCCATGATTGCCGACCTCTCTGCATCTCTGGGGTTCGCCTTTGGGGCACTCGTTCCACTTCTGTTGCTCTTGTGCTTCCATCAACAGGTCCGTCATTATGATACTGTCTGGAGGGTGGCCCTAGCCCTAGGAGCAATTCCTCCCCTTTCAATCTTCTGGTTCCGATATCGCATGGCCGTCAGCTCTGCATATAAAAAGAGTGCGATGAGGAAACAACGGGTACCGTATTGGCTGGCCATGAAGAAATACTGGCGACCATTACTGGGTGTTTGTGGGTCGTGGTTCCTGTGAGCATGGGATCTGTCCAGCAAAAGTCCGAGAGCTTCAGCTAAAGACATAATGCAGGTATAACTACATCTCATACCCCTTCGGTCTCTTTTCGTCCACCATCGTCGGCCGCGTGAATCCTAACTCGTCTCTCACACTGACTATGGCCTGGGGTACATTGATCAACTGTTTCTACATCCCAGGAGCCTTCATCGGCGGCTTCCTCTCCGACAGGATCGGGCGGCGTAGAACCATGGCGCTAGGATTTTTCCTCCAAGCAATCCTAGGCTTCATTCTCGGCGGCGCCCTACAACACATCCAAAAGTCACTACCGTTGTTCATTGTGCTTTACGGAATATTCCTTACTCTCGGTGAAATTGGCCCCGGGGCAACGATCGTCCTCACCGCAAGTGAGAGCTTCCCCACCGCGCTCCGCGGCCACGGGGTAGGGTTCGCCGCCGCATGGAGTAAAGCCGGGGCCGCAATTGGCACGCAGGTGTTCAAGCCGATATTGGCCAGTTTTGGGGATGACGAGTTCCAGGGAACACGGGCGGTGTTCTTGATAGGATCGGGATTTGCAGTGCTGGGGTCCCTGCTGGCATGGTTCGTTTTGAGGGATTCGGAGAAGGAGCTGGATTGCGGAGACCATGAATGGAAGGCTTACCTGGAGAGGAATGGGTACGACCATATTGAGTGGGGGACTGTTGAGGGGACGGTGGCACAAGAAAATGTGAAGCCAGTTGTGTAGATTCTATTATGCTATTTGAACTTCCTATCGAGGTACCTCGTCGTCCTACGCAGCAAAAAATGGATTGACCAGAAAAGATCAGGTGGTAGCATGGCCATTGCCTCCGAATGAGGGGTAAATGTGTCCTATACGTCCCCTCCCCTACAAAGCCTCGATGAATTGACCTGCATCGCAATGTAATGTTGTCTACGGCATGAAGGGGACGGAAGGCTGCATATCAGATGTATCCCAGGTGATTCAAGTGTCTATTAGGCGTTGTCCACACAAATAGACTCAAAATACACCTTCACTAACGCGGGAACATCTCTTAAAGACAGTTTCAACCCGCTGGCGCTGATCCGGGGCCTCCACGCTCCCCGCACAGGATTTGCTTATGGATAACTCGGCCCGAGGACGTTACAAGCTATTTCCCCTCGGGACGCTATTAGATGAGCCTTAGGCGGTGGCTATATCTACTTTGGATCCCCTCTTCTCGCGAAACCCAGCAATAACACAGACGCACCGGTTTAATATGGCGAGTAAGTCCAAAAATGAAAGCAAAAGGGGACTAAAACTGACCGAGACAGAAACCCTCGCTGCGACAGCATTAGGATCGCTGGCTCTGGCCGGATGGCTGGATGCAAAATTTCACATCCGGAATGATCTTAGGACCCTTATCTATGGTCGAAGCCAGCGAGATGCACAGAACTACATCGCGGAGAAAGTACAGCAAGACCGACTACTCATGTACCAAATCCTAGAAGACCAAGTGAAGTCTCCCGCCATTGCCAATAATGTGTTCCTGATATCCGCTGCCGATGGCCGGACCTGGACCTACAAGGAGTTCCTGCAGGATGTTAACAAAGTCGGCAACTGGCTGCTGCAAGAGCTGGACATCCAGAAGCAAGAACTTGTTGCTCTGGATGGGCTTAACAGTCCGGAGTATCTCATCGCTTGGTTTGCGTTAGACTCCATCGGCGCTGCCCCATGCTTCATCAACCATAGCTTGACTGGCCAGTCACTAGAGCATTGTATTAGGGTATTGCTATCAATCGTTTCCTGTGATCTTGCTGACCCATTCCTAGCTGTGTGAAGCGAGGTACTGCCTCGTCGATGAGCAAATCAAGCACCTGGTTGATCCAGTGAAGGAGACTCTTGATAAATGCAACATCATCTACTACTCCCGGGACTTCTTTTCTTCGCTAAAATATCCGCATACACCACCGTCTCCGGAGCGGCGCCGCAGCATTCCACCGGACTCCACGAAGATTCTGCTTTACACAAGCGGCACAACAGGATTCCCAAAGGCAGTTACAAAAGCCGCAGCATTTGAATTATACACCGGCCGGGGCGTTGCTCGGTATTTGGGGCTGAGACCATCAAACCGATTCTATACGTGTCTACCACTATTTCACGGGGCAGCGCATGCGCTGTGTGTCACCCCAGTCATCCACGCCGGATGCACTCTTATCCTAGGGTAAGCCTCACCGAACCTACGATCTCAGGCGTAGCTGACATTCATCCAGACGGAAGTTTTCTCATTCCACATTCTGGCCGGAGGTCGTCACATACCAAGCAGACATCATGCAATATGTAGGCGAGCTCTGCCGATACCTTGTTAATGCAAAGCCCCACCCCCTGGAGAGGGAGCACAAACTGAAGATGGCATGGGGCAATGGGATGAGGCCGGATGTGTGGGAGCCCTTCCGACAGCGGTTCGGCATTCCGACGATACATGAACTATATGCTGCCTCGGACGGGATGGGCGCCATGTATAATCCGAACCGAGGAGAATTCAGCCGACATGCAATTGGCGTCCGGGGACTTCTCTGGAACGTTATCAATGGCTCACGAGAGAAAATGGTCAAGATCGATGTTGACACGCAGGAAATCATTCGCGATCCAAAGACGGGCTTTGCAACAGAATGTCCCCGGGGCGTCCCAGGCGAAACGATCCACTGGGTCGACCCGGCCAATCCATACGCCCAATTCGAAGGATACTACAAAAACCAAGAGGCCACGAACAAACGCTTTATCCGAGATGTGTTCAAAAAGGGAGACATGTGGTTTCGATCCGGTGACATGATGAGACAGGACAGTAATGGATGTGTCTATTTCGTTGACCGTCTTGGTGACACATATCGCTGGAAATCAGAGAATGTCTCCACAAATGAGGTGTCCGATCTGCTGGGCCAATTTCCTGGCATTGCAGAGTGCAATGTTTACGGGGTGCTTGTCCCAAACGCCGATGGCAGGGCTGGTTGTGCAGCAATTGTCTTTTCGGATGGCCTGACAGCAGACGCCTTTGACTTCAAAGGTCTGGCAGAGCATTCCCTGCGCCGCATGCCACGATATGCTGTCCCGATCTTCCTAAGAATCACTCATGCATTGGGGTACACAAGTACGATGAAATTGCAGAAGGGGAAGCTCAGGCAGGAGGGCTGTGATGTCGCGAAGGCTGAGGCGTCGGGGGATACTATGTACTGGTTGCCACCAAACGCGACGACGTATGTTCCATTCACTCAAGAGGCATATCAGAAGGTGAAGAGCGGAGAGATACAACTTTAAGATAAGAGGAGTTTAGTGTGCGGCAATGACGACTTTACTGAGGACGACTGAATATGACTATCCTACATACATATGCTGCTTATTCTGATCGAGTCTCTATTGTAGACAAGAATAAACACTCACTATTGAAAGCGATAGCCCTTCCCCATAATCTCGGTGATTCGAGCGCCCTAAGCGTTTCTTGATAGTTTTTAAATACTGACGCGGGGCCAGATCCAACAACACATCCTCACTACCACCTGGAATCATGCACCAGGAACTTCTCTTGATAGCATATACCAATGGATCTGAACTGGCCAATGCCACACGGGCCCTTATCAAACGAAATTATGGTTGATCATGTGGCAGTGCTCGCTTTCACAGCTGTGTTAAAGAAATCAGGACGCAGCTTCAGCTGAACATCGGGTCCGGATAGAAAGACCAAGGCCCTAGTGATCCTACTGTTATTCTCACCGTTATAGCCATATAAGTCTAATGTTCAGGGAGAGCTTACCCGCAAAATTCCTCCAGTGCAGTACCTGGGACCAGGTCTACATCGAAGCGCATGAACAAGGTCGGTACAAACTGCAGTACTATCAGCCTTAGGTAATAAAGCACTTGTCGGCTCTCTCTCAAACCTTGGATATCTCGAGCCAGCTGATATCTTATCATGGACAATGTTAGCGTGATACGATGCGGAGCAGGTGGATAACATGAGAAGCAGTAGCAGCAGGGGCGACTCACTTCTGCCAATGCATGTACGAGACCCACCGCCAAAGGCAAAGAAGTATCTCTCTTTATTGCAAATTGTTCTGGTCAGCGATGTTGAATTGGATCATACAAGTCAGACTCACTCAGATCTCCAACCTATTCCTCGTCAAGCCATCTCTCCGGACGGAAGTCTTCGACATCAGGTCCCCAAATTTCAGGAATCCGGTGGATGGCCCAGGCAGTCGAACCCACCATGGTCTGGAAAAGTATCATTACTTTACTGGTGCAAGAACAATGAAAAGACAAACTTACACCCTCGGGGACCCAGTGATCTCCGATTCGAAGTCCTCCTGCTGGCACATCTCTATCCAGATTTCTTCCAACAGCGGGATATAGTCGCATCGCTTCATACATTACCGCCTGCAGATAAGGCCAAGACTCTGCTTCCTGGAACTTAACCGGGTAACTCAACCTTCCGTCTGATTTTCGTTCTTCTGTTTCGTCCAGCAGCCGCTGCAGGGATTTGGGGTTCTTCAGAAGCAGGTAGATCACTGCACGAGCCGATGTTGATGTAGTGTCCGAGCCAGCAAGGACATTAGATGCCATCATAAATGCAATATTAGTATCGTCTAACTCGGTTTTAGTATGCTGCACTGCAAATAGCTGACTGGCCATATCCTTTGTGTTGCCGGCGCGATCCTTCCGCGCGGTGATCTCCTGTCGAGCAAAGTTGAAGAAATGCCCGTTTCGATCGTTGGCGGCTAGCCAGTTTCCGATCACCGGCATCAGTCGCTGGTACAGGGAGTAGAACCAGTCGACGTACATTAGCCAAGAGATAGATGACAGTGAGTTCTGCATTCTCCTGAATATTCCACCATCATCTCCGGCTTCAATAAAACCGCTCGGCCGGGAGAAGCTAATTGCTCCGATGACATCTAGCAGCAAAGGCAAATATAAGCCCGGGTGAGGCACATAAATCTGTACAATAATTCAAGGGAAGCATACCGAATGCAAAAAGCTGGATCCACCCTCCTAGATCAATATCACCAGGTAGTGTACTGAGCTTCTCCATGGTAGAAACGATGAGGGAGTCCACCATGGGCTCGAGGTAAACAATCGAGTCCATGGTGTAAGCTGAAGCCACCAGTCTTCGCTGCCCAGAGTGGATCTTCTCGTCTCTCTGAGCAAGCAGATCAAAAGGTCGCGTTCCTGTGACTGTATCGTGTACGGCGGATTTGCGGAACTTGCCTCCAGCCTCTTCAGGCTATGTTAGTATTGGGGAGAATTGGTGGTTTGGGAAATTTGTCCTATGCAGCATACTGTATATTTCCTGAAAACTTTTGGATTTGCCACGCTCCTGCACAGAATCAGTCGGCGAGGGGCTATTGGTTATGATTAGAGATGGATTACAGGTAGTCGGGCCCAAGGCGAACCACCGAGCCATATCTTTGATGGAGGTTGACAAGATCACGATGAGCCTGTCCTCTCATCGATCGCCAGGCCCAATACCAGTAGGTAACCTTGGCCCAGAAAGGGCCAGGAAATGCAGCTAGCGGAGAAAAGAAGACCTGATAGACCACATAGCCCGTTGTTACAGCGAGTAGAAGGGTGGCAATCGCCGAGGAGTCCAGGAGTAAAGCCAACAACTTCATATTGATGACGTACAAAGTCGCAAATCGGTCCTACGCAAATATTGGGTACTTGTGTTTGAGGTACGGAGTTGAGAAAGGGAAACAGCAAAGAAATGGCATATTGCATGTTCTCAGCACATCGCGCATCATGTATAACTTTCCTATTCTGCACGATGGTCTCGAACGGGCCATGCGCAACCATTGAAACCCAAAGCAGGTAAAGAAATGTTGGAAAAGTATGGATCTCCAGCTCATACCCACTTGTTAGACTCGCGAGAGGTGCTTTTCACCGGTCAAATTTTAGCCTCCCCCGACATTTCAATGTACTCCGCCATGTAAACTTGATATCTTTCAAGAAAGACCTCCTCTCCCTTCCTAAAGTGACACTGTGCTGCGAAGTCCACCCTCTTGCAAACGCCGTTTTTCAACTCGTAGTCGACGAATCCGTGGATCATTGCAAAGTCTGAATATGGACCATAAGGACACACGTGAATAATCCTATGGGTCATGCTCTTGACCTTGGTCCAAAGAGCTCTTCGAAGTTTAGAAATTCCTGTTCTTCAAATCAGCCTCTGATAATGTGGATACCTCAGCGGAAATCATACCTGCTCTGCCTGTTACCCTCGTTGTCCCAAACACCGCGCTTGCATCGGGTGAGAAACAATTGACATATCTCTCATGCTCATGTGGCGCGTCAATAAGGCTATAGAACTTCTGTATAAAGTCCTTGTAGGGAAAGTGATCGGGAATGTTGAGATCGGAGGAATCTAAAGGTGAGTCAATATCATCCACAAGATCTGAGTCCGAGTGCCTAATTCATGTACCTCCGACTGCCATTTTGGTTTGCCTAGCACGCTCGTCTCCTAGGACTCGTTCTGCTGTGGAAGAGTCCAGGCTGAGCGGTACCCAAACATTCCTCGCTTGGTTCCCAAAATTCTGCCACCGCCTTAACAGAATGTCATAGCTCGTTAAGGGTCAGGAAGGGCATAGAAAATGTTTACGTAGCTACAGTGAGCGAGCGAACCAACCTGGACCTTGTATGTTAATAGCGTGGCGTGCAGTAGCAGGTTCTGATTATAGTTCTGTCGAGACTCTGTAGGTTTGTTGGCGCATGCCGTGGGACACTTCCAGATTTTTGTTTCTAAAACAGCGCTCTGTTCTCCTAGGAATCCATATCCAGAGTTCTTTCCACACATGATTCGGGTGAAGATTCTGGTTGATATATGTGTAGTGAACTACAGCCCAAAGACGATGGGAAACGCGCCTCCACCTGAGCCCCATACGGCCACTCTTGCTTTGCTGGAGGAATTGGTTAGAGCACTAGCAAAACAGGGAAATTGGCCCATTTGAATAAAATATGACGCATTGAGCTGTCTATTTCTTGCGTGATTGCCTGCATTTTACTTTCTTCGTAAATATACTCTATCGTCCAGAATACGGCATATGGCTGGAGCGACCTAATCGTAATGCTGGATAGATGTATAGCCCTGTTGTGGAGCAGCCATGACTGCACCAGTACTTGCAGACGTAGAGCAACATTTTATAATAACACCTTCCAAGGTTCCATATGTAGAAAGAGACCCCTTATGAAGCTTGTTGTATTGATGGCGTTTCCTTCTCAGGCTAAACATTATCAATTCATTGGGAAGAGTACATCGTGTTCAAGATTCTAGACTGCGACCTAAGGTTCTCTACTGTTTACCCGAGTTTGTTCTTTCTAAAGTAGATGTCTAATGGCTAGCGAGGTAGAAAAGTAACCAGTTTATATAGCTGTTCGGGAATGTGGTAAAGAAGCGCGTCAATTGTCTATTTCACATGCTTGTTGTTATTGATGGCTGATTCAAAATATGCTCCATGATGCGAATTACGAAATCTGTATATTGCCATCATATGGGTGTGTAGATGTATGACGCTGACGTTGAGCGCGCGTCAATGCCAGAGTGGTTGCTCCCTTGATTTTGTTAGACGAGATTCCCTTCTTCTAGGTAGTATCATTGACTATTTAAGAATCACCGCCCCCTGTCATATATTTTTGGAAGATAGTTCACTATTGCATTGCACTCCCGTCTTCCACTGTAGAGCGCATACTCTCACGAAACACCATGGGCCGTTTGGTGGAACAGGGGATCGTGCATCCATACTATTCATTCATCCTCCTCATTATATTTCTGTTGTGTGTCAGCTACATTATTGGTGTAGTGAAGGCTATTGTGTCTCCGTTATCGCGCATACCAGGTCCATGGTATGCCCCCTTAACTACCTTACACCTGAACTACGCCTTCGCAACAGGAAAAATATGGAAGATTGTCGAGAAAGGACATCAGGAATACGGATCCATCATGCGCCTGGGCCCACGCCAAGTCTGGGTGTCTGATATGGAAGCGATGCGGACAATCCTGATCACAGCAGACCTGCCAAAGGTCACGATGTATGCGGAAATATCCAGGGACCGCTCGAGCCCTGGACTATTCGGCGAAATGTTGGTCTAACTTGAATCTCATTTGAACTAGAAGCAACTAATTCGTCCCTGCTACTCGGCACGATCCTCATAAGCGACTGAAGCGGTTTCTCTCGCCGGCTTTTACGGTCTCTTACGTAGATAAACTCGAACCGCTTTTCACGGAATGCCTCAAGGACCTTATTGTGAAATACAGCGATGCTTTTTCGTCTCGGAGATTTGAAACCTTCACGCAACCCGCAACGATGGACTTGATGGATGATCTTCATAGTCTGGCACTAGATATGTAAGTAGCTTTTCGATCTTGGGACAAAGACTGATTGCTATCTGCAGAATGGGAGAATGCTCCTTTGGCAGAGGATTTGGATACACAAATCCTCAAAAAGAGACGACCTTCGGCATTGATGAGAAAATTTGGAGTGGAATACCCTCAGCAATCTTCAAAGGAATGGCGCAGCGTTATCAGGTTTGAAGAACGCACTATGTAACTGTGAACCAGACTGCTAAGCGGCTTATAGATGGTCTACTTCAAACGTTTATTGAGAAAGATTGGCGTTGATATCAAGTTTGATTGGCCTGATAGCATGATTGCAGTGAGTCGATTTGGATGAATAGAAAGCGAGCTGCGAATTGACTGTCATTGTCAGGCTATCAAAGCGATTATTGATGAAAGAACAACACATTCAGAAAAATCTCGGCCCAGATCTCCTACAGCATCTGATAGATGAAGGAGAAAAGCCAGATAGCGGAATGAAGATGGTGCCGAGAGATGTCATTGATCAGATGTCCGAGGTTCTCCTTGCTGGATCCGAGACCACCTCAGGCACCATCGGTTGTTTCTTCTTGGAGGTCTTGCGAAATCCTCAAGTAAAAGCCAGACTTTTGGAAGCTCTCCCTGTGCTTCTACCGAACGATTCAATTATTACCAGCAAAGCAGTCCGGACCGACTCTCAATATGAGTATCTTGAGGCGTGCATCAAAGAGACACTTCGGTTGCACCCTATAGCATCAGAGATGGGCCGCAGGACATTGAACCAATCAATCGAGCTGATTGGATTCTCCATACCTCCCCATACTTTTGTCTGTGCCTCTTACCGGGATCTCCATCGAAATCCGGCTTACTGGCCTGATCCGCTCCGTTTCTGGCCCGAGAGATGGTTGCAAAACCGGCCACCTGATGTTCCACCTCCCAAATATGTCCCAGGTATTTGATAGTAGCGGGATACGGAGAACTGATCAAGCGGTTCGCGACAGTTTAACTGCTTATTATCCATTTTCTGCTGGAAAGCATTCTTGCATTGGTAAAAAGTAAGCTGCAACGTTCCTGCAAAGTTCCTGCAAACCGCTTCGCGACCGGATTTCCCGAGATCTCCTGTTCTAGGTTGGCTTATGTGTATGCCACAGTTTTGCATGGGCGGAGATTCGAATGGTGACCGCGAATCTGCTTAGTCGATTCGAGTTCATCGAGGTGCCAGCACAGGACATCGACTACAGACAGTACATCACAATGCAATTTGCAAATGGCTCGTGGAAGGCTTTTCTCAAACCGCGATATGAATCGCGAGCCGAATTCTTTACCATATAGGAAAGGACTCCGTGCCGATGGGCTAAACAGCTGCTATCTCTTATATCGGGTCGCGATCAAAAGTACATTATTTCTTTCTGATCTATCTAATGTGTCTGGTTTATTTCTGCAAAAGTCACTACAGGACTATATATCTTGGCTTGCTCATCATATTAACGACACAACAAGCCCATATATCAGTTCGCAGATTCTCGCACATCTTAGTTGAGAATTTCCCCATGTCTAGTACCCCCTAGTAGCAAAAAGGGGTTATGCACTGCCCTCTCTGTAGAGTACTTGGCTGTTCAGTGTTCAATGTATTTATGCAAAGTAAGGATGAGATAATCATGCACAGGTGGGATTACATAATTTTATACAACATCTCAACCTCAAGTTCCGATTCAAATCAACATGTTTTGATCCACACAGATACTATCTTTTCTTCATCCCCCCTAACCATGTCCAACGAGTCAATTAACAGCCCTGCGGACTCCCACATAGACCATGCGGCTGCGATAAATTACTGGAGCGAAGTACCTGCCACCATCAATGGCATCCTTGGTGGCTTCCCGCAGATCTCTCGCATCGACCTGCGCGGGTCCAAGAATTTCCTCGCAAAAGTGCGCCGCTTGATCCCCAACTGCACAACGACCGAGAAGCTCAAGCTAGGTGTTGATTGCGGGGCGGGTATCGGCCGCGTGACGGAAGGCTTTCTCAGCCAGGTGTGCGAGGTTGTCGACGCCGTGGAGCCGGTTGAAAAATTCGCCTCGACTCTTAAAGACAGCCTCAGAGAAAGCGATGCCCTAGGAGACGTCTATGTTGTGGGTCTGGAGAATTGGAGCATCGAGAAGAAATACAACTTAATCTGGGCACAGTGGTGTCTTGGCCACCTTACCGATGCTCAACTGGTTGAGTTCCTTATCAAGTGTCGCGCAGCCCTGGCGGACCTTGGAATCATGGTGGTCAAGGAGAATCTCTCTACCGATTTATCTGGCAATGATATCTACGATGATGTCGACAGCAGTGTGACACGAACCGATGAAAAGTTCAAGGCCCTATTCAAGGCAGCGGGGATGAATGTGATCGCGACAGAATTACAAGCCGGGTTTCCGAAACATTTAAACCTCTTGCCCGTGAGATCTTATGCATTACGGCCGATGGCTTGATTATTTTTTCCAATAAGCCGAGCGACTGTGATATGTTCACAATGAGATGGGTGGAAGTATGGAGATATGGGTTGGGGTGCGATCATGTATCTATCGGTGATCACTGATTCCAAGTTCTAGGGAAGCCCCAGGATCAGAACCATTTTCATACAGAAAAGCTATCCTACAACAAAGGAATAAATACAAACAAATCAAGCCTTCGGTATCGAGTCATCATCCCAATCCCACAGGGGATCACCTTTGGCGTCTGGGGATGGTTGGATGGACAAGGTCTCCAGAAGTTGAGGATCCACAAACTCTCCCTCCATGTTCTCATTCGTACGACGTGGCATGTCAGGATGAAGTCTGACGGACTCTGTTTCTTCGCGTGGCTCCTGACCAGCCGGAGAAAATTGCGGGAAACAATCAATATTCACAGATGTTAACTCAGCGATTGGGTTATTGGGATCCATCATAACCCAGTAATCGACGATAGCCCTGAGGACCGTCAGATCCGTAGGCGTTAGGTCTTCCATTGGGGGGTTCTCCCGAAGGAAAATATTGCTGTATCGTGGACAGCGGTTGCGGAAGAATCGTAACACGGTTGCCTATCAATTAGTATCAGGATCGTGGTATCTGAAAGTTTGGCTCACTATCATATTGGCCTGGTCCCAGAATTCCGAGATGCGGTCCAGGTATTGAAAAGCGTTGTCGAGGTATCTCAAGGACTGTTGGCTTGCTGATGGATCATTGCCGTAGAGGTGCAATGCATGAACTGTCTCAGCCACCAAAATGCTGTAACTGTAAAATGATGGGACGGGCATAGATCCAGCTGCCTGCGCATCAATTAACACCTGGGCCAGAGAGCATGCGTGTGCAAAGCAGGTATGCCGTGCATCCCGCATCCATTTTGTCGATTCCTCGTGGTTCATTCTAGAGGTTAGACTTCCCAGGAGAAAGGGGTGCTTGAGGATGCAGAACGAAAGATGGTATAGACATCTCGAGAGTACAAGGTGAGTGCTTGCCATGCTGTGTAAGTCGGACCCAGCGTTTCTCTCGGTCATTTCATTGAGGCGCTCTAATTTGTACTGAAATGCCGTATACTGGGGGTCGAACAGCCCCAACGAGTCCTCCCTCATCATGTACCTGGCAATCTCCCCAAGCACAGAGGAGAATGCTACTGTGGTAGCAAATACGCCTGGTTGGAGGGTTGGGTCTTCGAGTTGCTCACTAAGCAAGCCTTTTAACGTAAGTGGGTGGTGATGGGTTGGCAGATTTAGGAGGCAGTCGGCATCGTTGATTGCAGGAGGCCGATGAAACGAGCAGCAGATGAACCTGTCCAGGAGATATACCGACCAGAAGAGGTTTCGACGTTCATCTCGTTCAGCGTAGGGAAGACGGCTGTCCGGCTCCAGCATCATTCGTAGATCTTGACTGATGCGCACAGCCATTCCGACCTTCACCCACGCGGCTCGTTGTCGGCCCGCTGGAAGCATCGATCTTAGCAAATCTCCAGCGACGATCAGAGAAGATGGACAAACCAGTAGCATCAATGATTGCTAGCAATGTGAGTGTCTGGATTACCGAGATGTCGTCCTGGCCGAGTCCAGCCAGGGACATGACCAGCTCCCAAGAACATGCCGCATAGCTGTCAATGGTCTTTTGCTTTCTGTCCCTCCATTGAGAACGAGATGAATAGCGCACCGCCGATGCAATGATGGCGAGACGCAAGTGGTCGGGGAGTTTGTGGGACTGCAATTTTTGCTGGAATGTGCCGGGGTGGAAGAGGCAGTATGGTTTATTGTGGCAATGGAGAAAAAAGATGGAGCAAGCCTCCTGAAAGACCTCACTTGCTATGATAGGAGAGCTTTACGATATGTCGGTTAGGATACAGCATCATGGGGGAGATTTTACTACTTACTCTTGTCGTCGAGAAGCGTGCGACATACTCCTTGCACTAGTCCCCAGCGATTCGGGGTATTTTTTTCCTTCAATTGTACTACTAGTACCATTAATTAGTCATGTATGCTGCACAGATTGGAGATGCCGAGAATACCTCTACAGCCTCGGACTGCGGCGGAGGACGATCGCTTTGACCCCTGCCATCGCTATGGCGCAGAGAAGAGAGAGACAAGACACACAACACGAGAGGGGGAATGCAAACAGCAAACAGGGGTCCCCATGTTTGTCCATGTTTGTGGGGTTGATCGGCCCGTATTCAGCCGAGGCGGATCCCCGCCGGAGCGCCCACCTATTCTACACCCACTACCTCTCCGTACTTGTCCGTGTATATCTACTGGCCCTGGACTGATCATCGGAGAGAGAATACTCGTGGATGTTGTCCTTCGAGTGATGCCCTAGTTGACGTCTATTCCAAGTATGTCCTGACCTGGGAGCCAGTGTTTGCGTGGGTTCCAGTTTCGACGGCTTGGCGTGTGCAAGCAATATATCTCCTCCGTGGAATGCTAGTGAAACGCGCAGGACTCTAGTTCGATTGATCCTAGCTAAAACCCCCTTAGGCGTATACCAAGAAAACTACTCGGCGGAGAAATACACCCCCGTTAGCCACCAAGAATGATGCCATCCCGCAGGAAATTGTGCGCAGGGTGCCTGGTCTCGCTGCAATCTACCCCGAGGGTTGTTGTCGCAATTGACAACCGGCGTATTTAATGTTGCCCTCCGCTCAGTTGCCTCAGATGCTACAGCACGTCGTGTCAAGGAGCACCAGTGCTCTAGTACCAGGTATTCCTTCACACAATGGTGACCTGGTTTGGGTGCAACACCATCTCACTGTCCTTCCTGTGGATGGTGCTGGCCCTCTTGGCAGGCGAAGCACTATCGCGACCCAACTCAAAAGATCCATCGGACACGGTCAAGGTCAAATGGCTTGAAGGCGCCCCCGGTTTCCACGCAGGAACAACATTCGGGCTTCCGTGGCCTCAGGGGAAATATCACTTGAACGACACCCGCTTTACCATATCGGACGCGAATGGCGACATCCCTCTGCAAACGTGGGCAACCGGATACTGGCGAGATGGCTCGGTCAAATGGACCGCACATGCAATCCCTGCACTTGACACCATCGCGACGGAATATGCTGTCGAAGCCTGGAGGTCCTCACATGCCCCCACTGCATCTGCAGGCCTGTCAGTGCAGAATGGAGGAGACCAAGTAACAGTCGACACCGGCAAGATCAAAGTCGCCTTTCCTAAGAACGGAAACAGTATCATCGACTCCATCACAACGTCGAGCGGAAAGGTGGTCGGGGAAGCGGGCAAGCTGGTGCTCCACACCCAGTCTAGCATACCAGATGACACCATATCCAAGGCCAATGGCTCGAGTTTCCAAAGCCGCATTGATAATATCACAGTCGCCGAGGAGTCGTCGGTTCGCGCCCTGGTTACAGTCAGTGGTAACCACCAAGTTGTCGCGGGCGAAGACCACGATGACTGGCTACGGTTCACCTTGCGTTTTTACCTCTACGCCAACTCCGATACCATCAGGGTAATCCACAGCATTGTCTTTGATGGGAAACCCGACCAAGACTTTATTACAGGACTGGGAATCCAGTTCCAGGTTCCCCTCGGTGAAGAACAATTGTACGATCGCCACGTGAGAATCCGTGGCGTGGGTGATGGTTTCCTCCACGAAGCTGTTCAAGGCGTGACTGGCCTCCGTCGCGATCCGGGAGAGGAAGTACGAACCGCCCAGTTTAGCGGGCAGAAAACGCCAAACATCACCACCTGGGATGAGAGGGTTTCTTCCAGAATGCAGTGGATTCCCGTGTGGAATGATTACCGTCTGAGCCAGTTGTCTCCGGATGGATTCACCCTTAAGAAGAGGACCAAGTCTGGCCAGGGGTGGGTCAATATCCCCGGTGGTACGCGGTCTGGCGGACTGGTGTACCTGGGCGGCGCCACTCAGGGCGGACTTTCCCTCGGGCTCCGTGATTTCTGGAAGAGATATCCAACGGGCTTTGACGTCTCCGGAGCAGGCTCGGAAAAGGGACAGATTACCCTCTGGTTATACAGTTCTGAAGCAGAACCGTTGGATCTAAGACCATATCATGATGGGATGGGACAGGATACGTACGAAAAGCAACTTGATGCCCTGCAGATCACCTACGAAGACTACGCGCCCAGTTTTGACACCCCTTACGGAATTGCCAGATCAAGCGAAATCTTCATTCGCGCCTACGAACAGACCCCTTCTGCAGACGACTTAACTCTTCAGGGTAGGAGCATGGATGAGCCGCCCGTGCTGATCGCGGATCCTAATTATCTCAAGTCAACCAAGGCATTAGGATCCTACTGGGGACTCCCGGATACGTCTAATGAAAAAGCCGCGACGATCGAGAGCCACCTCGATTTCCTGACGAAGTTCTACCAGGACCAAGTTGATTATCGCCGTTGGTACGGATTCTTGGACTACGGTGATATCATGCACACCTACGACGAGGATAGACATGTTTGGAGGTACGACATCGGCGGCTATGCCTGGGACAACTCCGAACTGTCGCCAGACCTGTTTCTCTGGCAATATTTCCTTCGCACTGGTCGGTCAGACGTTTACCGATTTGCCGAAGCACTAACCCGCCACACTGGTGAGGTAGACGTGTATCACATTGGCGATTGGAAAGGGCTTGGTACGCGGCACGGAGTTCAGCATTACGGAGACAGCGCCAAACAGGTGCGCATCACGCAACCACAATATCGCAAATACTTCTATTACCTCAGTGGCGGAGACGAACGTGTGGGCGAGCTCCTACAAGAAGCCCTGGACACAGACAAAACATACGGAACTCTCGACCCTCAGAGAAAGGTCCGCGAGGATGGCTGGACCCCGAAACCAGGTCAACCCGCCGCAATCTCTCTCGGCACCGACTGGGCCGGCCTGGCGGGTGGATGGCTGATTGAATGGGAACGTCGGGGCCCACGCTGGCAGGAAGCCCGGATGAAGTTGACGCGCACGGCGCAAGGCATCGCCGGTCTTAAGAATGGGTTCGTCACCGGTTCGGGGCTATACTCCAGCACCAATGGATCACTTCTTCCTCCACCAACTGATCCCAGTAACAGGGGGGTCGTGTCCATCTCTCATCTCAACGCGGTGTTTGGCCTTCCTGAGGTCATGTCCGAACTGCTGGAGTACTGGGGCAAAGATGCACCCCAAGGGCTCAAAGACGCATGGTTGGATTATTGTTACTACTATGGAGCGCCGGCAGAAGAGCAGAAGGCGCGGTATGGGGAAGCTTTCAGCGGTATATCACTCGTCCAGGGCCATTCTCGCCTGACAGCGTACGACGCAAGTCAGCGCGGGAATGCCACTGTCGCCCAACGGGCCTGGGAGGAGTTCACCGGTAGTGCTGATGGCTCCGATGACCTGACGGAAGATGACCCCTGGACGGCGGAGCGGGTGAACGGAAGTGCCGTTCTGATTCCGGTGGATGAGGCCACTTGGGTCTCTACAAACGCCATGGCGCAGTACGGGCTCGCTGCGATCCAGAATTTGGCGCTCGTCGGGGATGCCTTGCAAAACTCGTAATAGTCTTCCACGATTAGGTGAACGGCGGTATCAGACAGAGCTCCTGACCTCATGAAGGAGCAAGGGCCCTGGTGGTCAACGTAGACTATCTAGAGAGAATATCATCATGTCCTTAGAGCCTGTTGCGCAGCCCACTCGGTAGCGCCTCTTCTCGCACTATCCTCGCCAACTTCACCGAATATACCAACACCGAGTCGTGCGGGAAAATACATGCGCTGATGCCTCTCCAGAGATTGGATGGTGGGAGAGCAGGAACAACAGGATCTGGCGACGTGCGGTTCAAAGTCTTTTGCGCAGCGCTACGTCGTCATCCTGGAGGAATTCCGCAAGGAGGCTCTGGGGCCACTACAACGGAAAGACTCCACAAAGGAGTCCAACGACCCGCTGCTGACCAAAGCGGAAAGGCACACACGGGAGGACACGGGCCGACTGATGTGCCTCCTCTAACGGAAGACAGTGTGACGCAGGATATATCGACAGGGATCGGACAGACGATCGTACTAACCGCTGACGCATGGATGGACAGTTTTCTCAGAGTCCAGATCGTACGTTGCAAAATTAACCTGATGGGGTGACTAAGATTGTTTGGCTTCCACAAGGCTTGGAGAGTCTGGAAGTTGATTTTCAAATGATGGTGATAGTATCTGACATTGATCGCGCATACTTCGTACATGGGGTATATAGAGATGCAGCGATTACTGCATCGACAACTGATCCAACGCGTTGATCAGACTTTCCAACCCTTGGGCGCGATATCCGGGGCCGGACCCGTTTTGCTGGATTGCATCATCCGGAATATGTTGAACCACATAGTCCGCGGCCAGGGACGACACATCTCGAGCAGTCCAGAGATTTCGATCGAGCTGATAGAAGATCTGGAGGACCTTGGGCGGGATCAGGCGTGCATCCATGTTGGCGTTCTTGAAAACTAATTCAATGGTGCGCAAGAAGGCCATGCACAATCGACCCCACCCAAGACTCATATACCAGAGGCCAACGACACAGCTTTCTAGGACCAAGTTCCATTTTGGTCGATTTGAACGCAATTGTGAGATCGAATGGATACCAGCAACGCAGAAATAGTGGAGCATGACTATGGGTATAGACTTCCATCCATGGTGCTGCTTGAACAACAGTATGAGAGATCCCAGGGTATCCATAGAATGCAACTTGATTTCGACGGGCGAAAACTGAGCCCGGGTGGCGGGTTCGGGTTTTGACGGATCAGAATGGAGATTGAAAATGTCGCATAAAGATACAACGGAAACGTGGTAGTACATACTAGAAGGGTCAGCACGTTCGCTGAAACTTCCCCGGGGGGGGGGGGGTTTCTCACTGCAGGCAAATAATATGAGGACAAGGGGTTTCCTTCGGCAGAAGGACAGTCGGTAGGTTCTCTCGCCAGGAGACGAGACGTTGATAGAGTGTCGAGCCATATACCCAGTCATCTTCCTCTATCGCGGAGTAGGGGAACTTGCGGGAGAACAGGGCAATCTTGTGAACTATTTCAACCAGATCACTCCGAGCGCACGCCGACGTGAAGGTTAAGGACGGGTATATTGGCCCGGCGAAGGGGTAAGGGATCCAGTTCGCGTCATTGTCTAGAAGGTGCGTCTCGCCTGGGCTGAATCGAACGGATGGCGGTTCGAGCCACACTGGCCCTTTCCTATAAACTTGAGCGGCGAGTCTAATTGGTGAGCATGCGCATACAAATGGGGTAGCGGGCGGACATACGCTTGAATGTCGAAAAAGGCCCAGGCGACAATGGTCTGACAGCGGTGGATGGGATCAACCAGGTTGGTATTTCCAGTAGCGAAATAACCAGCTCCGTCACGGTCTAACCCAAACTGCTGAGCCAGTTCCGCACCGTGGAGGATGTAGCGGGTCCCAATTCGGTCGATGCCGAAGGTACAACAGAGTAACCCAATCAAGATGCTCCCTTGCGCGGTTGGCAGACAGGCATCCGTCTTCTCCAGTTCCCACAGTCGCTGAATCGCATCATATAACTGTTTCCCAAGCACCTTTTCCTCCCGCCGGTTGGTGATCTGGCCAAGGTCGTACGATATGCTCTAGATTGGTTAGATCCGCACCTTGCTCGGGGTAATGGGGAGGTACCACGCCGAAGAAAAGAAGAACATGGACTAAGAGAGGCGAACAGAACCGACGGCCCCCGGTTTCCAGATCGTGCAAGAACATGTCCTGATCCACCAGATGCCATACAGGGTTTTCCCAGGCAAAGTACAGGGAGAGGAGGTGGCTAGCAGTGTCATTATCCACAAAAGAGGTCCAGTTCTGGATCTGACTGGTCTGGAATGATGGCTTGGAGCATAACGGTTGAAAGCCGGTGGTATCAGTCGAAGCCAAATGCATTCGACGCAGAGAAATCCCCGGTCTGGCGGGTGGGAGATGCTGATCGAGGAGGGAGCGCGACACCAGGAGCGAGGCAAAGATCTCTGGGGACGTTTGAAAGTGTTTCTAGTTTACCATCATTGATTAGCGCCCTCCGGTGCAATTCGGGGACTCGCACCGAAAAGATATCCTCGATGGAGTGGAGATTATCGGCGCGACTCTTGGCGAGGATTTCGGCGAGGAGGGCCTCGTATGCGTGGATTTTGGATCGCGCGGCCTCGAGCTCCCAGTCCTTGCGTTCGCGCTTCGACCAGGTCCAGGTGCATTCACTTCCTGTGAGGCTACACTGCCGACAGACGGGCATGTGTCCGTCACATTTGGTCTTGCGATCTCGACAGGGGACGCAAGCGCGGAGTGTCCTCTGACGTTGGACCTTATCCTTGCGATTCTCCAGGCGCGGGATCGCCACTTTGGGTGCAGTTCTCTCGGATGGTGATGCAGAGGACGGCGATAAGGATGTCGCTGGAGTTACCGAGGGTGCGATAGGGACTGGCGGTGGTGGAATCATCCTCGAGCGCCTCCGGTCCTCGACAAAGGACGGCGTCGAAGAGGAAGCAGACATGATTGCTTCAATGGAAGGGGAGGGAGAAGACGAGAAGATGTAGACATCTTCCCGTGAGGCTCCGCCTGTCAATGAACAGCCATGGATGAGAGGTGGCGACAGGACTTGGAGAAGACGGCGAGAGAGAGAGAGGAATGGAAGTCCCAAAAGGGAAAGTGGGCTTAGTCACCCCCGCCAAGCATTCTGGCCCAGTCTCACAGGGTCTGACAGGTATGACGTCTTTAGTGATGTTCTCGAATCCATCCTATTCAACACTGTATCTATATGCCTCATCTTCGGAGTCAATGAGATAGATATCTACTTTGGACTCGGGTTAGATATACCTTCCGTCCCTGACGTGGTCTTATATTTCAGACGATAGGTAATATGCAGCAACGATGATCTCTCCGGCAAAAACTCCGTCGTCCTGACGATCTCTAGGTTTCTCCGCCAAAAGCGTGCTGTTGACGCATTCTCCCGTCCGATGAATACGCATTCCAGGCGATCATGAATCTATCCGATACTGCTGCGTTCGTGCATGCCGACTTTCAGCAACGATCGTCGCCGTGAAACACCAAGGCCCCAGGATCTGCCATGCCAAGCATCTCCGTCGCGTCTCACTATCGCCATCTGTGACGGCCTGTGGTGGAATTATATTCCGCCCTGCGGATTATCTCTCTGCGATATGATTCTAATCGGGGAAGATTTTTTGGGGTATAAGACGGGCCATGAACCATGAGCACCGTCCTGGTTCTTCCCTCTGGTCGGCTTCATCCTCCCTTACCTCCATTCGTTACAAGAAGACTGCAGGTTCAGTCGTCCATTTTCTACCTTATTCTCTTTTTAGGCCAGCATGACACTCATTCGCACAGTTCTCATGGCGGCCGCCTTGCTAGGCGCGTCGGCGCACGCCCAAGGTGTTGTAGGGAAGCCGTTCGGCTTTGCCGCGGGCACCACCGGTGGTGGGAACGCCGCTCCAGCCGCTCCCAGTGACATCAAAGAACTGGCCCAGTGGCTGTCGGATGATACGCCTCGCGTTATCCTGATCGACAAGGAGTTTGATTTCACCGGGAGTGAAGGCACCTGTGCCGACTGCGCCTGCTGCGTCCCCAGCTCCAACACCTGTGGCAGCTCCGGTCAGAATGCCATTGAGACCTCCTTTGGCTGGTGCGGCAGCTCTCCCAATGTCACTTGCACCTATGACAAGGCGGGAACCAAAGGCATGGATGTCGGCTCGGACAAGTCCATTGTTGGTGTGGGCAGCGCTGGTGTCATCCGCGGGAAGGGTCTTCGTCTGACGGGCGGTGCGAGCAACGTGATCATCCAGAACATCCACATCACCGATATCAACCCTGAATACATCTGGGGTGGCGACGCCATCTCGTTGGATGGTACTGACAAGATCTGGATTGACCACGTCAAGATCTCTCTGGTCGGTCGTCAAATGTTCGTGACAGGCTACGAGTCGAGTATGTATACGTAAATACATCCCTTGTCCTTTCCGTCGCAATGCTAACATCTGCATAGGTGGGTCAGTGACGATCTCGAATAGCGAGTTCGATGGCCGCACCAGTTGGTCGGCATCTTGCGATGGCCACCATTACTGGACCCTGTACGTTCCCTCCCAGGCAAAGAATTTCCCTTCTAATGTTGAATATTGGACAGCCTCGGCTTGGGCAAGAACGAGCAAATCACCTTTGCCCGCAACTACATCCATCATACATCGGGTCGCTCCCCCAAGCTTGGAGAGAGCAGCTACTGGCACTCTTACAACAATTACTGGTCCGACAACAGCGGTCATGCGTTTGATGTTGAGTCCGCCGGCAAGTCGCTCATCGAAGGAAATGTCTTCTCCAACGTCAAAACCCCGCTCACGAAGGAGAATCTCGATGGCGTCTTCGCCGTCAGCGCGGATGATGAATCTACCTGCTCGGGGTCCCTGGGTCGTTCCTGTATCCCCAACGTTCTCACCAGCTCTGGGGAGCTGTCGTCGGCTGGTGACGGGGTTTTCTCGGGCTGGCTGTCGGACGAGGGCGACCTCACCTTGATGCCGGCCTCTCAGGTGGCTTCCTACGTCAAGGCTCACGCTGGTGTTGGTAAGCTCGGTGCCGGTGACTACTCCAGCTCGGCGATCCCCTCTTCTACCCCAGCTCCCTCCTCTTCGGCTCTTGCCAAGCGCCACGGCGGACACGACAGACATGGTCTCGGCCATATTCCTCACTTGACAGAGGGGGGTCCCGGGGCATGGCATACTCCTGGCCCGGCCCCTTCCTGGTCGTGGAGAACTATTGGGGTCAGGTCCACCGCTCTGCCCACCCCTTCTCCGAGCAGCTCCAGCTGTGCGATCGGAAAGCCCACGGCAGGTCCCCCTCGCTTCCCTATCTTTGGGGATCTGGGTATTTTCTAGACAGGCAGTGCGAGATTTCTTGGGCAGTTCGATCAAATTCGTCACTTAGATGAGCCCGTGGGGGGCTGTTGTATGACTTCGTCCGACATACGGAATTGTCATTCTATGTAGTATACAATTTTTATTGCTGCCTCGGCTGTCACTCTTTCTTTCTCACTGAGGTAGCTCGCATATATTGAACACTTATTTATTTTCCCTCTATTTTCTTTCTTCTTTTCCTTTGTCCCCTCTTACTCAACCCTTGAACCAAGGATCCATATCCATGCTTCTCCGCTCGCAGCTCATGTGGTCGTCATAATGCGACGGCACGCAGACATCCATGGCCCGAGTATTACAGAGAGTGAGATCCTCCCTTTCGAGGCTTAAGTTCTACTTATAAAATGGCCGTCTTCATCGGTTTTTCCCCCTGGCTATTACGGTCGGAAAACGCCGAGACCCCTTATAGGCAAAAAGGCACAGGACCTACATAACTACTTTAGTTACTTGGAACTCAGCCATCCGGATCGCCCGGATGAGGCGTTCCCACCCTCAGCACGAGTCAGCCACCTCGCCCGCGCGGGGATGTTCCATCAGGGGAAATCATCGACACGAATAGTCTCGGAATTATTCTGACCAGTTCCCGCCTGACGCAGCGTCATCGGGTCGTATTCTGACGGTCAAGAAGCCCAAGACGGCTTGTCATTGCTTGTCCCATCTCCACCACCCCCAACGGCCGATCTGTCTCTCACTGGCTGCGTCAGACATCCCCGTGGCTGTTCCACGGGCGCTCTGGCGTCTCCCCATGGGGTCCGATTCGGGAAATCGGATGGCGGAGTTTGTGTCGTCCAGTAGTAGGCTGTACCCGTCCATGGATCCTACGCCTTATCTAGCTCTCTCCGCCTCGCTGCAACGCCGTCGATGCGTGAGCGCCAACATGGGCGCCGATGACGGCATAGGAAGCGCATCCCTGCCCATCACTGACTCTGCTATTGCTTGTTCTATCCCCGGTTCTCCTGTCTGTATGCGGATGGTACGACAGCCGGATTGGGTCTCCATGGGCAAACGATGTATCTGATCACCCTCCTTCGCCCGTAGCAGCTGATACCGCACCAACGTACATCCTAGGCGGGGAAGTCTCATTCGGTCATAGACACTCACTGGATCCACTGTAGTCGGGAGCCTCTTACGGAGTAGGGTAAGGATGAGGTCGTATCCTGGTCGTAATATAAACCACAAGGATCTCCTTCAGCCGGGTTTCTCCACGCCAGAGACCTTCGTCTGTGTGCTTACGGCCTCTATCCCCAGAGAATTATGCCCTCTGCCCCCAATCGACAGTCCTACCAGAAAGCTAGAAAACGTCAGAATCTTTCTATCATCTGATCTCCCTCGTCGCTCATCAAAATGTCTAAAGAAGACAGCAGCCCCAATGAAAAGATCGACAGTGAGAATGGGTCCCCGGGCACCTACGAACATGCGGAAGCCCCCAGACGGCGGAGCAGCATCTATGATATCGAAGGACGTCCGCCCAACCGGTTGAATGCTGTCTTCGAGAACCCATTGGCGGGCATCCCGAAAGATAAACTGTTTCAGGATGTCGATGCCTTCTGTTCAAAATACAACTTGGACGAGTATCGAGACACCTTCCGGAAGGGCGCCTTGGTGTCTCAGGATCCCCACGCCGCCCAGAGCTTGCCGGAACTGGAGGTCTGGGAGAAAGAGGCACTCCAGCGTGAGCATACTCACAAGTGGTCTCAGCCCTTTCCCCTCTACTTTATGGCAACAATGTGCTCTCTCGCAGCTGCTGTGCAGGGAATGGATGAGACGGTTAACAACGGAGCGCAGGCTATCTATCTCAAGGTATTTGCTGTTTCCCTCCCCAACCTCTTTACAATTTTTAACATCAGCAGCAACTAGGAATAAAAGCCGATCGCTTCTCGCCCCAGATGCAAGACTATATCACAGGACTAGTTGTGGGCGCCCCCTACCTGGCCTGTGCCATTCTGGGCTGTTGGCTCACTGAACCGATGAACCGTTACTTTGCCCGGCGCGGAACAATCTTCATCTCGTGCTTTATTGCAGCTGTCGCATCTGTGTGGGAAGGTGTTTGCAACTCCTGGGTCAATCTCTTCCTCGCCCGCTTCGTGCTAGGTCTGGGTATCGGATCCAAGTCTTCTACTGTACCGGTCTATGCGGCGGAGTGTTCTCCAGCTCCTATTCGTGGTGCCTTGGTCATGATGTGGCAAATGTGGACGGCGTTTGGTATCATGCTAGGGAATATCATGGGCGTGGCCTTTATGGGCCTGTCCGATGACCTCTCGTGGCGGTTGATGCTCGGCTCGACGGTCGTCCTGCCTCTCATTGTCTGCGCGCAGGTCTATTTCTGCCCGGAATCCCCCCGTTGGCTCATCGAGCACAACAAGATCGACAAGGCCTTCCGGGCATTTCGCACACTGCGTCCGACTGACCTACAGGCGGCCCGTGATCTCTACTATGCATATGTCGGTGTCCAGCTAGAAAAAGAGGTCAACAAGGGAAAGAATTTCTTTACCATGTTCGTGGAGCTTTTTACCATTCCGCGGAATGCTCGGGCAACTTTGGCCAGCTGGATTGTTATGTTTTTGCAGCAGGTAGTTCGCCCATTCATACTGGATGCCATTCTACTGACCGAGCGCAGTTCTGTGGCGTCAACGTCATTGCGTACTATTCCACAACCATCTTCACTGAGTCCGGCTACTCCATTCAACAGGCCCTGCTAGTATCCATGGGGACCGGAATCCTCAACTGGGTCTTCGCTCTTCCGGCTTTCTTCACCATCGATACCTGGGGTCGACGGAATCTACTTCTCTTTACGTTCCCCTTCCTGGCGATTTGTCTTTTCTGGTCCGGGTTCTCCTTCTGGATCGAACCGGATGTTCCAGACAGCAAGGCTCGAGTGGCGATGGTGACAACAGGAATGTATCTGTTCGAAGTATTCTATTCCCCCGGTGAAGGTCCGGTACCATTCACCTACTCGGCCGAAGCATTCCCGTTGCATGTACGTGAAGTCGGTATGTCGTGGGCCACCGCCACCACGTGGTGCTTCAACTTCATCCTCTCGTTTACTTGGCCCATGCTACTCCGCGCATTCAAGCCACAGGGAGCCTTTGGGTGGTATGCCGCTTGGTGTATCATTGGCTGGTTCCTCGTACTGCTTTTTGTTCCTGAAACCAAGTGTGAGTTTACTCCTCTCCCGTACTTCTGGCTCTGTTACTGACGTCTCCAGCTCTCACCCTGGAAGAACTAGACCAGGTGTTTTCGGTTCCCACCCGGAAGCATGCAGCATATCAGATCAGGAATGCCATCTGGCACTTCCGCGTCTGGATCCTCCGGCAGAAGCTGGAGCCTATGCCTAAGCTGTACGAGGGAACTGAACACCTTGCTACTGAATCCAAGTCATGAGGGTCTGGGGCACCTCTGGGTAAGTGATAAGACTGTGTGGTAATAATAGTGTGGTGGAGAATTTTGTGAAGTCAGTGCTCAGGTAGTCACCGCATCATACAGGGATGTTATGCATGCAGGTTTAAGTAATGTTGCGTTTCTCGTGCTAAATTGTTCTATTGTTGGCTCTTCAACTCCATATTCCGTAGATCCAGATGATCAGGTCGGATACCAGTTCATCCTTCACCAATAGAGCAACCCCATTCACGCAATTAGGGCATTCAACTCCACAGAGCCAACAGACAGGATCCCCATTACCTCGACCCTATCTCAATCGCTCCCCCTATAACAGCGGGAAATCATTATTGTGGAAAACGTAACGAATGGGTTTGTTTGCTCGAAAGTTTCAGTATTCAATACACTTCGAGTGTAGAAGCTCAAAAGATTGCAATGGCTTGCGGTGGGACTACCAACTCCTCCCTTTACGTGGAGAGGAGCACTAGTCACCATAAAGGTCCATCGCTGGTGCTTCTCACACTCCCGGCTCCAGCCTTCGAGGTCCCACATCTCCCCCAGGGGCGTCCCCCACCATACCAAGGCCCAGTCATGCAAGGTCCATTTAGAATCCCGTTGAGGGGGCCAGGCTTCAAAGGCGACAGTATCCCCAACCAATGCGGCAAAGTGCTGGTCATACAGCCAACGTACAGTCTCCTCTGACGCTTCCACACCAATCAATTGATGATTACCAAAGGTGCCTTTCTTTCGCTCCTCATCCGAGGCCTGGTTGTGCCACCGGATGAACCCCGTTCGGATCATCAGAATGTCCCCTTGTCTCGGTACGCTACCTTGGTTCTTCATTATTGCAATGATATCTAAACCTTTGATTTCATATCTGGTAACGGAATTCGGGGAGGATCCGTCTCGTTTCTCATAGAACCGGACCTGTGTTGTATGAGCAAATTGAAGGGGTATTAGCTGAGGCATATGCATACCATGTCAACCAAGAGTCCTCTTCCAACAATCCCTCCTCTCTCACACCGGTCTGGTTCCATTAGTGTTTGTCTGGCCCCAGCCTAGAAGATTATATTGCACGCTTACTATGCGTCCCATTCCTGTCTGATACCAAGGACTCTTCGAATGTTAACCCGTTATAGAAGACTTGGCTTGTTTGACAAGCATGCTGTGCAGAAGCTGTCAGTGCCCAGTACGGCCGGTCAATCACGCACATACATGTCTCAGACTATCCCACTGGGATGCACTCTGCGTGTTGATATGAATCTCATCATCAAGCCCGTAAGCGCCAAGACTCGGAATGCGGAGATGGTGGCTATAGATGTCCTTCAATGGTCATCTTCGGGTGGCTACCTTCGTACTCTGCGTATTTTTGAACATGTTATGATGACAATATGCATTTCCAGTTGCAATCCAGCCCATTGCAGGAGACCCCTGCAGCCTAGCCATCGATTTGGAATTGTCTCTTGCATTCTGCACGGAGCATTATTGCCTTTCATAATGTGCGTCGGTGTTCTGCATTGGCGGACTGATCGAAAAGGGGTAATTTCCGACATCGGTGTTAACCTATTTAAGTAATCTACCCGCCTTGACACAGCAGAGAAGAATTGTGCCGTGTCATAATGAGTTCAATGTTTTGTTTATCAACAAAAGTAAAAAAGTAGAAGAAGTAGTAAAAATAAATTATATCATTCTGGAAGTCTTACACTTCAAACATTCGGGAGAAACCTAGATCTCGATACTTTATATCTTGATGCTGCCATGTCCGTTAGATATCAGGAACTGCATGAGCATCTTCGGCGTTATTCAAAAAGCTTAGAAAGCAGTTCCAACCTGGGTACGTTAGCAAAATGACGCATCATGGACCATTAGTATATCATACCGATGTTCAATACATTCACAACCAAAACCCGGTACTGCAAAGGGACCAGATATAGGTTGATTCCTTGGAAAACAGGCCACACGGTCCAATTGGTACGCAGTGCCTCCCAATAGGTTCGTTGAAGCTTTTCGCGCGGATCACTGCCCTCTAAAACGGACATGCTGGAAAGAAATACCCCAATCATAGTTGGAGCGCAGACAAGCTGGTCGGTGGCCACACGCGCCAAAAGCGTTCTCTGGGGAGATGAAAGATTGATCCGATTCTGAAGGAATTGGAACCATTTCGTGGCGACTGGACCAAAAACAGCTTCATACAGATCAGTCTAAATTTACTGTACGATGCGGATGAGACTCTTGGGCGTACCTCCTCCGTAGAGCGCCATTCTGGCCGTGCGCGTCAAGTCATGGTGTTTGAAGCCCTTTTGTTCAACCCCTTGCTGGGCAAGGCCATCACCAACAGCAAAGAGACACTTAAAATACCTTCAGCTTTCGAGTCGTGAGATGCAGATGCAGCGAACTTACTGCAGTTGTTAGACTCTGCGTCAAGACTGGACGTCGAGACAGGCAATTCTGATACCTACAATTCGCGTCAGATTTGCTGCAAATGTTAAAGATAATAACGCAGTGTACAAACCATCTGAGCATTTTGTCTGCTAGCTTGTGAGGTTGATAAAAGGAGAGTCCAGAATTGAGATTGACTTTGGGGACAAAGGAATGTTATGGCGGAAATAACCGAAAAGGGCAACCACACCGCCGGAAAGGGATGGAATGCAGATGCAACAGTCCAGCCTCAGGGGGATTCGCTTTCTCCTTGCATTTGCTGATCGACTGTCTATTGAAAGAGAATGAGAGTACCTAAGAGTTGGTGAGTCAGAAAATGTGATGGAAACTACCAACGAGGCAGTCGTAGCTCAGTCCGCCCTGTGAGCTATCCGTCATAAACAAGTGATAACTCTACATCACAAGTGGATCATCCTCCCGAGATTGCCTATGTATATATTTGGTTGAAAGTGGTGTGAGACATGTTTTGCGCAACATTGACTGGCAAAGGCACTCCATGGAAATGGTTGGCGGAGCTGAAACGGCTCTCTTAGAACCTATGGCCATACAGAGCTGTTTGTTAGGGTGCATCAACAAATTCTGATGATATATAAGCTATCAAAAGCAATACATAAGCTTTGAGGCCGTGCTGGGGGGCTTGAACTCTCCCGCATCTGGTGTCTGGTAGCCATACAAGATGTGCCCAAATGCCGGTGGCGTTCGTGCGATCACATATTGAGGCTTTGCTTGATAACAAATGAATTTCATGTCATCAGACAATAGTGGCAGAAAACACAAGCTTGGGCATATTTGAGTAATTTTTAGAAGCCATGCTTACGGAACCCGGTTAGTCATTGCAGCATCGCCAGATAACCCCTGCATTACCACCCACACCTTATATTCCTCGACTCATTCTCGCCTTCGACATGGATTTATCCTCTTTCTGTCAGAACAACCTCTTGTACACGCAAGAGTCTCTGTCAAAATATCGGCCAGGGGGCTATTACCCGGTTACGCTTGGGGACACTTTCCAGCACGGTCGCTATAAGGTACACCATAAGTTAGGATGGGGTGGCTTTTCTACTGTGTGGCTGGCCCATGATCAGAGGTGGTAGATTAATGAACCACGCTCTTTGCTTCATCCCTTACTGATGATGCTCCAGTTGCAATCAATGGGTTGCGTTGAAAATCATGACTGCAAACTCCCATGAGTCGCGAGAGCTGCAGAATCTGGAATATTTGAAATCTCAAACCCGAGAGAATCAATCCAGTTGCTTGATTCATTCTGCCATGAGGGGCCCAACGGAGCCCATCAGTGTCTGGTATTTGAACTACTGGGACCATCTGTTGATAAGGTTCTCGCAGACTACCAACAGGTGGGCGACCAACTTTGTCCCGAGATCATCAGTCGAATGTCCCGACAGGTTTTGGAAGCTGTCAGATTTCTACAAAGCGTCGGCATGTGTCACGGTGGTGAGAGCACTCTTCAAGGCAGGACATTTCACTGGTTATGTGCAATACTTACATGCGGCACAGATATAAGTGGTCGGAACATCGCTTTTAGCTGCAGTCAGCTCTCCAAAGCAGGTGAAAACGACCTTTTTACAGTTCTTGGATCCCCGGAGATCGAGCCACTGTCCCGACTTGATGGCACGCCTCTTCCAGATGGATTTCCCACACAATTAGTCAAAGCCGCAGAGTGGGTCGACTGGATCGATGAGGACGACGAAGATATCCGACTGCTTGATTTTGGGGAGAGTTTCTTACGAGGGAATGAGCCCCAGCACCTGGCCCAGCCGGGCTCGTTGCGTGTTCCTGAGACTATTTTTACAGATCTTTTTGATTACCGCGTTGATTTATGGCGAGTGGGCTGTGCGGTAAGCAAATTCACCAACTGGGACAACGGTTTACTAAAGGACAGACATAGATCTATTCATTTCTATTCGCGAGTACTCCATTCTGGTATCTTGGCGAGATCGAGGTACTGGTTTTCCAAATGATCGGGTTCGTGGAGGAGCTGCCGGTCGAATGGCAGAGTAAGTGGGAATCAATGCAAAAGGAGTCCGAGCACGATCTGGAGATTGATAAGAGTGAGTATACCAGTATATCATAAGATGCGCTGCTAACAGTTCATAGATCGTGAACTGTCTGAGCTGGACCGAAGATTCACCGAAAGGATACATGAACCTGTTCTTGCCCCTCTACTGGAGGTAATACGAGGACTCATGCGGTTCCTCCCATCCAGTCGTATTAGTGCAAGCGAGGCCCTGGATATATTAGAGGGTTCGAATATGGAGGTTTAGGTCATAGAATAGGATACCGCGAGCAGACAGTGAGAAATAGATTCTTCGATAGAGAAATCCAAGCTACACTGTTTATTCTTCATCTCTCCTGCTTGATAATTCTGACTATATGGTAAGTATCCCAAAGGGGAAACGGATGTAAACACGAGCATGACTCATCCTTCAGCCGACTGCCGCTATCACGACATATCACGACTGAACAACCCCTCTCGGCAAGAAACACACATTTTCCAGCTCTCTCAACCATGGCGCTACCTTCTGAACCTCGGATCTGGACTAAGGGCGAGTTCACTGTGTCAACGGACAGGAGCCTTCTCTCGGTGGACAGCATCAATGCCGCCTTCGCCCAGGACTTTATGTATTGGACCCAACCATTTCCTGACGATATTCTGCGCCAGATTCTCGATCAATCATTTTGCTTTGGCGTGTACAAACCAAACCCCACGTCTGACAACCTCCAACAGATTGGGTTTGCGCGCCTGGTGACCGACACGATTACGTTTGCTTACCTCACGGATGTGTACATCCTCCCGGAATATCAAGGCCTGGGCTTGGGAGGGTGGCTATTGGACTGTGTGGATGAGCTGATCCGTCCGTTGCCACATTTGCGGTGGTCCATGCTTCGTACGTCGTCAGAGAAGAGCAAGCAGTCTTATGAAAAGCGGATGGATATGGTTGTCTTGGATTGTGGAAACACGCAGGAGGGAGCCATCATGATGGGAAGGAAAGGCAAGGCAAACATGGCCTAATTCACGCATGTATAGAGGGGTGCAAACGAAATATATGCGAAATGGCGGAGATTCTGGGCTGACCCAAAATGAAATGCATCACCGTCGTCTCACTATATTTTCTCTTTTCTTCTCTTTCTACCTCACCTACATTTTTCACCTCTTCCTACTCTTTCACCTCACCACATTGCCTTTAATATCCCAATTTTTCTCTTCTTCTCTTCTTCTCTATCTGACAGTATCCTTATTCTACCTTAAAATGCCCATAAAGAAAGAAGCCTTGGCAGATCCCGTTCTTCTGGACAAGATCGATCGTCTCTTCGCCTGCAACGTCGGTGAATACATCGATCTTCCCCAGCTGGTGGTCGTTGGCGATCAATCCAGCGGTAGGAGCTCAGTGCTTGAAGCTAAGACCAGACTGCCCTTTCCTCGCGATAGCGGACTCTGCACTCGATACGCCTCCCAGATCATCTTCCGCCGCAGGAAGGACCTCACACGCTGCGAGATCAAGGCATCTATGATTCCAGCTGCGGGATCTGATTCTGAGCATGGCGCAAGACTGAAATCATGGGACGCTCAGATCAGTGAGGTTGACCCGCAGTCCTTTGCACGTGTGATGGAAGAGGCAAGTAATCCACATGTTACTACTGGTGTCTAGCTCATACTGGTCTAGGTACATGAACTGATGGAGGTCTCGAACAAACACCATCCCGAACGTCTGACGTTCTCGAATGATATCTTCCGTCTGGAGACCTCAGGACCCGACGAGGACCATCTCAGCGTCATCGATGTCCCGGGTATTTTCAAAAATAACACGCCGGGAATAACCACCAAAACCGACATCAAGATGGTCAGGGAGATGGTCCTGGGCTACATGAAGAACCCGCGCTCCATTATGCTGATGGTTATCCCCTCCAACGTCGACATCGCCACGCAGGAGATCATCGAAATGGCCCGCGAGTTGGACCCCGAGGGCGGCCGAACGTTCGGTGTGCTCACCAAGCCGGATCTGGTGGACCAGGGCGCTGAGGCAAAAGTGATGGACATTGTCCTGGGCAGAACGATGGCAGTACGCCATGGATGGGTGGTCATTCGCAACCTTGGTCAACGCGAGCTTGAGGACGGCCAGGTTGACCGTGACGCCGCGGAGGAGCAGTTCGGACGCGGTGATCTGTTGAACGCTATTCTTCTTGAGCGATTCGGTATCGGAGCCCTGAGAAGGCGGCTGCAGGAAGTTATCACGGAAAATGCGCGCCGCTCCTTTCCTTTGGTTTGTCACCCGGCCCAAATACATGAGATGGATCACTGACGCCACAGATAGGTCCGTTCTGAAATCACTAAACGACTGAAGGAGGCGAAGGCTGCTCTCCGCGTTATCGGTGAGGAGCGTGAAACCACCGAGCAGCAAGCGGCATTCCTCCTGGATATTATTAGTCGGTTCCAGCAGCTCGCTACACAGGCGTTTTCGACCAACTACGGGGCCGATAACACCTTTGATGAGTTCGAGGAGCTCCGTCTTGCCACCATCGTCATGAACAGGAGCACCACCTTTTGTGAGGACATGGCACGCTTCGGCCACAAATACGAGAAGGAGTCGGATGACAACACGTGGGCTTGGGATGAGGCTACAAAGGAGACTGGCATTCTGACTAGAAAGATCGAAGACGTTTCTGATCTGGCTGATCTGCTTCCGTCCTGCGAGGAGGAGCTTCTACCCCTCAGAGTTGGCGTCAAAGAATGGCTGATGCAGTTGTACACTCGCTCGCGCGGGTTTGAGGTGGGCACGTTCAGCACGTGTCTGCTGGCGAGGAGCATGGACAAGCAGTCTTCCAAATGGCCGAACTTTGCTCTTGGGTATTGTCCTCCAGCTGCCATCTCAAGTCAGAGTTGGCACCTCCCAATCAACCCAATCTGCTTTTTCAAATGAGATCCCCGGATAGCTCTTCTGCACTGTGGTGTTGGTCTCCTCTCCGAGGAGGAACCGACGTATGAACACCGACAAGTCCTCGGCTTGCTCATCAGGAAACACGCAATGGGAATGGTCGGTCGACAGCGAATATCCCATGTGATCAGGAACGCCCAGTGCCTCCCAAATCATACGACCTGTTTGCATACATCCCAGGGATGACCATGGTCCCAGCCATTGATAACCCGCATTGTCCAGCGAAAGCAAGGCGCGCGGAGCGATAAGCCCAGCCAGCATGTGATGATCGAACGGAAGACGGTCAACATTATCCGTATATGCATTGAAGCTCGTCGAGAACCACACGTTCTCCTGGACGATTTCACCCGCTGTTTGGACCTTCTCAGGAGCGCCTTCTTCGGCTTCACACAGACGCCAGCAGCCTGATCCACCGGTGCCGGACTCCTGCGGGACTGTCAACGCAATCCGCGAGTCCAACGCTCCCGCGACCATCGCGCCCTTGCCGTTACGCGAGCATCCGGTTACTCCGACCTTGGTGACGGCAATATTCGCCTCTGGTGTAGACTCCAGGCTGTCAAGGATCAGCGACACGGCCCACGCCCATGCCGCCATGGCTCCTGCTGTATGGTTTGCCCCGTATAGATCGTAGAAAAGGCCTTTTCCACGGCTGCTCTGGTCGTTTTGCTCCGCAATCTGGCTGTTGTCGAATGTGATCGTGGCTACTCCTGCCGGTAGAGGAATACTAAGCGCCCCATACGCGATCATGGCAGGGAAAGGACCATCGCCTCCCTCCGAGGGATATTTGATAGTGACATTGAATGCGATCTCCTTTCCGCTTTCTGACGCCGCGATAGAGAGTGTATTTTGGGTGAAGGATGCCTTTACTGTGGAAGGGGACGGGGGCTTTTCTCCCAATTCCAAACGCTGTAGCAGCGCAGCGATGTGCTGCTGGCGACATGTGAAGTCATCTTTTGAGCTGATCCGACCTGTTTCCGATAGTGGATACCACGAAAATGGGTCTGGCAGAGTCGATATGGGCTCTAGAGAAAGGGAAGATGGGAGGCCCGGACATTGTGCGAGGACTGTATATAGTCAGTGAGTCTTCCAGCTGTGGAGGGAAAGCCCCTACCTCCCTGGCAGGTGGTAGTGAGGACGAACAACAGCTGGGTGTTTTTCATTGCGACACGAATTAATATGCTGCTATGCGGTCTGTGAATGAGACATTTCTCTTCCACCCACTATATAAGTGCCACCCGATTTCTAGCATCGGTCCGGTCGTCCGAGGATGCATGTCTTGTTTCAACACGGGGAATTAGGCTGATTTGACAAATCCCTACAGGTCACGAGAAGTCGTGTTTCAGTCCCTAGTCCCTGCGCAAATACGAAAATGTGAAGAATGTGAAGATTAATTGTGCGTTTTATTGTCACAGGGGGCTGGCTTATTTAGGCTATGATGGCACCTCAAGGCGTGACCAACCCCAGGTTTTCATTCTCGGCCTTACTGCGCGTGGTCCATTCCGGCGGTTCATCTTCACCGGCTTCTTCCTTTGCATCGCCTTCAGCCTTGGTCTGATGAACGGTGGCCGGGTGATGCTCTGCGGGCGAATACACCGTCACCAGTTCCAAAGGATCTTTGCCGATGTTGAGAAACTGGTGCTGCGTGCCAGCCGGGACGATGACCACGTCGCCCTGCTTTACATCCTGTTCTTTTCCGGCCACGATTGCTTTGCCATTTCCGTGGGTGAACAGCAGGACCTGATCAACGGTGTGGATCTGGTGTCATCTGTCAGTCGCTATCCAATTTGGATGGTCTAGGATGACTGACCTCGTCTCCGATTTCTCCGTTCACGGGCACTTCCATCGCCACGAATTGGGAATACAGTCCTGTATGAAGGACCTTGCGGAATACGCCAAAGGATCGATTGGGGGACAGTACGCCGGGGAGGTAGACCATCTCATGCCGCGGAGGCTGCTCCGACGTGTTTCCGTTGTATGTCTTTGCCATTGTGGAGGCGAAATGTCTGGAGGAATAGAGAGTAGGTTTCTTGTTCTTGCACAATTGAGCTGGGATACTTGGGACGTAAAGTGACCGGCGAAGGAAATGGGTCGACTGTGGTTTTATATATGTCGATATGCGATGCATGATGGTCGGAATCGCCATCCGGTATGTCCATGATGGAATAATCGCATGATCTTATATAACAACGGCCGTTCTAGAAGGGCTCCGGAAGTGACGTCAACTACCGCTCTCAGTCCGCTGGTAGGATCGGTTGTTCCTCGATCGGTATGTCATGACTATTTCGATCGCTGAATTGGTCAGCACTCGATCAAAATAATAAATAGGAGGACCAAAAAAGACATCTAGAACGCCTGATTAGTTAACGTTATGCAACAGCGAGCTTTGGGGTGCGGAGATACCAATCTGGGTGGTGCGCTGGCCTTCTGATGCGATAACTTGTCTGCATAATAGGTACCTTCTGTGGTTCGATATCTCTGAAAGATCCAGATGGCGATGACAAGGAAGAGATCGTGTTGGAAGCGATTTCGATGATCGATGAAGAGAACATACCTGATGCGCTAGTCCTTAATAGGTAATTCGATGGCTGAGGCACCGAGACACGTTCTCTTATGTGCCTCAAGGTCTTTTCTGTTTTACCTTGATATTATTTTGCTCATCTCAACCATGCACCACAACTTCAGACACAGACAATTAGCGACAGAGCGATAGTGATATAGATCTGTCCATCTCGCAGAAACATGCATGGGTGGAGACATGTCATCGTGGAGTCGAAGCGGAGACCGGTGGGCCTGCTCAGGACGTTGCGTGCTCAGACCACCCGCGGAAATGCTGCGTGGCATTTATGTACCCTGAATCACTGCATGCACGAATAGCTTCTCGTTAGAACTTAGGGTGAAGATAAAAGGAATGAATGAGAATCATCTCAAGAAGAAGACTATTGTAACTACGCAACTTTCTAAAGGGTCGAGTTGCATAACCAATTCCCTTACCGTGCAGCAGCAACACTATATCTGGGTCCATCTTATGCAAACCCATCCCGGGCTATGACCCCTTGCAATCAGAGTTACTCACTCCCACCTCCTTTTTAGGTGTACTTTAAGATTCCAGTTACCCTACATTCGAGATGGACTTAAGCGCTAGATACCAAGAGTTGGCTGATTCGGTGGCGTCCATACACATGTAGATCAGCCGGAGCCAGAAGCAAAGGTCGACGCCACCAACGACAAAAGTTACCTTAAGTTTGTTGCGTGAATTAGCCTGAATGATGTTGTATCGACCTGCCATGTAACCAAGTGCTAAGGGACAGACATGGATGCCTTGATCCGTGCGATCATGCCGCTTCCGGCAATTAATAATTCCTCCTGGCGGCCAACACTCGGACCTGTGCCGCACAACAATAATAATCACTAGTCTGAGTAGATTGAGAGAATAAACCAGTTTATGCGCCGAACGGAACGATTGAACCGACTCAGACTCGCATAACACGCGGTGGGCCGGTGGAGAACCACATGAGGCCGAGCGCTAACTAGATGGGTTCCTACGGAGCATCGGAATGCCCGGCCCCTTCAGTCTTGGCTCTTTTTCCCTCCCTTCGGCTCAAAGGAACCATTGGTACTCTCATAAAGAAGAAGTAGGACTCAAGATTCTCTTTAACCATGCCACTGTGATAGATGCAATTGTACCTAGGTCGGGATGCGGTCTGAAGTGGTACTGGCTGGGATACGTGATGCAACGCACCGAACGGAGGACGCTGCTCCGTTGACATATGTCGAATGCCGCGCCGCATCCTTCCCCCAATTTCCGGCGAGGATGCTTAGACTGAGGCTGTTGTTATCTGTCCGTCGACCCAATAAGGTGAGACCAAGAGTCTCGGCGGATGGCCTATCCGGCCACCGCACCGCCGTCAACCGGTCCATGCCAGTCCGAGAGGGTATAAGAGTCTTTGTTGCAGCATTGCGTGGCATGAAATGTCGACAATCGCGTCATGGCGAAAGCTAGACCCTATCCAGGTGGAAGCTAAACGGGAGCCCGAAGCATCGCTGACCGGAAGTAGGGAAGTGATGTCCATCCAGCCATGGCGTATCACCGTGCAGGGGGAGGGTAGCTAAGTCGAGTAGGATCCCAGAGGATGGCAGGCCGTGTGTCTCCCCATCATGCAGAGAGCACAGAATGGCAAAAAGCTGATCCTGCTCCCATTGCGGTTACCGAGGATATACGATGGGGCTGAGATGTCGGTGTTATTGGAGGAGAGAACCCAAGTCAGGGGCGCCGTCGACGTCATCCCGGATGGCTTGCGCTTGAGGCATTTCACGGACGGTTCGGCTGTGGCGTTGCATGATATTGGACTGTGTGAGGAAGATGATAGCCCTTTGCATTATGGAGGGGATGATCAGAGGATTAACACATCAGAATATAAGAATAATACTAGAGGAATAAGGATAATACGACGATAAGATGAAGGATATAATAGGAATAATAAATAAATAAATCTTCTAAATAAATAAATAGAGAATACAACCAGTGCGCGTATCAATGTACCCCCCCGCCAATCTACTGTGCGGTGGTACCTGCCCAGGTACGGGTTCCCCTCTCTCCCTCCGCCCTCCATCTCCATCTCCGTCTCCTCCCTGCCGTTCCTCTTTCTATCGCTCTCTCTCTCTCTCTCTCTCTCTCTCCCTCCCCTCCCGCTCATTTTCTTTACCGCCATTCCCGCCATCGCTATCGCCATCATCCTCCCTCACTTCGTCACCGCTGCATCCGTCTCTTGTATCCTCTCCAGATCACCTCGAGATGTCGTCCTCTCTCCCTCCCCGCACTCTTGCCGATCCGTTGATCCACTGTGGGTGAGACTGTGGCAGGCGGGGAATAACGCCGTCGGTGGAGTTCGCATTCCCTCTCATCCAACAATGTAACCGCTTCGTCCTCGTCCTCGTCCGATATGCGCTCCACCAGGACCCAGGGATCGCGACCCTCTTCTGCAATGTCCGCCAATCCCTCTTGCAACCGGTGATTGGTTCCGATCCCCCCCCTCCTGGAGAACAGCAATCGAGCGAGTAACTATGGCCAGGCTGCCGTCCTGGGGGACAAGCGGACAGCCTCCTGCCCAGCCTAACATTGGGTTATATAAACAGCCCCCTCGTCCCCCTTCGGCCCCGGATCTAGCATGGTTCTTCAACCCAACTTCCTCCGCGCCATCTCTCTCCCTCGGTGACTGCGCATCAAGCGATCACAACGATCTCCCTCTTCGATCCACCCTCATCCTTCCCTGTGGATAGTCCTTCACGATGATTGCCCCCTCCGATCCCGTTCTCTCCTCCAATTCGGCTGCTCCCCTGGACCAGTTCCACCCCACTGCGGATCACAAAGAGGCCTTTGATGAGAAGGTCGTAGTGATTGTCGGTAAGTCCTCCTGCTGGACAAGACCCCTGTCTCTAGACCCATCCTAATCGTCGTTTCAGGTGGCTCCAACGGTATCGGTGCTAGTCTGGTCGAGATCCTAGCCCAGACCGGCGCGTATGTCTGCATTGGTGATATCGACACCACCCGCGGCGAGGCCCTCGCCCGGAAGTGTCTGGAGAACTGGCCGGCCATTGGCGATCCCGCCCTGCCCCCCAAGCCGCCCCGCTCCATCTTCCAGCCGGTGGACGTGACCGACTACCAGGCTGTCGTCGATCTCTTCGATCGTGCGTTCAAGGTGTACAAGAAGATCGACCACGTGGTCGTCACGGCCGGCAACATGGAAGCTGGCGAGAACTTTTTCGACCAGAGCCTCAGTCTGCAGACTGTGAGACAGGTATGGTTGATCCCGCAACCGGTTGAAGAACACCTGGTCTGACCTTTCTAGCCTCCGTCCACCAAGGACGTCGATGTTAATCTCATCGGCTCGCTGTATGTCACCCGTGTGGCGAGCGTCTATCTTCGTCACAACCGTGGCCCTGGTGTGGACCGGTCAATTTTGCTGTTCTCCTGCGCAGCAGGCTTCAAGGAAACCGCCGGTGTGTCGGTCTACCAAGCCGCCAAGCATGGCGTGCAAGGTCTCATGCGCTCCCTGCGGCCCTACTTCTCCTCGCCGTACAAGCACAATGTCCGGATCAACACCATCTGCCCGTGGATGACCGCGACCCGCTCGGGCGTTCCCAAGAAGGTGGGTGACCGCTGGGCCAAGGAGGGCCTGCCCATCAGCACCCCGCAGGAGGTGGCCTTGGTGTCGGCGGGCGTCCTGGCTGACGACTCTCTGCACGGCACCTCGATGTATGTCGAGGGCGGTCGTGCATGGGAGATCGAAGATAACATCACCCGCCTGGAGCCCCAGTGGCTGGGTGAGGAGCCGTCCCGGACGCTGGCGTTGGGACAGAAGGTGCTGCATGAGGCCTGGGCGGCGTAAGCAGCGGTGGCTGTTGCTTGCTGGGGTTTGTTTCTTGTTTGTCTTTATTAAATCGATACCCATAGCGATATTCGGATCGCCGTCCATCAAAAAGCAAAAATTACACGTTATAAGATTTACGAGGCACGAAAATGATTTCTACCTTATGTTTTTGCCGTTCCTCTTATTCTCTTTCCCGTCAAATACAGATATTCCAATGACAGAAGTTGTTCCTCGTTGTAACAGGTGCATTTACCCAGAGGCTGCACTACTAGTTAAATGGAATATAGACAGCTATGTGCGGTGTGGTGTGATTCTAGGGTAGAGACTAGAAGTTATGACCGCGGTATAAAGCGCACAACCACAGGTGGATTCGACCCTGTACCTGAGTCCTGGGCTGCTTCATAGGCAGTACAAAGTTCCAACTATCCACCGATTAGATAAATGACCTCATTGCTGGATTCCACTTACATTAAACCACATAAGGACAACGACAATTGCTTTCTTGAGCTCCCACCACGCAGCGTATATTGTGGGATTTTCGAATACATGCTGTTGAAACAGCATCAAACACTCCGTCATGCATTTCTGTCGCTGAAGATCATTATTGAGCCACCGTTCCGGATCAAATACTTGGGGCCGGTCCCCATAGATTTGAGCGTTATTGTGCACGACGAGTGGATGACATCGTATCGTCGTGCCCTGCGGAACGTAATATCCAGAAACAGTGACACCTCCAGCAGGCGATTTCACCTCATGCACTCTATGCACATGGGAGAGTCTCAGGGACTCCTTCATCACCGCCTGCAGGTATTTCAACTCGCCCAACTCACTCCACAGAGGAAGCGGGGATAGATTATTGTGGTTGTGGGCAGCAACTATCTCGCGTCGGAGTTTACGCATCACTGCAGGGTATTTGAGAAGAAAGCGAAACGTTGACACGAATGTTTTCGCGATGCAGTCGAGATGCTCCTCCATAGGAGATGGATGATCTTCCGACTTAAACAAAGTACGACTTGATATAGAGGTAGGTTGTCCGGTAAAATGAGATCGAACCTCTCGACAAATAAACGGACACCCATGCTGTCGTTTGAGCCGAGATATGGGCCCTCTGAGGAGGAGACATTCAGCGAAGAAACCCGGAAGGCCTCTCTCGGTAGGTTCATGGCGACGAGCGTTGTTTGCGCCCGCGGGATGGAGGGTGGTCAAGCGTGATAGAAAGTCGGCTGCGAAGAAGTGAAGAAAGCTGGCCAGGTCGAGGGTCTGGTATCGTCGGAGGGTATGGACCAGATTGCGCAGGGCTGGATCAACGAGCCCTTCATACTGCTGTGCGTTGGACTGTCTGCTGCAGACGGTTTCGGTCGGATGGACATGACAAGTCGCTGGGCATTGTATATTGTACTTTAGCTAGACAGAGATTGGTATCATTCCTCGACACATTTACATGAAGACTCACCCTATTCCGCGATCGCCGCGTATAGATCAGAACAATGGTGGCAGGATTGGACACGCTGACAAGGTCCGGCCCTATGCGAACGATCGTGCCATATTTCTCATGGAGTTGCAGCAGAGAGTTGGGTAATTGAGAAGATGGCTGAGCATGGAGCCAGAAACTAGACAGTCCGGCGAGCACAGGGCCGGGAATAGTATTCAAGCGGACATGGTTATAGAGCAGCCGGATGGATGCGATGAGGACGAACAAAACCACGATCGCCAACGTCACCATTGCTGATATCGATTCTCACGAGCATGGTCCTTACGATAGGGAGATGAATTTTGAAACTAATCACGAAAACGACACAAAACAGGTGGACTGATTCTGTCATGTTTACAGCCGCAATATCCCGAAGGTCCCCAGGATACTGGAGAAAACAACCGGAGGTACCCGACGGCCGTATCGTTATCTTATCGGCTTATCTTATCGCTTATGGTTCCATCGGGCCGATGCTCCCTCACATGCGCAGTGCAATTTCCCATCCACGACTGTGGGGAAGACAACGAGGGAAATCCTGGAGAAGAGCAGAAACGAGCACATGATTTCGACATCTCGTCCATATCGACAGGAATTTCTCTCCAACGAATAATTTTCGTCCACGGTCGTCAGCAAACATCTTGGCATCATCACCCGCGGACATCTCGTCCCGACGGCTTCGTGATCAGAACGAAGTAAGAAACGCCATACTTGACGCCGTGGCTGTCGTCTCGTATAGAAACAGCATATAGGGGTGCGATCCCCAGACGGAACTCCCTCCAAGGGCAGCACGATGCTCCATCTTGAATCGCATCGACTCGCGTGACTGCAAGAATGGCCCCGGGCAAGGCTGCCCGACGCGCATCGACACCTCGATCGGAGGACCGATCGAACCCAAGGCGGTCGAACGTAGCGTAAGTCACCCCTGCAATGGATAAGCTAGCGGCGCTAATACGGACTAATGCAGCTGCAATCGATGTCGCAACCGAAAGACGCGATGTGCAGGCAACCCGCCCTACCCTTGCGCCGCCTGTAAAGACGCCAACCAGGTCTGCGTCTACTCCGAAGCGGAAAAGCGCGTGTCGATTCCGGAGAGGTGTGTACATATCTACTCAATTGAGTAAGACTCACTAACGTCGCGTTAGTTACTTGCGTCAGCTTCAGTCGCAGGCCGCTGGACGCTCCGGTATGTTTATCTTCTTGTCTTGTATTCTCGGCTTCTGACCCTTGCAGTAGAGGACTCTCGTCCCTCTTCTTTCTCCAATCCAAGCCCTACCCAGTCCAGTCCCTTCCCTAGTGTCGAAGTGCCCGTCGAACGAGACGACTGGTGGTACAAGGGAACCGACCATCTATTCCTCAATCGATCCGGGGAACATCGTACGTCTCGTTCTTCCTAGTCACTAGGAACCGTTCTCACCAGGTACAGACTTTGTCGGTCCGTCCTCGGCCACTCACTTGGCCAAACGGCTGAATCCAACGTCCGGCAACCTCGCATGGGATATCCGTCCGCTGTACAATGATCCGACATCCTTACGCCAGTCGGTCAGCCGGGCCCTGCCCCAAATGCCCCCTTTTGAATTCGCCAAACGCTTGTTCTGGGTGCACTACACCTACATTGGAACCATATTCTCTCTCATTCAGCCCCGCGATTTCGAAGAACGACTCCATGTTGTTTACAACCAGCCCCCTGACTTTTCCAATCGGGAGTCCTGTCTGGTTTACTGTCAGGTGCTCCTCGTGATCGCCTTTGGGCTAATGTATTCCGTCAACCAGTGGTCTGGAGACGACGGTCCTCCGGGGTTTAAATATTTCAAACATGCCCTGCGCTTCCTGCCAGATATCCACGAAGAGGGGTCGATCTTCTTTGTCGAGGTGTTATGCTATGTGGCATACTATATGCAGAATCTCAACCGACGCGATGCGGCTTTCCTTTACGTATGCTCACTCCACCATGGGATAACCCGAGTGTATGCTAACGGAGTGAAGATCGGGCTGGCCCTTCGGATGGCAATCTCCCTCGGTCTGCATCAGGAAGTGTCAGACCCCACTATCAGTGAGGAGGTTCGAAATCGTCGCCGCCGCGCTTGGTGGTCGGTGTATAGCTTGGATCGGTATGCAACCCCAGAGAATGGCCGCCGTAGCATTCTAACATTGCTACCAGTTTACTCTCCGTCAAGTCCGGAAATCCTATTACCATTCAAGATGAAGATATTGGGACGACGTGGCCTGTTCCTACAGTATGTTGCGCTGACCCAGTGGGAGGTAACTTGACTAACGTTCTTTACAGCCCGGATCGAGTGATATACCGTGGCCGTCTGTTGTCCTAACCCATTATACTCAACTGTCCAGAATTCTGGGACGTATTGGAGAAGGTAGGCCATTGCAGTACACACAAAGCGGCTCATTTTGACTCACATGTCACAGAAATCTACCGCAAGAAGCCCCGCACAGGTACCAACCTACTTGCGTCGGCGCAGAGTATCACGACCGATCTATCCGAGTGGCTGCAGCGGGTGCCAGACGGTCTTCGAATCGACTTCTCTACCCTGGACACGCACATCAACCGCGAGTCGGTTTCGACTTTCCTCCACTTCTACTCGTGCATTAATATGACCGCACGACCCTTGGTTTTTTATGTCATCCAGCGACGACTTGAGGCGGAGTCGCGAGGCTCGGCGACGGATGACTGGAAGGAGGGGCTGTCCCAAAGCACAGTGGCCGTGATTGACAGTTGCATCACTGCAGCTCGTGCCACAACGATCATTATGGATGCTGCTGCGAAGCATAATCTTGTTGGTACGCATTCTTTCCTTTCATATGCTGTCCGTCCCACGTCCATACTGACGAGATGAAGCAACGTACGGCTATCTCGACGGCGAGTACGCGTTCTCAGCGGCCCTTCTCCTGGTGATGGTCAATGCAGTCTTCCCTCATAACGACGCCAACGCACGCACAATGGAGATGGCATTGAACCTGCTGCGTAGTATGGCGGACCGCGGGAATACGTATTTGGGGGCCCGACACGCGTTATTACTCGAGTTGCAGTCCGCGATTGGACCCAGCAGCTCCCGGAAGAGCGGTAACACAATGGACGCCCCAGTCACACCGTCCAGCACGATTCAGCAGGCAACCCCGGCGACGAATACGTTTGAGGAACCAGCACCGGTGTTGTCGACCGAGTGGCCGTTGCCGCAGGACTTGCCGTCGATGCGCGATATGACGCTGAATTTTGACATAAATGATGATCCTGGGCTGTGGGAAGAGGTCTTGGGGCAGATTGATATAGATATGGATACGGATTGGATTGAGAATACGCTGCGACGATGATGATTCTCAGTACGACTCTCGGTATGATTCTTAGTATATAGTTCTAGCTCAATGTCATCTATTTTATGCACTAAACCCAAGTAGATGTTCTCCGTTGGCCAAAGTCTGATACTTGCTGATCAAGGTCACCAAGGATATCATCTAATACAATCCCTACACCCATCTCCATCATCAACATTCCTCATTCTACCAACTGATTGCTTATGGTATAGTCATACGGCCCCATCGGCCCGATGACTCCGATGACGCCGCCATCGGCCCGACACGTGACCTCATGGAGTGGTTAACGACGATGAGTGGAAGATAACCCAGTGGACACTTCGGGGCGAGCGGCCTGCGCTGTTATCAATAGTAATCCTGCTTCTCATCAGCGGGGAACCGGAGGATCTGACATTGATTCATTTAAAACCCCCGGAGCGTGCCCCTGGTTGACCGTCTATCGTCTCCATCTCTCGCCTTCTCTCCCCGCCCCCACCAGAACTCATACATATCCCTCAGACACGAACCCCCGAGGGAGAGAGCAACATGTCTGGATCGGGGAAAATCACCATCTCCATTGACCGTGGTGGCACGTTCACCGACGTCCACGCCATCGTCCCGGGTCGCCCGGATATCATCCTCAAGTTACTGTCGGTCGACCCAGCACACTACCAAGATGCGCCCACGGAAGGCGTTCGCCAGATTCTCGAGCTCGTCACAGGCGAACCTCACCCTCGAGGTCGACCGTTGAAGCTGGATCGGATTGGCTGTCTCCGCATGGGAACGACCGTCGCCACAAATGCCCTGCTGGAGCGGAAAGGCGCCCGCTCCGTCCTCTTCACCACCAAGGGCTTCCGAGATCTGCTCAAGATTGGAGACCAGTCGCGTCCGAACATCTTCGATCTGTCCATGGCCCGGCCGGGGGTCCTGCCCGAAGGAGTGGTCGAGGTCAATGAGCGCGTGGTTCCCTGCCACCCGTCCGCGGATAAGGACGCCTTTGCCGGCGCCCGCGTTGTTGAGGGTGTCACAGGGGAGAAGTTCCGCGTGGTGCAGGAGCTGTACCTGGAGGAAGTCCGCAGGGAGCTGCAACGGTTGAAGGAGGAGGGATACCAGTCGCTCTCGGTGGCGCTGGTGCATTCGTTCGCGTACCCCGAGCACGAGCGCCAGATCGGAGAGCTCGCCGAGAGCATGGGCTTTTCCGTGACGCTGTCCTCCAAATTGCAGCCTATGATTAAGATCGTGCCGCGGGGCATGTCCGCCGCGGCTGACGCCTATCTCACGCCCGTTATCAAGACATACATCGACTCCATCTCGTCGAGTTTCGAAGGCGGCCTCGAGAGCCAGCACGAGTGCCGGTTTGAGTTCATGCAGTCCGACGGCGGTCTGGTCGACTTCCGGAAATTCAGCGGTCTGAAAGCGATCCTGTCCGGTCCCGCGGCTGGTGTTGTCGGCTTTGCCGCCACCAGCTGGGATCCCACGGAGAAGATCCCGGTGATTGGCTTCGATATGGGCGGTACGTCGACGGATGTGTCGCGGTTCGATGGGCATTTGGAGCATGTCTTTGGGTCTAAAGTTGCCGGTGTTCTCATTCAGTCTCCGCAGCTCGATATCAACACTGTCGCGGCTGGTGGTGGCTCGATCCTGTCGTGGCGCAACGGTCTGTTCTATGTCGGACCTGAGTCCGCGTCAGCGCATCCTGGCCCGGCGTGCTACCGCAAGGGCGGTCCGTTGACGGTAACAGATGCCAATCTGTTCCTGGGCCGTCTGTTGCCCGAGTACTTCCCGCACATCTTCGGTCCCAACGAGGACCAGCCGCTTGATCTCGAGGCGACGACGAAGCTCTTCACCGAGTTGACGCGGAAGATCAACGCGGAACGCAAGCAGGCGGGTCAGTCGGAGTATACCCCGGAGGAAATCGCCCTTGGATTCCTGAAGGTGGCGGACGAGTCGATGGCTCGTCCCATTCGCAATCTCACCGAGGCCCGCGGTTTTGAGACGGCCTCGCACCATCTGGCCTGCTTTGGAGGTGCGGGTGGTCAGCATGCCTGCTCCGTTGCGGCGTCTTTGGGCATATCTCGTATCATCATCCACAAATACTCTTCCGTTCTCTCAGCATATGGTCTGGCGTTGGCCGAGGTGGTAAAGGAGTCGCAGGAGCCGGTCTCCACAGACTACATCACCTCTCAAGCCACGCTGGACAAGCGCTTTGTGGACATGACGGACGCCGCCACGGCGGAGATGAAGACGCAAGGATTCCCTGCCGAGCAGGTCCGTCACGAGCTCTATCTGAACATGCGCTACGAGGGTTCCGACACCAGCCTGATGATCCTGAAGCCGGAAGACGGCTCCGGGTTCCTCGAGCAGTTCCGTATCCGCCATCGTCGCGAATTCAACTTCAACTCTGAACGCCCCGTGCTGGTCGATGACATCCGCGTGCGCACCATTGCGTCGTCGAAGGTGCGCGAGGAGAAGAGTCCGCTGGTGCAGCTGAAGGAGGCCACCATGCAGGATGTAACGGCCGCGCCAGATAACACCACCAAGGCCTTCTTCGACGGCTACTCCGACCGCATCGACACCCCTGTGTACCTCCTCGACAAGCTGGACAAAAACACCCGGGTCCACGGTCCGGCCGTCATCATTGACAAGACGCAGACGATCGTGGTGGCCCCCAACGCCGTTGCCAACATCCTCGAGACCTGCATTGTCATTGACCTCAAGGAGAAGCAGGAGACGGCCGCCCCCGTCGTCAACGGCGTGTCGTCGCAGATCGACCCCATCCGTCTCAGTATCTTCGGCCACCGCTTCATGTCGATTGCAGAGCAGATGGGCCGCACCCTGCAAAAGACGTCCGTCTCCACCAACATCAAGGAGCGTCTGGACTTCTCCTGCGCGCTGTTCTCCCCCGACGGTGGCCTCGTCGCCAACGCCCCCCACGTGCCTGTCCATCTGGGCTCGATGCAGTTCGCCGTTCGGTACCAGCACCAAAAATGGCTAGGTAACCTGAAGGACGGCGACGTGCTGGTGGCCAACCATCCCAGCTGCGGCGGCACCCATCTCCCTGACATCACAGTAAGTCCCCCTCTCCTCCCTTCACAATCACCACTCACATTTCCAGGTTATCACACCGGTATTCGACCGCCCCGGCGGTAGCGAGATCATGTTCTACGTGGCCTCGCGCGGCCACCACGCCGACATCGGCGGTATTCTCCCGGGCTCGATGCCACCGAAGTCGACAGCTCTCTGGCAGGAGGGCGCAGCCATCGAGGGCGAAAAGGTCGTCAGCAACGGCGTGTTCGACGAAGAACGCATGATCGAGCTACTGGTGCGCAAGCCCGCACAGTACGAGGGCTGCTCGGGCGCGCGCTGCATCAGCGACAACCTGTCCGACCTGAAGGCGCAGATTGCCGCCAACACGCGCGGCATCTCGCTTATCCAGAGCCTCTTCGCCGAGTACGGCACGGCCACCGTGCAGAAGTACATGTACGCCATCCAGGCGACGGCCGAGACCGCCGTGCGCAACCTCCTCAAGGACCTGCACCGTCAGTTCGGCGGGAAGCCCCTCGAGGCGGTCGACTACATGGACGACGGCACGCCGATCAAACTCAAGGTGACCATCAACGGGGCCGACGGCTCCGCCGTATTCGATTTCGCGGGCACCGGGCCCGAGGTGTACGGCGGGTGGAACGCGCCGATCGCCATCACGCATTCCGCCATCATCTACTGCCTGCGGTGCATGATCAACGCCGACGTCCCACTGAACCAGGGCTGTCTGGCGCCGATCGACATCCAGTGCCGTCGCCCAGCATCCTGTCCCCGACGAAGACAGCCGCCGTGGTCGGCGGCAACGTCGTGACGTCGCAACGCATCACAGACGTCGTGCTGAAGGCGTTCCGCGCGTGCGCCGCGTCCCAGGGCTGCTGCAACAACCTCACCTTCGGTACGAACCCCAAGACCGACCCGGCCACTGGCGCCACCATCCCCGGCTTCGGGTACTACGAGACCATCGCGGGTGGCAGCGGCGCCGGCCCAACCTGGGACGGCGAGTCGGGTATCCATGTGCACATGACGAATACGCGGATTACAGACCCCGAGATTCTTGAAAAGCGGTACCCCACGCTGCTGAGGCAGTTTACGCTGCGCCCAGGGTCCGGTGGGAAGGGCCTGCATCCCGGTGGGGATGGTGTGGTGCGCGATATTGAGTTCCTGGCGCCGATGGAGGTGTCCATCCTGTCGGAGCGGCGCGTGCACCGGCCGTACGGACTGGAGGGCGGTGAAGACGCGCAGTCTGGTTTGAACTTATGGGTGACGCGCGATCAGGAGACGGATGAGGAGAGGATTGTTAATATTGGCGGGAAGAATACCGTGTCCGTCAAGACGCACGACCGCGTGGTGATTATGACAGCCGGTGGTGGTGGTTGGGGTGCGGCAAAATGAAATCCTTTGACAAGACTTCGTCATCTTGTTCGATACTCTTTGTTGTTTAGATATTGTCTATAGCCTTTCTTGCATATTATTCTATTTCCGTACATACGTGCTGCTTATTTGCTCTATGCCACGGGAGAACTTCGACCATGACTTTCGCGACTGATGGCGCCTCCAGCTAACCCCAAGCCCCAGAGAGATGGAATAGTCGACCATGATGTGACCAAGGACGCCGCCAGGCCTTGATGTTGTCGCCGCAGGGAGTTACTGAGAATGAGAGTCCCCGACGGGACGAACATGCCTCTGAGAAGTCAGCAGACTGCCATGACCAGAAGGTGCATTCTTACATTCTACAGGACTTGATCATTATACTTTGGTGGTGAGGGAAGGATGGGGTGACCATGTTCGAGGACACAATGAGCATAGAACACGGACGAGCAAAGTGTTTCGGTATCTTACTTTCTTTATACATCTAAAAACATGGCTTCTTAGATGGCCTGCAGAAATCGAAGAGTTGAAGTTGAATTGAAGTATATAATTGATGCCTGGGAGATGAGGCCGCCGCTGACAAACGTCATCACATGCAAACTGTTTGCTCATAGGGAAATTCTGCCCAAATTTCTCATTATTCAAAACAACCACGACCACTTCGACTCTGTACAAGTATTCCGTCCCATCATGACTCTCGTACAGGTTCCTCGGGTTCAGTCGCTCCCTTTTTTCTCTATTCATCTGCAGATTCATTGAGACTAGCTTCATTCCATCCCTTCAAAGAAATCCCGTACCCCGCCGGAGGTTCAGGAGACTCACAAAGGCTGCATTGCAGTTGCTGCATCTTCCCCTCCTCCCCTCATTCTCTTCTTCTGTCATTTGACTGAGGTTGTCTCCTTATATCACCCTCGCCGTTCCCTCGTGTTCATCCTTCATCCTTTCTTCCATCCTCTTCCTGTCTTTGTCCTTCTTGGATCACTCCCCGACCATGGGGAAGCTCCCCGCAACCGTCATCATCGCCAGGTAGGTCCCCAATCCCATACCAGAAGACTCTGAATGCTCATCTTCTCCCAGACATGGTGCGAGACTTGACGCGGCCGATAAAAACTGGCACCTCACCTCTCCGACTCCCTATGACCCTCCTCTTTCCTATGGCGGCTGGCTCCAGTCCCGCGCACTAGGCGCCCGCATCATCTCGCTCCTCCAATCCAGAACCGAGGCAGATGAGCCCACCTCGGCGCAAGACCAGAACACTCCCAACACGACCACCTTCCCGTCATCAAGTCCCAAACGAAAGCGCAGAATCATCATCCATACTTCCCCCTACCTCCGATGCTTGCAGACGGCCATCGCCATCAGTGCTGGAATCAGCCAACACGATATTGACGGCGACACATCCGCCGTCAGCCACACAAATGGTGCCACATCCTTGGCTGCAGATTCCCCCTTCACTCCGGTCTCTACCTCCTCCGATACTCGCTGTCTTCTGCGCGTGGACGCCTTCCTCGGTGAATGGCTTTGCCCGGAATATTTCGAGGACATCATCCCACCCCCCAAGTCCGAACGGATGATCGCCGCAGCGAAGGCAGAACTTTTGCGACACGACGACAACACCATCCCCCATGCAGACACGGCGTACAAGCCCTCCACCGGTTACTTCCCGGGAGGGTGGGGCAATATGGGCCAGACTCTGGCAACATATCCGGAAGACGAGGTGCCAGATGCTCAACAAAACGGGAACGGGGTCCCCGTATCGAATGGGGATCGTAAAGAGGGGACAAGAAACCGCGCAGGCAGTTACGATTCTTTGCAGTCCGCCGACTCGCCACGCACCCGGCGCATGCTGACCAAGATCAACACCAACCTACCCCCTATCCCCGACGGCACCTACATGCCACCGACCCCGAGCTATGCCATCTCGCGCTCGGCCCCCATTCCGGCCGGGTATGTCGCCCACGCACGAGATGCCTGCGTAAAGATCGACTATCAATGGGACAGTATGCGTGATCCTCCGAACTGGGGGAGTGGCGGCGAGTACGGCGAGGAGTGGAGCACCATGCATGCCCGTTTCCATACGGGACTGGAGCGCATGCTTTCGTGGTATCGGGAGCAGGACCCTGCGGCCCGACCTCGTCGCCACTCGCAACAGCCACAGACAGAAGACAGTACCACCCTGCCGAACGATGCCGATGATCAGATCGAAACAGTCTTGATCATCGTGACCCATGGGGCTGGGTGCAATGCGATGATCGGCGCCCTGACCGGAGAGCCCGCCTTTGTAGACATCCCCACCGCCTCCCTGACCATGGCCGTGCGGAGGGACCAAGATGATGCATCGTCCCGGGCCGGTCTAATCGGTGGTCCCGTCGCGCCTCATTCCCGTGCACACGCACAGGCTCCTTTGCAGAGCTATGACTTGCAGTTGGTGGCCTCCACAGATCACCTCCGACCCACCGTGAACCCCTCCGCATCGATTCTCTCTTCGCCGAGCAGCGTGACCTCACCTTCCAACTCAGCCTCGTCTCGTTATCGCGTTGCGCCCCGTCCCTCGATCTCGCAAGCGTCGTTCGTAATCGGGCCCTCGCTCACGTCGGGTCCGGCATCGCGAGGTTGGACAATGGCCCGGCCATTCACCGCCCCTCGTGGCTCCACCGGACTCTGGGGGTCGATCTCATCGCCGAGCGAGGCAGGTGAGGATATCATCCCTAATTTCGGCGATGCGTGGTCTGCAGCCGCCGCAGTGCCCCCAGTCCCCAGTCACAGTGGCAGTGCGAGTTTCAGCAACGGCGTGAAACCCGAGGAAGCACCCGGCTGTTCCCATCTACCGCAGAGGACATTGTCTCAGCGCGGGTTGTGGGGTAGCTCTCCGTTATCAAGGGGCGCAGAAACAGGGGTCAAGCGGCGTTGGACGGTGACGGAACGACGTGTCTGAGATTGTCGGCTCCGTTCAGATTTGCCTGGATTCACCGGGTCCCCTTTCGAGAAACGTCGCATGCATGTGTTCCTTTCTCATGAAGCGATTACCTGGCATAAAGCTTTTGCTTTGCAGATCACGTTTACTTGTTTTACTAGTCTCTCATCTTGTTATCATGCACTTGCGCGGCGTTTGGGATTGAATACCCTTGGATTGGAATACGCTCCTCTGCATTCATCTTACTTGTACCAATGATACCACCTCTCTGCTGCCTTCCTGTATAAATGTACTCCGACTAGCACCGCATAGTAGTAGAACCTCGGTAGTCAACAACCGTGTTGGGCGATAGCGGACACGTGACGTCATGGCGATCCGGCAAATCAGGCCATGCTGATTGGCCCTGTCGATCTGCGGGTGCCTGCATGCCTTGGTGCCTGAAGACTCATTGTTATCGCCATCTCATCCATCTCCCCATCACACACACATTCTCTCTCTCTCTTTCTCCTAGGTAGACTTCTCTCTGTTACATACGTCCCCAATTTGCATTTTCGGCTCCACCATCCCCTTTCGCTCCCCTGGTATCCTCGTGGGCATGCCTTTTGTCGAATCCGACGGTCTTTCCGTCACCCATGCCTGCGAAAGGTCCACCCCGCCTGATCTGCGTCTGATCCATTACAACGATGTCTACCACGTTGAGTACGTCTCCGTGTCCAACTGACCTCCAATACGTGCGCAAGCTGACAACTATAGACCAGGCTCGGCTGAGCCTGTCGGTGGTGTCCCCCGATTCCAGTCCGTCGTGAACTACTACCGCTCCGATCCCCGTTTCGCCGGACAACCCGATATCTTGACCTTCTTCTCCGGAGATGCCTTCAATCCTAGCCTTGAGAGCACTGTTACTAAAGGGAGACACATGGTGCCCTTCCTGAACAAAGTGGGAACTGATGTAGCTTGTCTCGGCGTATGTTTGCTATCATCGCCCTTCATGTGCGTGCATCAAACAAGGCACCCCGCTAATACACTCGCCGGCAGAACCATGACCTCGATTTCGGCGTCGCACAGCTGCGCCATCTGCGCAGTCAATGCAAGTTCCCGTGGCTACTCGCGAATGTCCTTGACCCCGCACTCGGACAAGATGTCCCCATCGCCAATTGCGAACGGACCTGGATGTTGACCTCGTCCAACGGAATCAAAGTGGGTGTCATCGGGCTGGGTGAGAGGGAATGGTAGGTCTTCATTCTTGCAATCTTTTAAGATGCCACAATACTCATTGGTCACTCAGGCTTGGAACAATCAACTCCCTCCCCCCCGATCTGATCTACAAATCCGCTTCGAAAACCGCCATTGAGCTCGTCCCCCGTCTCCGCGAACAAGGCGCTGATATCATCGTCGCCGTGACCCACCAACGCGAACCCAACGACTACAAACTAGCCGAGAACGTACCGCCGGGGTTGATTGATATTATCCTTGGCGGCCATGACCACTTCTATGGTCATGCGGTTATCAACGGCATCCACGTCCTCCGATCTGGCACCGACTTCAAACAACTGAGCTACATTGAAGCATGGCGGAAGATCGACGGTCCTGGCTGGGACTTCAGCATTGTCCGACGGGATATGGTTCGATCGATCCCCGAGGACCCCGCCACCGTGGCGCTGGTCGCCCGGCTGACGTCCAGCCTCAAGGCGAAGCTGGAGAAGCCCATCGGGTATACAGTCCGCGCGCTGGATGCGCGGTTCTCGACCGTCCGGCAACGGGAGTCGAACCTGGGGAACTTCGTCTGTGATCTGATGCGCTTCTACTATGGCGCCGACTGCGCGATGATGGCAGGGGGCACCATCCGTGGCGACCAGATTTATCCCCCGGGGATCCTCCGACTCAAAGACGTGCTCAACTGCTTCCCCTTCGAGGACCCGGTGGTGTTGCTGCGGGTCCCGGGAAGCGCCCTCATGGACGCCCTCGAGAACGGCGTCAGCCAGCTGCCGGCCCTAGAGGGCAGATTCTCGCAGGTATCGAACATTTCGTACGGCTTCACCCCGTCAGGCCCACCTGGCTCGCGCGTCAACTGGGCCAAGGTCGGCGGCCATCCCATCGAATACGACCGCAAGTATCTTCTCGCTACGAGAGGGTATATGGGCCGGGGCAAGGACGGGTTCGCCTCCCTTCTTGTGCAATCGGCTGGTGGTGAAATCGAGGAGGTCGTGGATGAGGAAAGCGGAGTCTTGGTCAGCACCCTTCTGCGTCAGTATTTCCTCAGTCTTCGTGTGATGGGCAAATGGCAGCGCTGGAGCAAGAGCATGGCGCGGCATTGGACGACGGTGCACAAAAACTTCCAGAGCAACGGATGGGTGAAGCCACCCTCAGCCGACGGGTCTCCCATCTCGGAGAAGCCCCCCATTCGACTGCAACGGCCGGGTCTCGAGCGGACCAAGAAGTATTTCTATTATGGCCGCTATGGGGAGACGGAGGCCGCGGAGAATGGCCAGCAGGCCGGTGAGAACGACGAAGACATGGACTCGGATTCCGACTCGGACCCTGAAATCCTCACTACCCCGCAGCCCACGACCAACTACGTGACTCTCCCTGCGCGAACAGCGGCGGAAGAGGAACGGCGACTGCGACTCGCCCGCCGAGCGCTGCGCAAATGGATGCATCGCGCCGGGCTGCACCCGGCGACGCTCAACGATGTCGAAGAATTGAGCTACACGCCCACATGGACGCAAGGAATCTCCCCGCGCCTGGAGGGGCGAATTGTGATCGAGGAGAAGCAGATGGAACGCCCTCTTTGAGGCGGTTGATTATATATATGACTTACAACGCATGATATATCGCTGCAGCGCTTTGGGTTCTTACAGTGTATATATACATATCAGGTTCCATGAACATTGATAGACATTCCGCCGTGGGCTACGATTGCTTTCGAATGAGAGTACCCGCTTGTAGACGCCGTACAGCCCCCTAACGGGCCAAATATCCCAGAGCATTCTTCTTCTCCGGGGCCAGATCGGGTAAGTAGGCGGCATAGACCCGATATTGCTATTTATCGCAGGATTTCCGGTCGGCATTCCGTCGTCGATAGTGTTAATCATAGACGGTGTCTTCCCTCCACTGACTGCTGAAGGAGCTCCACAATCTCTTGATGGTTGTTCAATGCAGCCCAGTCCATCGCACTTCGGTTCGTGGCATCTTTAAGACCGACCTCCGCGCCTTGATTGACTAGATACCGTACAACATCCGCTTTGCCCATCTCCGCCGCTTTGTGTAAAGCGGTTCCCAAGCCCATAAAGTAAAATAGTCTCCATGAAAAGTAGTGATTTTCGTACATCTTCGAATTCAAAGGAGCTCCTCTCTCAAGCAGCATGCCCAGCACCTCGATAGTATCCGTTTGACGCTCAACAGCATGGTGAAGCAGTTGCCCTTTGTGAACGTCCCCTCCGCGGTCCAGAAGCAGTTTGATAATGGAGAGAGAAGCTTGTTCTACCGCGTAGGACAACGGTGTAAGATCAATAGAACACTGCTTATTCGGGTCGGCTCGGTGGTCAAGAAGCCAAAGGGTCATCTCCTCGTCGTCAACGGCATAATTAAAACAACAGTGCAAGTAAGTAATGAGGTTTGGAGGATCTATATCATAACTCACCCGAGCGCAGGAGGCCTCAATTCGCTTATCGGTTGGTTAGTATCCCATCCATTCTGCAGTAGGATGTTGAGAACCCCCTTTGACCTATGTCTTATCGCTTCTAGAGCATAGTCTTGGCTTATTGACAACCCTTGATGCAAAAATTCAGCAACAACATTCGTCTGATCTCGTCTGACAGCCTGTATCATCACTGAGGCAAGCTCATGGATATCCAGATTGAGAGGAGTCCAAGCGTCGAGCGTTGACTTGAATCTTGGAAAGTCGCCAACCGCGCAGGCGGCCACCATTTCCCGGATGATCTCCGGAGACGTCTGACGCGGAACAGGAGGCCAGGTGCTCTGATATTCTTCTTTGGGAGGAGTCGTGGACATGGTGATAGAAACAAGGCTAGGGATGTTTGTCGTTCGCGGTGGCGCAAATAATTACAGCCCGAAGCTGGTCCATGGCTTTCCTGATCGTATCGAGAGGGATGAATTCAGTCTCAAGTCGGGTCCCTGCATTGCTTGGCCGGAATTAGGGCTCCCGGCACGCCATGAAAACAAGAAGCATTTGGAATGTGGTGGCTGCTATCCAACCAACAACTGCATTGATGGGCGGTCGAATTATATACACTACAGAATCCAGGATATCATTCATAATATTCGTCAAAGTCTTCACTGCACTCCCACAGGTCGTGCCCCTGACAGATTCACCACTCGTCCTCCACCAGAGGCAGCTGCAGCCGCCATCGGATTCCCGACTATAGCAGGCGGCGGCTGCACCCAGCCAGGTACGCTATCGTCCTCGCTCTCCCGGGCAAAAATCGTCTGCCACACGTTGGGAAATCCAGTAGGAAGGGCCCCGCGGAGGCGTGCACCGGGGATGGCAAACCGCGGGTTCCGATGGGTGAGATAGCCGCGCATGAGACCTTGCGTCAGAAGCGATGCGAGAATGGACTCGATCTCGCGCATCATTTGACTGGGCTTTCCTTGGTCTGACGGCGACTCTGCTTCAGGTCGCTGGGCGTACGGATTCAGCTCATACGGCCCATAATCCACGCCTGATGTTCCGTCCACTAACTGCCCCGGTTGATTGATTTGCCATTGCCCCTGTTCGTCATAGTAACCATCTGGAGAGAGAAAGTCGGCGTATTTCGCCACCACCGTAGGATCCACGTCTCTCTCGAGGAACCCATCTTGATCCAGTCCAGCAAAATCCCGATCAGCCGGTTTATAAACAAGCTGTGACCCGATATTACTGAGACCAGCCTGCGCATCCGTGCCCGTTTGTGGCGAAGGCTCTCCAAACGGGCCCTGAATCGACTGAGCATGCTGAGACTGGAGCCATCGCACGGCGGCTTCCAGTTTAGACAGATACAGAAAAGGTGGGGGTCCTCGCTGACCTTGTCCCTGAGGGTCGCCGTGGAAGCCACCGTGAATGAAGACCTTTCGCGCGAGGGACCGCCACACTAGAATCTCGCACCGGTTACGAAGGGCGAGAAGTATCCCCTTGCGGGCGAACCACTCGGTTACCGAAGACTCCACGGACAGGTGCTCCCGGAAAGCGATGTAGTCCCCGCGAACAATCAGTCGACAAAGGGGGAGGAATTTGTCGGAAAGACCTTCGGCTTCGGGTCGTTGGAGTAGGTCCATGGAAGGAAACCGACCCATTATAATATTGCAAGGTATCAGGTAGGTGAGGATGACTCGCTTCTGGCTCAATGCCTGACGGTGGCATTGATCGTACGCGGCTTGAAGGGCGATTTGTGCAGGATAGAAGAGGTTGTTCGAGAAGAGATATCGTCCAAGATAGTAGAGGTAGGTGACCCTTTGGGAGGCAGGGAAATGTTTCAATGGGGGAGATTGGGCGCTGATACTCGCAAACATCTGTTCTGCATTTCGTAATTTGCCGCACTAGCCGGTTTGTGAGTATGGATAATGACAGAGACGCTTCGTCCACGTCGGGTGTTTACCTGGAAAAGCAGTTTCAAGCAAAGGTTGGCCATGAGGTATATCCCGACACGTTTTCCTTCCGGTTTCCCGTGAACTCCGGGGGTGCCACTGCGATCCGTGAGGCACTTAATAAACGCTTCGCGGACCACGTTGGCTGATTTTTCGACTAGCGTGACCTTCTCAATGCTTTCGTCTTGGTCAGAGTGCCCCTCCATTCTGAGTAACTGTGCGATCAATTCCGGTCGACGATCGAGGCCCATTGCTAGTTTTGCGAGGACCTTGGATAGGTAAAGGACAGTGGGAAGGACAATAACTCCGAATTGGCTATCACCGAGCGCAAGAACGCATTGACTGTGGGAGGAAGTTAGGGTCAGTCAGTTGTTCCAATCAGGAGACTTTGAGAGATACTGCAACACCGGAAATCCAATTGTAGAACTAAATCCACGGAGACCTACTTCAATAACCCTTTGAGAAGATTGTACGTGTCGAGAAGATTATCCACGTTCACATCGCGCAAGAAGGTGAAATACAGCTTCATGAAAGTGGGAAAAGCAGTCCAGGAGCTACCACCTTTGGCACGGGGCACCAGGCCTTCGCACCGTCGTAGCAAGTCCGCCTCATCGGCACCGTTGGGATATCGCCGCCGAAGCTCGTCCACCATCTGGCAATACACGTCGGACAAAGGGGGTTCGATCTGGAGGAAATCTTGGAGTCGGGCACCATCGCGGTTTTTGACCAAGTCGGCGATACTGGAAAGAAACCGGTCCAGGGTGGGAGTGCCTTGAGCGGCCATCATGGTTACGGTTGGGTGGGTGGAGGGACGGAGTTGGAGCAAATTGGAGGTCGCGCGGCTGCGTCTGGAGGGAAGATTCAACGCGGATCGCACATGGTTGTCGAGTTGTCAGTTGGAAATCCCGACGAGAGGGATTGTATATGGGCCCGAGGGATAGGAGCGAAGGAGAGTTGAAGGAATGAGCACCTGTTGGAGAGACGGGGAGAGGAAGAGGGCGCAAGCTGAAAGACGAGGGAAATCGGAGATCTTCAATGCGCTCGCACTAGTCCCAATTAGGCAATCTATACATCGCACCACCATCCAGCAGTAGATTTGGTATACTCTGTATAAGAGCATCAGACACGGTCAACCGGGTGAGTTTATCAATCTATAATCTATAAACGCAACAATTCTCACCATACTGCACAACCCTACTGTGCAATCCGATCTCCACTACATTCGGCTGTGTTGCAGTTTGGAAGCACTGGACGGCATCATACGATAGACAGTTTACGACAGCAGTGCATCTGATCACATGTGATTATACATAGGATTCATATCCAGAGATACAGCTGGTTGATCCCCCTGCACCCATTATATCATGTTGAAGACACGATACAGTCCGGATTCACATGTGCGGCCGCGATCCACACATACGTCATCGAAGCGACACCCACCTGGTGCAAACGGCCCTACGTCAACCCATCTCCATCGCTCAATTGAGTCTTATAAAGCCTTCATTCCCTATCCAGTTCGTTCTGGATTGTGTTTTCTTTGTTTCCTAAGATCGCAGTTCTCCGGCAAGTCACCATGGCCAACCAACGCGTACAATCCTCCTTCATAGCCTTTCTCAAACATCCGTTCGTCCAAACGTTCACATGGTGTTATATGCTGTTTCAAGCTGTCATCAATTGGTTCTTTGCACCCGTTCCTCCTCCTCCCAAGTCTATGGCCGATGGCCTCCCAAAGAAGAGAGTGGCCATCATCGGTGCTGGTCTAACCGGCGTATCTTCCGCGGCCCACTGTGTCGGTCATGGCTTCGATGTGCAGATTTTCGAATCCCGGTCCAAGGAGAAAGGATTGGGTGGGATTTGGAGCGTATGTTGTGATTCATCCTATAGTTATGGTTCCTTCTGAATGGTGTGACTAATCAAGACACAGAGAGTGAACTCCACTTCATCCCTGCAAATCCACAGCATCATGTACCGTTTCCACCCCTCAGTCAGATATGATACGGCCTATCCGACTCAAGGTGAAATACGCGACCAAATCATTGACCTCTGGGAGCGATATGGCCTGGGAAAACGGACCGTGTTCGACACCCCCGTCACGTCGGTCAAACAAGCTAAGAATGGAAAATGGATCATCAACGATGACCCAAACAACTACGGTCTTTTTGACGGGGTCATCGCCGCTGTAGGCGTCTGCGGAGACCCAAAGATGCCGCCCCTCCCTGACCAAGAGCAATTTAAGGGTCGTATCTTCCACTCGTCCAACTTGGATGGCAAAGATGTCAAGGGCAAGCGGGTCCTCATTGTCGGAGGAGGTGCCAGCGCCATTGAAGCATTGGAATTCGCAGTCAAGTCAGGCGCCTCGGAGATTGACGTCCTATCACGATCAGATAAATGGGTCATCCCACGCAACGTTCTGGTGCAGTCTTTGCTTGCCTGCAACATTTTCGGGCAGGAAACCATGTTGTCGTGGATTCCCGAGTGGCTGCTGCATAAGTTCTTCTATCGAGACCTAGAGGACATCGCGCCCTCGGGTGGTCTCTTCACACAAACTCCCATGGCCAATTCTGAGCTCTTCGAGCAGATCCGCAAAGGTAACGCGCGCTGGCTTCGCGGGGACATCGTTTCCGTCAAGGAAAACGGCATCCTCTTCAACCATCGGTCCAAAGGAGTGCCCAAGGGTGGCCCCGGACATGAATCCGTCGTGCCAGGAGACGTCGTCATCATGGCAACCGGGTTCAAACGGCCTTCCCTCTCCTTCCTGCCGAACGAAGTGTTTGAAGAACCTTATGCTCCGCCCAGCTGGTATCTCCAAGTGTTCCCTCCTAAACATACAAGTATCTGTGCCAACAATAGTACCTATGTGAACGCCATTGGAACCGTGGGTAACATGCACATCGGAATCTACACCCGCTTCCTCCTCATGTTCCTCACCGACCCTCTCACGCGGCCGACCGAGGGCCGGATGAAGACTTGGATTGATTTCACCCGGTTCATGAAGCGGTGGTCCCCCACTGGTGCGTTTGACTTTTTCACCTATGCTGAACTCATCTACTGGTTTGTCTTCGTGCTCCTGGTGAACCCCTTCCGGTGGAAGTGGGCGCCGTTCATCCTATTTGGCCTGGGACGGGGCCTCCCACTGGAGGTCGTCAAACATGAAGAGGCATTCCGGGATCAGTTAAGAAAGCAGCATCAGGGTTAGCGATTTTCGCCGGTAATGACGACAATTGATCCAGTCACTTGTGCTTGGTTCATGACAGACATGTATGAAATTGCCCAAAATAGATTCTTCTGGAATGATAATGATTACGATTGCATTGCTGGTCCATCACCTGCTAAACATCCTTTGATTGCGTATTCTCTGCGTTTAAGCAAAGAAGGTAAAGTCGTCCTGGCTATGAATGGTAAAGATAGAACTTGATCAACCTTTTCATCCAGAGAAAACGAAATGAAATCCCATTCATCTATCATCGGTCTCACAATAAATGCCCAGCTAAGAAGTAACCTTGTTCCCGGAGTCTACATGATTCTCGGTGTTATCATGTAAACCAGGTGCCGTTGACACCATGTTCTTGAAAAACGAAAGAAGACGGAGAAAAAAACCTAAACAAGTCATCGGAAGACAAAAGACAAAAACCCCGAAGACACAGAACAAGGTTGCGAAAGACTGCCAGAGGTATACCGGCACGGCTGCGGAGGGTGTCAAGAACTTGACAAACTCTGACGTCTGATAAAAGTCCTCCTGTTTGGTAATATAATAGAGCGTCCTTTGGGCATCCTGACCATCGACTCCTTGCGGTGTCTCCTTTGTACGCGGTACAAGGTCCAAGACAGTGGTGAGAGTCACCGGACTCGAATGGAACGGTATAGCCCAGATGGAGAATACCTGGGAGATGTTCGCGTAGATTTTGAGATGTTGCTCGTCATAAGCTATCGGACACGTCTCAGTTTCCATCCACAGCAATCGATACAGTAAAGGAGGCTTACCAACAGAATTGACCTCTATCTCGATGTGGGGAGACATAATCTTGTACCACCGGTAGATCTCTTTAACGAACCAGCGGCTACCTTCTATGTCCCATGTCCGACAGAATGGGTGGACAAAAACGGCATTGGATGTGAAATATTCATCGATCGTGCGCGCCTGGACAAGCGGTGTTCCTTGGGTGAGATTGAGAATCACGTCCCGAATTTCTGCTTCTGAAGACGGGTCAGTATGTCGGTCAATGCACAGGTATATATATTGCTAACTTTACCTGGGTTCTCCATTATGGTGATCAGTCCCGGTTATCATCCAGTTGTCCCTGGAATAGGATGTGTATAACCAGTTCTCAAGGTTCGAAGGGGTTAAATATATCGCGGTCGAGGGTGGAGAGGATGTGCAATCGACAAGATGATGAACAAGTTGTGTCAATGGCATGATGTCATCACCCGCCAGGGGAACATGTGAATCGAAAGTAAGCTTAACGCCTAAATCATCTCCGGCCTGCCGCCAAACACCTCGAAACAATCTAGGCTGTTCCGTCAATCCTCTTTTCCCTCTTTACTAATAGATATAACTGGATATGGTGCATTACTTGCATTGGTGGAACCTAAATTGAAACTTCTTTTCACCACCTGGTATCGAGTGCAATATACAAACGCAGGCTACATACAAGAGCACGAAGAAGCTATCTCCTGTTACAGCCATCTACCAACGCTGATCAGCGCTTCCATCCCTCAATCTTCTTCCGCCGCTTCTCAAAGATGTGTCCCAGCCCGGCGCCATCACTACGAGGTCCATCCTCGGTGAGTTTGCGCTTCCGCGATTTTTCCAGTGCATTCCCACTGCCTTTGGCTCGGCGAGTAAGCTTGGTGATACGGTCCGCCCCCTCCGTAAGACCTCTCCATTCTTCCCCTCCAAAGCCACTGTCTCCACCACCCTGGGCTCGTCGCTTCGCCCGCTCCTTCTTGCTCTCTTTGGCCAATCGCGTGAAATTCGTCTCTTCGTAGGCGGTTCTCTCGGCCTCGACCTCCCTCTCCTTCTTGGATTTGGTGTGTCTTCCGCCGCGCACGATCGTGCTACCAATACTTGGTTCTGCCATAGGCGCGGAGGACATCTCCGCGCTAACAAACTCATCGATAACGTTGGACCGACGGGGAGCGCGGTCCTTTCGGTCTCTGCTCTCAGTGGTGGGAAGAGCGGTGGGCATGATCTTCGGTGGCCGGTAGATACCGTCGTTCGAGGTTCGGTGGGTGGCGTTGTCTGGTTTCGACTCGACTGCCATTTTCTTCGTAAATGCAGACACGTTCGGTCGGTATGCCATCTCGTCAATGTCTTCTCCCTCTTCGTCATCCTCGCTATCCCCCTCGCTGTCACTGGATGCGTTTTCGGAGTCGTCCTCACTGCCGGATCCTGCGTCTCGTCGGCTCTTGCCTTTTGATGCGGTCCGGTCGCTTCGATCAGCGTCCTCGGCCGCCTTGATAACTTTGTCAACCTGGTATTTCAACCGCCCCTCTAGAGGCCGAACTCCGCGATCCAGGTACACCCGTAGTTCGATTAATTTCTTGACCACTTCATCTCGCAGCGACTGATCGGAGGATTCTGCACCCGACCCCGATTGCGACGAAACATCGCGAAGCTGGAGTAACGTCAAGAATACGAGGTTCTGTAGGTAGGAGAGAAGTAGATCGGATTTCGTATCCAGCAGGGAGATGCCCTCTTGCGGAGGCTCGATTGCAACGTCGGACGGATCGTCTCGCACAGGTTTGGGAAGAGAAGATCCTGCGGAAGAAAGACAGCCCGTGAGGTTTTCCAGCAGGGTGCTGATATTTGGGAGGCCCGAAGGCTCGGTCTGGAGGGCGGCCATTGCCAATGGGTGGTGATGCTGAAGGGTAGTGATGGTAACTTTCCTGGCACCAAATGGAGAAAAGAATTCAATTTTTCTTATCGACACGTGCCGATAGGAGACCATGCCGCTGAGTCATCAGGCACGGGCTCCTATCACGTGCGGGCTGACCAGGCTTCCCTTTTCGGCGGGCGGACTAGTCCTGTTTGGTCGTTTAGTTGGCCTCATCTTCGCGATACAACATCGGCTTCTCTTCTTCTCTCTCCTGCATCCCTTCTTCCCCCGGCTTGCACTCACATGTCGCTGTAAGAGTATCCTCTTGTGGTGCTGGACGCGTGAAAACTGTACGCCTTATCCCTTGAGATCGTCCCCTAGACACCTAGGTTTTCTGCCTAGCTCTACCCCAGCCAAGTTGGACCCTTTCCAAGCTTCCCGGCCGGTACTAATCAATCACCTCTCGCATCTCTTTCCTACAGACTCCCACAATGCGGCTCAAAACACAAGCTCGGTCGATACCGTCCGTCTTAGCTCTTCTCCCGTCGCTGTCTGCCGCGTTCTATCTCCCTGGCGTTGCGCCCACTTCCTATGACGAAGGGCAGTCGGTTCCGCTCTATGTCAACCATCTCACTCCGAGCCTAGCACAACAGGATGAGCAACTGCACTCCGTATTCTCCTACGATTACTATCGCCCCGAGTTCCGCTTCTGTGCTCCCGAAGATGGCCCCAAGGATGTGCGCGAGTCGCTAGGAAGCATATTGTTTGGAGACCGGATCCAAACGTCGCCGCTGCAGCTGTACATGGGGAAGAATGAGACCTGCAAGGCCGTTTGTAATGAGGTCACGTTTGACGCTCGCAGCGCAAAGTTCACCAACCGCCGAATCGCCCAGGGTTACAACGTCAATTGGTTGGTCGATGGCCTTCCCGGCGCCCAGCTGGATATAGAGTCGGTGACCAAGACCGAATTCTACAACCCCGGGTTCTCCTTGGGTTCATTGGATGAGAGTGGTCAGTCCTTGCTGAACAACCACTTCGATATTTTCATTGAATACCACCGGGTGGGGTTTGGAAGTAAGGACAAGTTCCGTGTGGTCGGAGTCCTCGTGCAGCCATCCTCTCGCCGCAACTCGAGGGCCCTGGAAGATGGCACTGTGGACTGCGGCACCGAAGAGGTTCCGGTCACGTTGAATGAGGATGGCGAGACCACGGTCACTTGGACCTATGGCGTGTACTGGCGAGAATCGTCGACCCCTTGGGCGACGCGCTGGGACAAGTACCTCCATGTCTACGACCCGAAGATTCACTGGTTCTCCCTCATCAATTCTGCCGTATTTGTCGTCTTCCTGGTTGGTATGGTGAGCATGATTCTCGTCCGCGCCTTGAAGAAGGATATCGCTCGCTACAACCGGCTGGACATGATCAACCTGGAGGATCTGGACGGAACCTCGGCCGCGATGGAGGACGGTATCCAAGAAGATTCGGGTTGGAAATTAGTCCATGGCGACGTGTTCCGATGCCCTCAGTCTCCTTTGCTTCTTAGTGTCTTGGTGGGCAATGGCGCCCAGCTTTTCATGATGACGGGAGTAACAGTTGGTAGGTTTACGCACGCATTGTTACTTTCTGAAGGCCGTACTGATGTCGCAAATAGTATTTGCTCTTTTCGGTTTACTCTCCCCCGCCAACCGCGGATTCCTAGCCACGGCCATCCTGCTGATCTACACGCTATTCGGATTCATCGGCGGGTATGTTTCTGCTCGGGTGTACAAGTCCTTCGGTGGAGAGTCATGGAAGCGGAACATTGTAATGACACCAGTGTTGGTGCCCGCACTGATCTTTGGCGCATTCTTCCTGCTCAACCTGTTCGTCTGGGCTAAGGGCTCAAGCGGAGCTGTGCCATTCACGACAATGCTCGCCCTCGTCCTGATCTGGTTCGTGATCAGTGTTCCGCTGAGTGTGGCGGGTAGCTGGCTAGGCTTCAAGCAACGTGCGATTGAAGGACCGACCAAGACCAACCAGATCCCTCGACAGGTTCCCCCTATGACTGGCAGCCTACGTACCGTCCCGTCCTTGCTCTTGACGGGTATCCTGCCCTTCGGAGCGATCTTTGTGGAGTTGTACTTCATTATGCACTCGTTGTGGACGAACAAGATCTATTACATGTTCGGATTCCTGTTCCTCTGCTACGGCCTGATGATCATGACTACGGCGTCGACGACCGTGCTGTTGGTGTACTTCTTGCTCTGCGCGGAGAACTACCGGTGGCACTGGCGGGCGTTTGCCGGAGCAGGTATGACGGGCGGTTACGTGTTCTTGAACGCACTTCTGTTCTGGGCCACTCGAGTGAGCTTTGGTGGTCTGACGGGAGCGGTGCTCTATGTGGGCTACTCAGCCTTGATTGGCTTTGTGGTGTTTATCCTGACTGGTATGTATTCTTTTGCTTTTGGACACTTAGATCCAGCTGACGGCGGATAGGATCTATTGGCTTTTTCGCCAGCTGGGCATTTGTGCACCGTATCTATGGATCTATTAAGGTGGACTAAATTTCCCATCTGCTTTCCACCTTTTAATACGCCGACCCTAGTCTGGGATCGACATCACGGTCTGGGCTGTGGCCGATCTGCAGCTCTCTCTACCGCCCTTTGGCTTCTCTTTTCGCCTATAAATGGCGTATGAATAGTATAGCTGGCGGGGTGGACGGTATCCATCCCTTCGTGTTGGGGGCACCTCCTTGGTAGTGCATGCATTGGTCCCGGATGTACATAGACGAATACGTGGGTACTGTTGACGATTTTGCTTGTTATTTGATGCGCCCCCTTTGTCTGGACAATTTTGAAAATGTATGATTAGGCTGAATAGATCAAGGAGTCTGTTATCCTACCTACATCAAAGGTTTTTGTTCAAGTGTACGCTCGAGATGATGTTCTCGCATATACTGACATCCCGGGACTATTTCGAACGAGAGACGATGACGAACTGTGAGATCTACTGTTAGGAAATGTATTCATATAAGGTACATATATACAATATAATCCAGCATCTTTCAGCAGGTAAAGTCAGCAAGATGAGAGTGAAGAAAAAGCGACAACTCAGAGGAGAGACTGTCGGTGTTCTTTGGGTCAAGATGAAATCAAAGTCCAAAAACGAGTAAGAGAGAATCAGGCAAACAGAAATCACCGCCCAGTACATGGATCAACCTGCCCCGTTCGGGCAGATGGCTGGTCGCCGAGTGGTAGGGGGAATCCTAGAGGTACAAAGACCCAAGAAACAGAAGACGTACAAAGAATGAGACGACAAAGTAGGTAGGCACCGGAAAGGCAATGCAAAGAGTCGCACGCAGAAGTGGGGGAAGTAAGGAAACTTTCAGTCGCGTGAAATTCGTCAAGAGGAAGAGTCTGAGGGCATCATAGAAACAAAACACAGACGGTCCTCGCAGCCGACTATACCAAGCCATCGTACAAGGACAATGCGCTGACAATCGTCTCGTCTCGCTTGCTACCCTCCTTGAATTCTTCCATGTCTAGACTGCCATTCTCATCCTTGTCCATCATGCGGAAGATTTTCCGGACCCGTTTCTCGGGGGTGTCCTCGTCCTCGGGCAGTTTCACCATCGAGCCGACCTGATTCATTAGTATTGAAGTCGTCAGGAAGAAGGCGAGGAGTACGTACCATCTTGTAGATCGCCTCGACGATGGCGAGCATCTCCTCGTAGGTGATCTTGCCATCCCCGTCAATGTCGTACAGCTGGAAGGCCCAGTCTAGCTTGTCCTCCATCTTCCCGCGCGATGTTACCGACAGCGCACAGATGAACTCTTTAAAATCGATCATGCCGCTATTGTCTGAATCAAACACCCGAAAGACGTAGTTTGCAAAGGATGACGGGTCGCCGAAGGGGAAGAATTGGCGATAGATTTTCTGGAATTCCTCCTTGGTCAGGGTGCCCGAGGGGCAGTCCTTGAGAAAACCTGGGGGTCGCGCGATGTCAGTGACAGGGTTCTGTCGTTTGTTCCGTCACACTTAACCTCACAGCTTGTTCGTACCTTTGTACCATTGCTGCAGCTCCTTTTTATCGAAGTGGGTCGCCTTCTGCAGCTCATCGAGCTGGGAGGGGGAAAGCTTTGACTGACTGCAAGCGCATGTTCATTAGCCTGAGGACTTTAAATAATAGTTTTAAAGACGTGAGAGGGAACAACAACGACGGGAAGGAAATTCGAAGAGGGCGACGTCAGCGACAAGCGGGATTTGGAGGGCGCGGGCGAAGCCCCTAACCCCGCGATGGACTCGATCTGGCTCCTGGAGTCGATTCGCCTCGTGGGGTTGTCTCAGACCCGTGTCATCTCGGTCATCTCATCTTGATGTGATCGCTTCGTCTCCTGATTATTTGTCTCCTTGAACTTGCAACTTCGCGGTGTTTATGAGGCCCACTCGATCCGGTCTGAAAGGAATGCGGAGGAATAGGGAGGCGCCGCACTTACGACTTGCCCATGATCCCAACCAGATGACGTTAAATACGAGACACTCCCGAGAGGTCAACGACGGAATCTAGACACAGAGACAAGTCGGGATCCACGAGCCAAGCAGACGGATTATGCGCCGCAATGGATACGGACGGAGAGGGCGGAAGGCGCGGGGTAAACGAGAGGCGGGATGTGGCGGCGGTGAGATGGATTAGGACGGAGTCGCAGATAGGGAGGCAAGGAAAGAGGAAGATGATAAGTAAGACCGAATACGAGGAAGAGAACCGGAGGATGGAACAAAGCAGAGCAGAGGGACGGGGGAGAAGAAAGAAGTTGAAACGGTGGAAGACGCCAGAAGCAGAGACCATGTGGGAGGGAGGTTACTAAGAAGATTATCCCAGGCGTGGCAACCAGAGCCGCGGGTCCAGACCGTCTGCTTGGCACGATATACTGGGTCTACTTACTTACCCACTGTAAATATAGGCACGGTCTAGGTAGAATCTATATCCATGAGCATTAACTCCCCGATCTACCTGTATGTACATGGGTATCGATGAGCCCGTCTAGTAGCTATCCGTCTAACCGTACCAGCCCAGACGACCACAGAGACGACCGGTGGAAAACAAGAACGCATAGGGAGAAGAAAAGAGAGACAACAGACTGATCATAAACACTAGAATATCAACTTCATTTCCAATGGACATGACGGACATGCTCGGTGCATGCATGACCGCATGAGACAGAAGAAAAGAGCCCGGGAAGCAATCGTCCAGACATGTCAACAGAAGAGAAACTGTACATCAGATATCTTCGATAAAGGGATAAAACAGACAACAGAAGAGAAATCGTGGATCATCGTCGATCAAAAAACCAGCTCGAACGTTGCTTGCCCGTCTCCTGCGGCTGGCTACTACCGTCTGTCCCTCCACCACCGCCACGGAGCGGCTTCGCAATTCTCGAGCCGCCAAAACTGAAACCGCCGCTGCCATCCATACTTGGAAGACCCCTCGTCGACCCTTGTTTCGCAGCTTCCAGTCGCTCTTTGACCGCAGTGAGTTGAGCTTCAAATCTGTGAGAAGGCTGTTAGCTCGAGGTCTGGCCTAGGGGGAGCGAGATCTGTCATCAGGAAGGATACATACCGGTGATTCGCTTGGGTGAGCTTCTCCTGGCTCTCCTGGAGCAGGCTCTCCAAGCTGGCAATGCGCTCATTCCTCGCGATGAGCTTCCGCTCGGCAATGGCTACCTCTTTCTTCAGGCTGCTGTTCTGTTCTACCAGCTGTCGTTGCACATGCGTCAGTTGCTCCAAGTTGCGTTCCAGGAAGGCCATTTTCTTCTGCTGGGCCCGGTTGTTCGACGACCGAAGCACGTTGTTGTACTGCTCCCGCGCATCGTCCAGCGAGATTTCCAGCTCCACCACGCGCTCGCAGCGGTTCTGGAGGTCGCGCATCAGCGACTTCTTCATCGCGTCGAATTCCGCGATCTGCTGCTGGAGGTTCTTGCCCGCAGCCCCGTTCGTGGACACGCGCGACTGAGAGTCGGCGAGCGATTGCCGGAGCTTTGTCAACTCCTCGTCCTTGCGGGAGATCTCCTCGCGCAGTTCGTTGGCGGCCTGCATCTCTGCCTCCTTGCGTGTAACATAGACCTTCTCTAGTCGCTCCCGGATCTCTTCCACATCGTCCTCGCCCAAGTTCCGTTCCAGAAGTTTCTCATAGTCCTGCTCGAGATTCGCCAGCTTCTGCTCTAGTTCAACTCGACGGCTGTCCTGCAGCTCGCTCAGTTCGCCCCGATCATTCATCGTGAGTTCTGCCTGTCGGATGAAGCCTTGGGTCTCCATCAGGCTGGCGCGTAGCTCCTGAAGGTCATCGGGAGCGATGGTCTCGCCAGCTTCGCTGATCTTATGCAGGGAGTCCACGCGCTGAATGAGGGCCTGGAGCTTGCGTTCATTATCGGAGAATACGTCTCCGCCCAGGTCAAATCCAGCCATCATCTTCGCCATCTTCTCGGCCTTCTTCTTCTCTTTCTCATCGAGAGCAGCGGTGGTCTCCTTGGCTTTCATTCGCACGTCAAGGAGCTGCTGCTTGACATCGTCCAATTCCGCAGTCAACTCGGCGTTGGCCTCGCGGAGGCTGTCCATCGTGATCGAGGCCTCCTTGCTCTCATACGACACCTTCTCCAGGTTCATGCGCAGTTCATTGACCTCGGCGTTGAGCTTGTCGTTGTCCTTGCCCGACCGCGCTGAGTTCTCCTTCATCGTCTTCAGTTCCTCACGCGCCTCGCGCAGGCTTCTCTCCACATTGGCAATATGAGATTCCTTCTCGGCAATCTGGTCGTGGAGCTCGTTCTCACGCCGAAGGAACTCCTCTCTCTCATCCTTCTCTAGGACCAGACTGGGTGTGCTGGAACGATCGCCGATCCTGGAATCAGGACGGGGCGTTTCCGACCTAGCGGTCTCTTGTAACCGTGACGGGGTACCGGGACGTGGCGCGCGAGCCTCTGCCTTCGTCGAGGAGACGACTTCGTTGCCACGCGCAGGAGTCCACCGGTCTTTGGGTACACTTTCACCACTTCGCCATGACTGAACTTCCGTCTCCAGAGCCGACACGTAGTTTTCGAAACTGGTGACCTGGCTCTGGGCCTTGCGCAGCAGCTGCTTCAATTCGGCCGGACTCAACTCAGCATTGACCTTCGCCTTGTTCTTGATCGCCTTGGCCCGCACGCCGAAACGCAGGGTCGAGATTGTTTCCGCGTCGTTGTAGCTACTGGGTGAGCAGTTGATAATGAGGGTGGTACGGGAGTTACCTCCCAGACTCTCCTGCAGGATTCGAGTAAGTTTCGAGTCACGGTAGGGAATGTGTGTCGATTTGCCGTCAGTTAATGCGTTAATGACCATGCCCAAGGCACTCAAACTCTTGTTGATCTTTTTGGCCTCCTCTAGGGTCTGGCCGCTCGCACCAGTCTTGCCAACTTTTTCACTACCAGCCAAATCAACCAAAAAGAGTTGGCCACTCTTGGCTGAGCCTGTCTCCAGATTCTTCTGCGTAACGGTAATGACGAAGATGGAATGGGATCGAGAGGACTCTTGGTTCATGTTGGTCGCTGCCACCGCTCTCGCGTTGCCACCCCGGCGCATCACTTCATAAACTTCCTGGACACTCGACACGTAGACCTCTAGCAGACCCTTGACGTAAACACCGCGGGACTTTTCCTCGTGGACGGGGAGATTGTCGTTTTGGGGCACGAGGAGATCGCGGATGCGCTCCATGTAGATTTCCATGTAGCTGACGCGAACGGTGTATTCGATATTACTCGGGCTCGTGAGAATGCTGGCGAAAATCTGTTCGACAATACGCGGGATGATACCCTTCCCCATGTCGTCGTCGATATCCGAACCCATCATAGTATAGGACTTTCCCGCGCCGGTTTGACCGTAGGCGAACACGGTTCCGTTATACCCGTTCAAGATGTCGTCAACTGTGGGTCGGATCGAGAAATCGAAGATATCGGTTTGCTTGGAGTCCATGGGGAACACCCGATCGAAAGTGAAAGCTCCGGAGCCTTCCCTGGACTGTGCGTCGGCTTAGTACCCTGCGACGACCATGGAGACACGGCACATCGATAGACGGAGGCGGAGGTGATGAGAAAAGACTCACGTTGATCAGACATGACTGTTCGTTTTCAAACTCGACAATAGGTTCTCCTCCAGAGGCCAGCTCGACTTTATTCTGCGGTCGAAATCTCGCAACCACTGCGGGGGAGAGCGTTGTTAGTCGGACGGTCGTGCTGAATCGGTGGCGGGGGAGGGGCTCGATTCAAGTTGCATACCCTTGATGGTGTTGGAGGCACCAGGGCCAGATGACCTGTCATGCTCGAAATCGATGATCAGTCTTTGGTCGCTAGCAGGGACTCGAGTCTGAACTCACGCCATAATTTCGTTGGGCCCGGGAGGGTGAAGGCGCTGTCGTCACCGGCTGAAGAAAGACAAAACGATAAGGAAAAAGGGACCCCGCGAGGAGGGGAAGGGAAGTGTGGTGCGCCGCGCCGAAGAAGAATGCGAGAGAATGTTGATGATATGCCGAATCGATCGATCACTGTTTGGGTCAGGGGTCCACGTGCGATACGATGACACAACCGGACGAGGGAGGAAGGCGAAAATGGAACCGACAGTCCCGAAGAAGGAGGCAGGGGAAGAAGAGAGGAGGATATGAAGTCCGGTTGCCCACAGGGAGGAGAAGGAGGTGGTGAGGAGGGAAAGGAGAGGAAGAAGTCAAGGACAGGGAATGATGGGGTGGTGGAGCTCGACGGTGGGATTCGTTACATACATCGGTACATACAGTATTGAAGCATTATTGAAACCGCCGGTCCTCACTGTAAATTGCAGGACTCCGACGATCTTAAAGTGTGGTCGTTATTGAAAAGTCCTCGTTTACTTTACATTTCTTGTTCTTTTTCCTGCTACTTTGAAATGGCATTGATTTCAAGAAATATTGATGCATCTGCAAACCTATAACACGTAAGGGATAAAAGAGTAATGCAATCATCAACAAGCACCGAAAGGAACAAGATATTTACCAGGCGCCTAAACCCCGCGCTGTGCATGACATAAAAACGGCGTGAGAATGAGAGGCCTCCCCTAGAAGCATCAGTGAAGAGATCTCATCCGGGGAGGGTCATCGACCAGCCATAACCGCTTATCCGGCAGGACCGTGCAATCCACAAGCGCAACCAGGAAAGAAGAGGAAAATGAGACCGACATGATGAGAGCAGAAATCATCCCTAGTCTTCCCAGCTTTTCTCGACTGTCTCACGCACACGTTTGATATATTCCTTTCGGTTGTCTTTGTACAGGTTCGATGCTTCGACGTTCGCCGGGGAGGAGGTGTTGGGGTCATTCAGCAAACTAGACGACAAAATCCATGTTAGAATAGCTTCTACCATCTATAGGGTCTGATCAAATTAAACCAAACTGACCTCTGTATACTGGTGAGAATGGCCGCCACATCGTAGGTCGGACTCCACCGGTTCTGCAGAATATCGAGACAAAGTTCACCAGTGCCGTAAACATTGGGATGGAACATCTGGCTGATGAATTTGACGCCAGGGGGTTTGTTGGGATATTGTTCTTCGAAGTGCATGACGAGACGGAAAGTACCGTCCTCGAATGGGGTGTCGGCGGGACCGATGATGACGGCATTCCTGGAAAGCCGAGTTGTTAGCACAGAATCGATGGTAACGTACAGAGAGATGCAATAGCAGTGGTCCTTACCAGGTCATAACATTGTCGGCAACGGGGGATGCAGAGACACCTGCGGGCGGATCGGTCTGCATGCGCTGTGATAACCAACATTAGTTCATGAGCATTTCATATGGCTTGCCGATGAAACCCAGTTCTTATAAAAGAGAAAAAAAGACAGGATGAAAACTACGGGGAAAGCCATCAACTGACTAAAGCTTCATACCTTGAAGTCACGCATCAGACGACGGCGGGCAGAGGTCGACATGGCGGCGGGGTAGATAGCTGTTTCGGATAAGGCAGACAAACAAGTCGATGGGAATGGAAGGCTTCACGGGAGTAGGTGATTTTGGGCAAGTTTGGGAGATAAAGGGAGGATGAGAGAGTGGGCGAGAAGAAGAGACACCCTGGAGGAGAGGGAGCGGATGAAATGAGGGAGCAGGTTCAAACAATCAAGCCCGAGTGGTGACTGATGATGGAATTGAGTCCGTTGCCATCGGAGCATACCCCCGGGAGAATCTTCCTGATGGGGGAACCCTCTTGATTGAGACTAGCCGCATTGCCACTCTCACGTGAGACAGACATGACTAAGCTCTGCCAAAATGCCTCGGTCCAAGCGGGTGGATGCACTGCGGATGGGCGGTTAGAGGCGGGATGCTCTGCGGAGAACAAACAAGTCGCTTCATTCCTCTCTTCTCTTCTCCCTGTCATCCAGCTGTTCATCTTCTTCCTGTTCTTTACAGACTCCCTTCTCCATTCACCCACATATCATGGCGATCCAAACATCATCCATGCTGGGAGCTCGTCTCCTCACCAAGCGAGCTGCCCTTTCCCCCGCATCACGTCAGTGGCAGAGGAACTTCAGTGTGGCGCGTCCTCTTTCCAAGGAAATCCAGGAAGCATACATTCTCAGCGCTTCCCGGACGCCAACAGCTAAGGTATAATCTTCAGCCTATCTGGAAGGAGGCTCTATGGGACTAATCGATTCCTCGCAGTTCAATGGTTCGTTCGCCTCCGTCTCCGCTCCCGAGCTAGGTGCAGCGGCCATCAAGTCCGCCGTGGGCAAGTCTGGGGTGCCTGTGGAGAAGATCACGGATGTCTACATGGGTAATGTACTGCAAGGCTCCGTGGGCCAGGCGCCCGCTCGTCAGGCCTCCATCTTCGCCGGCCTTGCCCCTACTGTGGAGTCCATGACCGTCAACAAGGTCTGCGCATCCGGTCTCAAGGCTGTGGCGCTTGCTGCCCAGAACATCCAGCTGGGTCTTGCCGAAGCTCAAGTTGCCGGAGGAATGGAGAACATGTCCCGCGTCCCCTACTACATGGCCCGTTCCAGCCACCTGCCCCCCTTTGGAGACATTAAGCTTGAGGATGGTCTCATCAAGGATGGCCTGTGGGATGTGTACAATCAGTTTCACATGGGAATCTGTGCCGAGCAGACGGCGAAAAAGTACGAAATCTCTCGTGAGGATCAAGACCAGTACGCCATTCAATCCTACCAGCGCGCTCAGGCAGCCTGGAAGGAGAATAAGTTCGCCGACGAGATCGTCCCTGTCACCGTGAAGGGCAAGAAGGGCGACACGGTGATCGAACGGGATGAGGG